AGGTCAGAGTAGGCCTTATATTTATACCTCTGTGGTGGAACCTGCTAGAACATCTTGCTTACTCAGCCTAGTCAGGTGATCAGGTCATATGAGGTCATGCACAGCCATGCACAGCAGGTCACCTGACCATCCAATCCTTCCAGCAGGTTCCAGCACATGCCAAGGTATACCAGCTACTTCCATGTCATAAAGGCTTAGTCATGTCTCTTGACCAAGCAATGAGCTGGTGCCCTGACAGCTACTACTATCCTAGTCCTTGGTTGTCCTTCCAATTCAATTAGATAATAATAAAAAATCATGTCTATGTAATCCAACAGCCAATTGGCATGCAATTGCTGTCTACTCACACTTCACCACTCTGATGAATGTTGATGTTGATTGGAGTAATGCAATTGCATGTGGCACATCCCACAATGCCTCCTCCTCCTTCTGCAGCAGCAGCTCCACTGCTGCCCACCATCGTTGATGTTGATTGGAGTAATGTGATCCTGTCTGGCAGCATTCACCACTCTATAACTCTGCTCAAGGGATTGGCAGATCATCTGCTGGATAGAAGCAGATGCATCAGTGTGGTGTGATGGGTGGCTGCCAGGGTTGTATGCCCACTGTGGAGCTTAGTGAGGGCACCAATACCAATGTGCTTGCATAGGTAGATGTGCCTTGCAATGGCAGCTGGATTGCAAATTAGCTTACAAAAGTACCCAACCCATTTTGTAAACACCCACCAGTGCAGACATAGTGCCAGTCATGGTCATAAGGTGCCTGCTCCTTGAAGGCACTGGTCTTAACAATGTTGGCCCATGTAGCAGTCCTCCAACAGATGTTGGACAGAGAGTTCTTGCACTTGATTGAGTAATGTGATCATGTCCGTGGAAATGCAGATTGTCCCTGTGTGAAGAGGCTGAAGGAGGTGTCGCCAGTGCTGAACCAGGTGCAGCACCAGTTATTCAAGGACAAGGAGAAGCCAGAGGTAATCTGGGTTTGAAGAGAGCAAGAATTCATAAAAAATACCAGTTGGGTCTACAGGTGCTTCTGACAAGACCAGGGCCCTGAATTGGGGCTGTCCGTTTAGACAGTCCATAGAGGAGTGGCTGTTAGCAGGCATCAGAGAAAAGCAATGACAGCATGCAAGAATTTGACAGGTTGGCATTGTTTGATGGGTCAGATATCAAATAGGCTGAGAAGCTGGTTGCATCCTGTCAACAGCCCTATTTAGACAAACAGGTTTGTCAAACACAAGACAAAGAGTAGTCCACAAGAGTAACCAACAATGTTGACCACCAAAGCAACCAATTTGTAGTGGCTGTACTCTGACATGAACAAAAAAAAAAATTCTGGCTTGGCATTGACCCTGAGTGCCACCAATTTCTGATATTTATGTTGACTCCGGCACAGTGACTGTTGAAAGGAAGATTCGCCGTTGCCGAACGGCGGCGGCGTGTGGCGGTCTGATCATATTGAATTGGACTAACAAATTTCTAGCTTTCATATGCTAGCCCTCAGGGGGTTTACCGCATTTGGCGGTCTGTCCGGAGACCAAAGGGGAAAACATATCCCGGTTCATCCCTTACTATCGTTCGTCATTTGGATTCGGGCTTGCTGATAGGTAATACCCACGGCGCCCTCCTATTTATATCATTGTATTCGGTCTCACTTACTCCTTCTGAAGAGATCATGCACGACTGAAATCTGGGGCTCTCCACAGTACCTCCACATTGCGGAGAAGTCTACCCACGGGGCCCCATTCAGCAGCCAGGAGCGCTCTGTGTGGGAAGATGTCACTGATAACATGGTGCTTCTGTGAGGACGGCTTCCGTGAGGCTATATAAGCCCAGGCACCTCTTGTCTTATCGACGTGGTTCGTTCGCCTTCTAAGCTACCTGCTTCGCTTCCATCACGATCCCACCTAGCAAAAATGGGGCAAGACAAAGGTGTTGTGATGCTTTGGTTCTTATCCAGCATTGCCATCATCAATTCGATGGTCAATGGCTATGACGGATCCATGATGACTGTAAGATTTTCTTGGCTACTATTCCACTACAGCGCTCAACACATTGTCATAGGGAATGCAATCTTTGACCCAATGGAACGACTGTAAGTCACAGTCAATTGCGCTGTTGCAAAACCTCAACGTTACCTGCAGCATTCAACCACCCCACCTCAGCGGCTCTCGGTCTGCTCAATGCCATTTTCAACGCCGGTGGTACCTGCGGTGTCGTTATTGCACCTTATTGCACCGACTTACTTGGTCGCCGCCTTGGTATTGTAAGTTGAGTCATCGCGTTGCCCCCAAATGCTAACGAGAAACAGGCTATCGGCTCTGTCATCATCCTCGTCGGAGTTATTCTGCAGGCCGCTGCCGCGAACACTAGCATGTTTATCGGTGCCCGTTTCATCATTGGCTTCGGTCTCTCCATTTCCAGCAATGCTGTAAGTCCCTTGAACTCCACTATGCGTGACAGGGCTGACGATGTGACCAGGCACCCATTCTAGTAGCTGAGCTTGCCCATCCTCGGTTCCGTGGTACCATCACTTCGCTGTACAACACCCAGTGGCCTCTTGGCGGTATCCTGGCCGCTTGGATCACCTACGGCACCTTCCAGATTCCCGGTGCAGCAGCATGGCGCATCCCATCTGCTCTGCAGGCCGTGCCATCCGTCATCCTTCTATGTTTCCTGCCTTTCATGCCCGAGTCACCTCGCTGGCTGGTCGACAAGGGCAAGTCCGATCAGGCCCGGGCTATCCTAGGTCGCCTGCACGGGAACGGGGACATCCACGCTCCACTCGTCGAGCTCGAGATGAACGAAATTGAGGAAGCGATCAAGTTTGAGCGACAGAACGAGAAGGTCTCCTGGCTCGAGCTCATCGCTACGCGTAAGCTTTCCCCCTTCCTTTAGCGAGTCACGCTGACCCTCTACAGCCGGAAACAGGTACCGCATGTTCCTCGCTATCTGCGTCGGTATTTTCTCCCAATGGAGCGGGAACGGTCTGACAGGCTACTACCTCACGCAAATCCTGAAGCAAATAGGGATTACCGACGCTCAGTTCCAGCTCCGGCTCAACGGTGGGAAAGAGATCCAAGCCTGGGTGCTAGCCTGCGTTGGCGCCTTCCTGACAGATCACGTTCCCCGCCGAGTACAGTTCATCACCGGGACATCGGGCATGATGATCTGTTTCTCGGCCCTCACTGGCCTGACAGCGGCGTACAACAACAACCCTTCGCGTCCTATTGGCCTGGCGGCGATCTCGTTTATCTTCTTCTACTCGGCGTTCTACTCCTGTGGCTGGCAGGGTCTCACCACCCTGTACCCAACAGAGATAATGCCGTACAATATCCGTGCCAAGGGCCTGGCAGTCTCTAACCTGACCGTCAACCTCGCTCTCTTCTTCAACAGCTACATCAACCCCATCGGGATGGCGAACCTAGGCTGGAAGTTCTACCTCGTCTACGTCGCGTGGCTCCCATGCGAAGTGCTCATAATGGTGTTCTTTTTCAAGGAGACCAAGGGGCATACGCTCGAGGAGCTCGCAGTGATCTTCGATGGAGAGAAGGCGGAGGTTGCTGGTAATAGGCTCGGGTTCGACCCGGCCCAGCAGGAGATCGCGGACGTGAACGCTGAGCTTGCTAAGGTTGAGGGGCATGGGACGAGCACACCGGATGATATGGAGAAGGGGGAGCCGGAGCATATCGAGCGTCAGGCTTGAGTATTGCTTGCTCAGTGCCGCTGATACTGATGCTGATGCTATACACCTTACGGCCTGCTACAACCGCACACCTATTGCTATTGTACACACCAGATAGGGAATGATTATTAACTCACGTTCAGGAAGAGGCACATGTTGCGAGCTCAGAAGTACATTCAGCTGTATTCGGCACTTGCTTTATCAGTCGGTGATCCGCACCAAGGCAACGCAGGGCAGTGTAGTACAACTTGTGCATTATCAGAACCCCGTATAGTAACCTACCCGCGAACATCAACATTCCGGAACACACTCACAGGAGGCAGACACATAGTAAGTGGTCAATCAAACCAACACCGTCTCGCCAATACTCTCACAAGCCGTAAACCTCCCGCTCCCGATTCCCACCTTTTCACACTCCTCCTTCAGCCTCTGCGGGGGGTCCATCACCTTCTCCGTAGTGAGCATCCACGTGCCCCAATGCATGCCCACCCCCCTCCGGGCCTGCACGTCCCGGAAGAGGAGGGCGCTGTCCTGCGGCGCACAGTGTACGGGGGACATCATCTGCCTTGGCAAGTATGCGCCTATGGGGATAAGCGCAAGGTCGAAACCCCCAAACCGGGCGCCGATGTCTTTGAACACGGGGCACACAGGCATCTTCGTCTCGTCCATCCCGTCGGGGACGGCCCGGTACCCCGTATCTCCAGCGAACCAGATCTTGACCGGGGCGGGGGCGGCGTGGGCGGCATCTTGTGAGGAGGGGATGGACTCCAGTGCCCAAGAGGCCCAGAGCGTCTTGAACCTATCAGAGAGAGAGCGGCCCGTGAAATGCTGACAGGGCGTGCAGGTCAGCCTGAACCTCTCTTCTACGCCTTTGACCACTCCTCCCGCACCCTCTCCTTCTTCAGCCTGGGAGGGGAGGAGCACGGTACACTCGCGCTGCTCCCACCAGTCCATGCAGGTCCAGTCCTCTCCCGGAACCGCAAGACTCTGAAAATACGCGTCGTTTGCCAGGGGAGCGAATATATGCGGTGGCCCGCCTTTCTGTTGACGCAGGGTCTGGAGGGTGTGAGTGTCCATGTGGTCGTAGTGGTTGTGCTGGTGCGTGTTAGCTTCTTTCGGGAAGGGGAAAGGGAGGACGTACGGAGATGACCACAGCGTCCACTTGGGGGATGTCTTCTATCTTACACGGGGGAGCTGGAGTGCGACGTGTCAATGTTATGCGCATATATGTAGCATACGATGGGACGCACGCGTATACCTCGCAGGACCGATCCACTGTACCGGCGAACAGCGATGCGAGAACACCGGGTCGAAGAGGATCCTCGCTCCTCTTGCAGCGCCTTTCGGGGTAGGCAGCTCGACCAAGAAGCACGCGTGTCTGTGCGTGTCCATTTAGTTCATATGCAGATATAAGGAGGGGAAGGCGCACCCAAGCCAAGTAGCCTTCGTCTTCTCCGCCTGTCCCTCTCCCCAATTAGGCTTCACAACGGGCAACAACACAGAGATGTTAGGAGGCACTTTGTTCTTCCACATCTCGCGTATGAGCCCTACGATGGCTAGGAAACGGAGACCTTGTGCTTGGGGGCGGAAGGATGGCCATGGGTTGTGGAACCCTCCTGTGGGGAGGTGGTGGGCTGGTTGACTTGCAGGGCTGGGGGAGGGGGAGGAGAGGGGGACGGTGACGATGAGGGATGAGAGGGGGATGACCATGATGAACAGACTACAGTGAAAGTACAGAGAGAAAGAGGAAGGGACGGTTGCCAGCGACGAGTCGATGTATGCACTTATACCATCTGTCCCTGATCAAAGCCAGCCTCGTTCGACGCAGGGATCGGCGCAATGGACGACGTCAGCTCACCGGCGGCCGTTGGACTGACATGCCGAGGGACGCGTCAACGACAACAAGAGCGGAGTCAACGACGGTATTTACATCGTGGACGTTGTGGACAGCGTGGATTGATAACCCCGACAACGCCCATGATATGACCCACGTGAGTTGACCATGGTTATCATCATTACGTTACATTAGAATACAACACTTGCCTACAACCATACATCTCATCCCTCATACTGCGTCAAATCCAGCGTAAGCGTCCTCGAGCTATTCACCTCTTGATCCCTGTAGATCCCAACCAGCGAATTCCCTCTCTCGTACAGCGAGTTCTTCAATGAGATCACGATGAACTGGAATCCCTCACCCGCATGTTCCCGTAGATACGTCGCAATCTTCGCCACGTTCGTATTGTCTAGCGCAGCGTCCACTTCGTCCAGTACGAAGAATGGCGAAGGCTGATAACTGTGGATCGCGAACAGCAAGGCGAGTGCGGCGACCGTCTTCTCCCCTCCCGAAAGCAGCTCCATATCACGGAACCGTTTCATAGGGGGCATTGCATGATACTTCACTCCGGCAAGGTAGGGCTCCTCGCTGTCCTCCAGGGAGAGGTACGCGAACCCGCCTTCTGGTGCTACACGGCCCTTGGTCAGGTCCTTATACACCTTGTCGATCACGTCCGATATATGGTTATATGCTTTGTTGAACAGGTCGCATCTAGCCTGTGTCAGAATGGTGCACGGCTCATAGTCACAGTCGGCGTACCTCCGCTTCTTGACATCATTAAAGTCCTCACGCGCAGTCTTCGAGTCCTTCCGCGCCTTGTCAGCCTCCTTCTCCGCATCCTGCAATTTAGTCTCCACGTCTTCCAGCCGGTCCATGGCTTTCATATTCGGTGCCATCTTCTCGATCTCGGCGGTGATCTTGGCGATGCTAGCATCGATCTCGCTCAGCGCTTCGGGGGTGTCGTTCTCTCGGTCGTCGTCGTCTAGATCGGTGAAATCAACCTCGATGTCATAATCTTGCACCTGATGCGGCTGTTGCGTAGCATCTTCGTCTTCATCAAGTGCCATCTCGTCCCGTATGTTCTGAAGACGCGTCAGTTTACGTGCATGCATCGTTAGAGATATCTAACCTCTTCTATCGGCACGTTCTCCAGTCTCCCGGACTTGAGCGGCAGGTTAATCTCGTCAATGCGGCATTTGCGATATATGCCCGTTCTTTCCGCAGCAAGTTTGTCTATCTCAGTGTTCTGCAGATACACCGTCAGTCAAGCCCTAGTAACGTCCAGATGACGTGGACTGACCATGTCAGAAATCTCCTTCAAGGCTTTGTCCAGCGCAGCGGCAGCTTTCCCAGCAGCCCGCTTCGCTTCAGAAACCTTCTTCGCCTCCTGCTCATCCGCCTGGGCCAGCTCGCCTCGCTCCTTACGCAATTGAGCGAGCGCCTCCTCATCCTCGGTGATATCAGCAACTGCCTCTTCTTTCTGCTGCTGGAGTCGCTGTAACGCGGCCTCGGATTCGGAGGCCATCTGTTCCAGCCTCCCGAGTCGTTCCTTGGTGTTCGTGAGCTGAGAGGTCTCGAATTCCAACCTAATACTGCGTTCATAAAAGTTTAAGCACGAAAGAAGGATAGACGCACTGATGCTTTAGCCTTGAAATCTGTGTCTCGAAGCGAATTCTGGCCTCCTCGACCTCTTGATGTACCTTCAGCTGATGATCTTCGTACTCTCGGACACTTTTGATCTTGTACTTCCGGCAGAACGCCTTGAAGACTTCGTCCTCCGCTGCATCGATAACAACAGCTAACTCCTGAACCTCGCTCTGCACTTTTTCAAGAGTTTTGCGAGCCTGTCTTAGTAGTCAATAAATGGAATATTGTCGTAGGGGAGGAATCACCTTCTCCAGTTCGGGTTGCACTGCCTTAAGTTCCTTATTGACGTGCTTCGCCTCTTCCTGGATACCGGTCAAACGAGTAGAAGCAGCATTTAACTCGTCTTTCGCAGCGCTTAGATCGCTTCCCAGATTAGCGATGCGAGTCTGCAGTCCTTCGTCTACGGACTGGCGAGGTTTCGACTGTGTGAGCTCCCGAAGCTGAGCAACGAGCTTGTCGAGTGTACGCTTCAAACCTTTACTGATGTGAGATGGCAGGCGTTTGGTACCGCGGTGCCCTGCTTACCAGCCGTATCTTCATCACTCCACTTCCGCTCCTTACTGTGCCGCGAACTGCCACCAGTGATCAGACCGCTCTTGTGAATGACCGTGCCATCCAGAGTCACAGCTAATGAAACCATTCAGCAACAGTCTTGATCGAAGACAGAGCTATTCACCTTTCACATCTAAGCCCTTGTTGTAGCAAACGTCCTGAGCGATCTTCATCGTGTCGCATACAAGAGAGTTACTGCACACATGCAGCATGGCCTTCTCCACAGCGGAATCGTACTGAATGAGTTCGAACGCCAACCGTGCTCCTCGTGAGACATTCCGGTATCGCTCGTGGATGGTCTTTGTCTGCAGAGTATCTAGTGGAAGAAATGTAGCCTGTCCTTTCCTCTGATTGCGAAGGTACTAGAAAGGGTTATGAGATGCTAAATACAACGATTTCGATGCTCGCTCACCTCGATGCATTCGATGGCCTGTTTCTCCTCATCGACAACAATCGAGTCGATGTCTTTGCCGAGAACAATGGAAACGGCGGTATCGTACTTGCGCGCGATTGGCTTGCACAGATTAATAACGCGGCCACGCACTCCAGGGAAGAGTCGTTGTAGTTCGTCCAGAGTCTCCTTAAGCCGCATTTCGCGCTCAGATTCACGCTGATCCATCCCAGCTTCAAGGAGGCGATCGTGCGTGTCCTGGATTTTCTCTGTCAGTTCACGTTCCAGTCGGCTGCATCACGATCAGCACTGGGCCCTGGAAAGGATGGTCAAACGTACTTGATACGATCACGCTCTGCGATTGCGTTGTTCAGTTCCCGTTTCGTCGTTGCAAGTTGATTTTCGATCTCCTTCACACGCTTTTGTGCCTATTGATGGGGTCAGACAGAGCAGACCGTGCTAGTATCGCGGCTCACAATGTCTTTCTTCTCCGCTTGGCTAGCCCCATCGGATACGAGCTTCTCCTTCTGGGAGCGCAATTGATCAAACTTGTCTTGAGTCCGATCCATGGCGCGCTTGTGCGTCTTCTCGTCTCGTGCCAGGGTCTCTCGTTGTTGCCGCTCTGCCACGGCTAACGTGGCTGCCTGTCCTTTGCTACATATGATTGTCAGAGGCTGAGGGGACTAGGTATAAGCTACGCGAACAGCTTGTGATATTCATCAAGACTGTGCTCGTCAAACGATAGCCCCTTCTGTGCAGCCGCTCGAGCAGCGTCTAGACGTGTCCGTGAGCTGAGTAAATGTACACACGATCATCAACTTACCAGCCGCCTGCTTAGCCGCTTTTTGAACAGCGGTCAAATCAGTAGTCAGCTTCTCAACGGCCTCTTCTCCTTTCCCGATATCACGGCGCGTTGGCTCAGCCAGTGCTAGTGCCTTCCGAGCCTTGGATTGTGCGTGTTCAATCTGAGCATTGAGCTCCACAACCCGTGGCCGCTACGATGGATGGAATATTGAGTGAATGAGGGAGATAGAACGAATGAGCCGTACTTTCTCTTCTAAAGACTTCTCCGCTTTTTTGATCTGTTTATCTGCCTGCATAGTGGCCTTGTGCTGCTCTGCTTGCTGCTTTCGTGCCTTGTCATGAGCAGCATCTAGCTTCGTCTAGAAAAACTGTCTTAAGCGGCATATATGAAGTTGTAGGCGGTGCTACATACCTGCTCGGCTCGCATAGCAGCAAGCTCCTGGTTTTTCGCCTTGATCTGTTCCGTGTTGTTTTCAATGGTGCCTTGGATATGATATAGTTTCAACAACAGTCGGTTCACAATGAGCGCATCCTCGCCGTGTGTGAGACCCAACAGCAGCACGATTTCGGCATAACTCACCTTCTCGGAAACAAGTCGCTCAAACTTCTCGGCCTCCGTCTTCTGCTCTCTGTACTGCTTGATATCAGTCGCGATACCACGACGTTTGGTGTAGTTGAAGGTTGCGTTCTCAGTGGCGCGCTCCTGGGCAGCCTTTGCCCTCTCGTATTCAGGTGAAAGCTCAAGCGATCTGCACTTCAGTCAGCGCGAGGTATTGTGGTGCATGTATGCGCATACCCAGAAATCTGGTCTATGAGACGCGACAGATCCTTGGAGCTCTGGCTTGCAACGGCCTCGACATCACCCTGGAAAACCAGGAAGTTGCGCGCCTTGACAAGGATTTGTTGTTGCTCGAGAACGGAGTTGTATGCATGGTAAGTAACAACCTTGTTGTTGATACGATACTCAGAAGCTCCAGTTAGGGAGATGCTGGGATCAAGTCAACAAAGATAGAAGACAGACTCATGCAACTCACTTTCGTTGGAACCGGTACGCCTTCCCGTTCTCGTCCTCGTACACAGCAGCTACCCAAGCCTTGTCACCGTCACCATCACCCGACTCTTCAACATCCTCCGCCTCTTCTGCACCATCCTCTCTTCCTAGCTTGCGACCGCGATAGATGAGATCTTTCAGTTGTCCACTCCGCAGATGGGAACTCTTGACACCAAGGACGAACGAGATCGCGTCCATGAGGTTGGACTTGCCCGCACCATTAGGTCCGATAACACATGTGAACGTCTTGAACGGTCCGATGACTTGATGTCTTCGGTAGGACTTGAAGTTGAAGACCTCGATCTGCTGCAGCATCTTGCCAGATGGCGGTAATAAATAAGGCAGGGCACTATCGGTCGTAATGGGAGACGCGCGCTGGTAAGACGCGTCTGCTTCCGCTGCAACGAAGGTGACTGTTGGATGACAATAAACACAAGAGTCGTGTATAAAGAATCAAATGTACTGGTTATTGGGTCTACAACAAAGGTCAGTGAGAAGACGGGCTAACATAATAAACACACGAATTTGGAAAAGGACTTGGGAATATGTTCAGGACTGCGAAAGCAAAATGTAATGCGCATTCCGAGACGGGGAATCGAACCCCGAGCCAGTGCGTGAGAGGCACTAATGTTAGCCATTACACCATCTCGGATGCCATGGGGGGGCTCCTCTTTTGCATATTGATATACGTTATATTTTCTCATCCAGCTTGCAAATAGTCAATACATTCGCAGACAATACTAATTTATTACAATATGAAACCTAATGACTAGTTCAGATCACTAAGTGTGTATCGTAACGCCCACCGCAAGGGCCCAGCGAGTGGCGTTTCAGTGATGCGCGGCACATCTCGACCATGCAATGCATGGCGACGCCCTGTGTACCTAAGAATACAGCAACCCCGCATATATTTTACCACTCTCTGACAGCTCAACTCTCTCCATCTACTGGGTGCACAACGGGCACCGTGGATAAAGATGAGCCAAGAGGCTCATAAGGCGACGAACGGTCATGCGAATGGAACAGACGCGTATCCGAACGGTCATGCGAGGCACAAGTCTGAAGAAGTGAAGGATGGAGATGCACAGGATACGACGATACCTGTCCAAACTGTGAGAACATCTAGTCTGGACTTGGACGACTTGGACGACGCATTTTCTTTGGGAGATGATGATGGTTTGGAGAAACTCGATATTGCACCTTCAATATCTTTCCGAGAGATGGCGGAGCAGGAGCAGGCTGAGGCGGCATTAGAAGATGAGGTAGAGGAGGAGCATTTACCGACTCCGTCCAGAACTGCATTCCGAGAAGTTGTGGGGGACTCTCCAGGAGACCAGACGCCAACGGGGTCGTTCGCTTTTGATGGGATCTCCGAGGTGGACGGACGTTCACCAGATGGCAAGCAGGTCATCACGCTCGACATGAACGGCGGCACCCCCCACACGCCAGACATTACCTCGCCAGAAATGCTTGCAACTATGGAAACCCCTGTACACGAAGACCCTCCTGTGAATCGGGTGATATCACAGACGCCCGAGCTCGCTACAGAGTTTGTCGACATCTCCCTCGAACCTGGTCCTGGAGAGCCGCGCCGAGAAGTGTCAGCTACGACAACCCCAACAACTGCCACTACAGTAGTCACTTCCACGACTGCTTCTTTCCTCTCTACACCTGCGTCCACTACGAGTTCGTCCGCACCAGGATCAGCTCGATCAAGCCACGAAGTTGGAAGTGCGGAAAGCCCCAGGCTGCAGAACGGCGTTCCTTCTCACGACGAACCACAACATATCGCACCCCCACCACCACGACACACTCGCCACCGAGGACCATCAGTATTAGAGACCGTGATCAGTCAAACGCGGCCTGTATATCTCCCGCCCAAGCCAAAGTCGGAGGACAGGAGGCATTTGAAAGACTGGCAGACGATGATGGCACATGCGAGAGCTGCAGGTACGTGATTGGCCGCTTGTTGAAGATCTTTCTTCCTAAATATCACCATATCGTTTAGAGCAAAAGCGAAAACATGAGGCCGAGTTGCTGGCTGTGGAGAAGGAGCATCACATGGCTCAGATGCTGGAAATCTGGGAGAGGGAGATCATGCCGGACATTACCGCCGCGGCAAAGGACAAGAAGCTGCGAAAGTTGTGGTGGACCGGTGTTCCTCCGAAACTGCGAGGACGTGTATGGGCAGCCACAGTTGGTAATCCATTAGCTCTGAGTAAAGGTAAGCGCAGGGGTTGCCATGTCGGATATCCGAGATATATGCTGAATCGCGCCCAGATTCCTGGCGGCCATACATCTCCCGAGCGCGAAGAGCTGTCACCGCTGGCAAATTTCCGCGACAAACGTTGGAGCTCATCGAAGATGACATCGCGGAGACCATGCCTTCTCTGCGAATTTTCGACGCAGTACACGGGCCTCTGCATCAGGATCTACGAGACATGTTGTGCGCATGGACCGTTGCCAGGAGTGAAGAGGGGTTGTCATATGTAAGAAGACGGTCATCGCTAGCGCTTCTCTGACTAAAATGGCTCAGGTGCGAGGGGCTTCGCACGTAGCGGGCATGTTCCTCATCAACATGCCGGTGGAGCAAGCGTTCTTCTGCTTCCGGAATCTGCTCGATCGCCATTGCCTACGATCTTTCTATACAGGGCAGAACGACGACGTGAGTCTATGCATGCCATCACTGAAGCCACGTAGCTAATTTCGGACCAGATGGAAGGATACTATCGGTAAGCATTTCCCCGAGCCTTAGGCGCTCTCCGGCTGAGAGTTTGGGTCAGAATATTCGACACATTGCTGGCGGATGTTATGCCCAAAGGTTCGTTCCCCGCCCAACTCCCAACATCGTGATAACTTTATCTCCCCCCGTCCAGTGTACTACAACTTCCAGCGACATCACATCCCGCCCACGCGATATCTGCCAGACTGGATCATGCCCGTCTTCGTCCCCCACCTACCATTCGACACTTGTGCACGAATATGGGATCTGGTGCTCCTCGAAGGGGACTCATTCCTCTTCCGCGCAGCGCTAGCAGTGTTGGGGGTGATGGAGGGACGCCTGTATTTCCCCGATCACGACGAGCTTATGCAGGTTTTACGCGGGGAAGACGGGACGCGTGGGAAGGGGAAAGGTAAGGAACTGGTTGACGATGCTGGTAGGTACGCGCAGTACGGCATGACGGAGGAAGCGGTGTTCGACCGGATCGCAGCTGTCCACGAAGAGTGGAAGGACAACACGTGGATGCGTCTTGTTCAGCGGGAACTGCCTGATCTTTGATCCTCAGTCTCATTCCAACCAAGGACATTACCTCTGTCGGTTTATATGTATTCTATCGCATCTAATTGGAAGGAGGACGCGAGCCTCGCATCACCTGTACGAATCTATTTCATGCTTCATTTCCCTTCTTGCAGCACCTCCTGCACCGTCCGCCTATGCTCGACAACGTCCGCGACGATCGCCTGCGCGTCGTGGAAAGACTTGAACTCGATGTGCGGGATGTCATGCGTCCGGCAGTAGCTCGCTAGGTCGTTTTCCCCGTTATCCTTGATCTTGACGAATAGCAGGTCGGCGTGCTTTGCCGCAGACAGATCTGGAGCACATTCAGCTCTAGCCTTTCCCCAGGGTAGTTTACTTGCCGGAGACACCATCACCGAAGAAGAAAAGCGTAGGGCGATGCGCCAGCTCCCGGTAAGGGAGGATCGCCCACGACTTGTCGTGTCCGAACCCACTGTCCGACGTCGTCAGCCCTTCTCATCAGGATAGCGTGCAAGCCCACCTGTCCGGGTGTCGGTACTGAATATCCCACTTCTTCCCGCCATCCTCCACGACCACAGAATTACAGATCACGTCAATCTCCGAGGCCTCGTCGTCCCCCAAAAGCGTGGAGAGCACGCCCCGCAGCGTAGGCTCCATCCCGCTGCCATGGGCGTCAGATTGCTCACATCAGGATGGGATACACAGACCTGGAAACGATCACGACCGGGACGGCATGGGCCTTGCACCATCTGTAAAAGTCCTTGAACCCCGGGTCGAGCTTGATGTCTACCCACGCAGTAAACTGTCAGCGATGATCCGGGAAGGGCGCCTCAGCACCTTGGGCAAGGGAAAGACGCACTCTTCTTGAGCAGCTCGACACATTCGTTGAATGGCACTCCATTCGCAGCTACACTCTGGAGCATCTCGCGGAATGCGTCTCTACCCAGGTGAGCCGCAGAACCACATCAGTCGTAAACGCGGTGGAGGAGGACGGGCGCACCGGAAAGTGATCTTCCCCGCGAGGACTTCGATATTGAGCGCCCTCCTTTACACGCGTCAGCAGGCGTATAAGAAGAGCATGGAGGGCATACCTCTTCTCCAACCCAAACCCGAGATTGTCCGTCAAGACTAGCCCCCTGTCAGCGCCTACACACTCCAGAGAGAACAAACACACAATCATTCGAGTCTGTCATAGTGATAGTCCCATCCCTTCATTCAAACCTCAGTAAACAGGATGCAGCATGAGCCAGAATATGCGACGCACCAGTCGGAGAGAGCCACAAACTGGGCGTCTTTGTATATCGGCGGATAGGGGAGTGTGCTATGCGGCCTAGAGGCGGGGTCGATAGGTGTCTGATCCGGCATATCTACAAATCGAATCAACTAAGGGGTCGAAGTGAATTGTACAGAAGAGAGAGGTGGTGGGAGGTCGAAGAGATGTTGACAGTGGAGGGCGTCGGTGTTGCGCTGTAAATTACATTGCGTCCCTGTTGACATCATACCCTCTCTATTTCCCACGGTCACCTGAAAGTTGGAGTATCAAACTCCAATTTTCAACAATAAGATTTTAAAATAAATTATTTCATTGCAGGTGATTATTTTATTATACTTTTCATCCACGTACACTCTGTGCTATCCGTAACGCCGCTTCCTTGCCTTGGCGCACACAGTCCCCCACACTCACCCCGCCAGCTTCAGCACCGATCATCTCCAGCCTGCCTGCATACGGCCTTTCGAGCAGTGCATGGCGTAGTTGTGCCACACGGGCAGAATGCTCCATCCCCGGAGTGGGGATACACTTCTTGGCCACGACGAACCTACGCTTGTCAGTCTGGCTCACAGAGGCAAGAGAGCACCCACCTGTGGTAGAGCGGGTCGGGGACCGGGATGCCCAGATGCTGCCTGAGAGCAGCGAGGAATTCCGGCAGGTACGGCTCGCCGAACCTCCGCTTGTACGGGCCCCCGGACATCATCGTCATCTTCACCGCTCCGGGTAGCGTGTCCTGCTCTCCAAGAGCAACGCTGTCAAACACCGTCCCCAAGATCCCCGGGTTGTCCTCCGTCACCTCGCTATATCCTCCCTCCGGGCGAGGGACAAGATACCCGAATCCAGCAGGATGGGGAAATCGGGGGAAGACGAGGTTGAGCAGGAGGACGCTGGAGTAGTGCGAGTGCGGGATGAGGAAGTGTAAGCCTGGGTCTGGGAGGATCTCAGGCAGACTCTGGAATGGCAGAGCGCTGATGATGTGTGTTGGGCAGTCTTCGGGTAGTTCTCTGCTTGCTCTTACCTGGCAAAGATCAGCGCCGTTTACCATATTATCAAAGCTTGAAGAGACGTACTTTGAAATCCTCTTCCTCAGCGTACACAGAGACGACTCCAGTGCCCTTAATGATCCTCACATTCGCCCTCGTCGCCAGCTCAGCCTCCATCGCCCGAGGCAGCGTCTCCATGCCCTCCTTAAACGAGTACACGCTGACGTTGCGCATCATTTGTCCAACATCTCCCATATCATACCCACTCATATCCTCCGCCAGCACCCTCCCAGCAGCGCGCATCCCGAGCACGACACTCCCCCTCCCGAGCTCCTCCGCAGCCCACAAAGCCGGGAATGCAGACCGCACGCTGAGCTCACGCGAGTCGGCAGCATATATCCCATGAACGAGTGCGCTCCCGAATCGGCGGGCAAAGTCCACACCGAACCTACGGGTGAAGAACGAGTTGACTGACTCGTCCTCTGCCTTTGGGGGCCGGTTGGCGCGCCGCAGGGGTTCGCCGAGGATCGCGGGTAGGAGAGGACGCAGGAGGGGGTTGAAAGGTGTTGCCAGTGCACCGAGGAGAGAGGAAGGGAGGAGCGTGAGCGGGGAAAAAAATATGTATCTGTTCCTCGCTGCCGGTGCGCTCTTGGACACTGTCACCAGCTGGTCTTTCAGTCCGAGCAGATGTACCTGCTCATCGTCAGTCCCGCCTTGAGCACGTTGATGGACGTACGAGTTCTAGCAGCGCCCCGCTATTAGGCCTCAACGTCCTCGGCCCCGACTCCAATACCACTGACCCCCGCTCCCCTCTCTCGTCCTCTAGCTCCAGACGGTCACTCTTGATCCATCCTCCTAACCGAGGCCGGCTTTCGAGCAAGGTGATGCGTACTGCTGGCAAGATGCGTGATAGGTGGAATGCAGCTGAGAGGCCTGTGATGCCCCCGCCGATGACCATGACATGTTTTGTTGCTGTCATTGTAGTGGTCAAGGAAGGCTCGAGGACATTGTCTGCGTTGTTGAGAAATGTTGGAAAAATAGGTCGTGTGCCGGCGAACATCGGAACACGTCACATGATAATAATACACATTACATCCCTGACATTTTTCTCTTTCTTTTCACTTTCACTTTCACTTTGAAAGGAACAACAACAATGTTATACCAACGTGTGCAACAATAGTCCATACAACACTTCCGTCCAATATAGACAATGAATCCATCAATTGCACTTACAACAACAGCGCCGCACCAGCCACGACCCCCACACCAGCAAGCCAAAGCGCCTCATGGCCATAAATGACGCTCCCCGCAGCTCCTCTCGCACCCGGGCTCGCGCTAGCACTGCCCGTCGTCGTGGTCGAACTCGAACTGGTGGACCTGGTACTCCCGCTACTCCCGCTCGACTGGGTGGGAGCTGACGTGCCCGTCGCGGGCGGGGCGGCTGCGTTAGAGATTGTTGGCAGTTGCGAGCAGTCGCTCGACGATCCTGCAGGGTGCGCGTCTGGCGTGGTAGGATCACCTTGGGAGAAGGTGCTCGTCGTTCCCCCATTGACGTATATCCCCATGGGCTCGGTAGAGTCTCCCTACGCACAGTCAGCACTTCCTCGGGAAAGGAAGACAAGTGCGGCAGATGAAGGAGGGACGCACAACACAGTTCTCGAACGTGCCGGCGTCGTAGTTCCCAGGCATGTTCCAATCACAACCGAGCAGATCGTACACATGGTTACAGAACAGCGGGGCTTCCGGGGCGTCCTTACACGCCCTAAAGCAGAAGCTTTGGTAGTCCATAAAGTTCTGTTCACATATCAGCTCTCCTCACCACCGAACCGTATTCAGAGGGACTTACAGTCCACTCATGATACTGCTGCAGGGCGCCAAACGATGACCCGAACACGAGTCCTCCAATCGGGTTGCCATTCCCGTCCGCCCCGTGCGGGTCGAGTTCTCCTCCCTCGTCCCCAGCAGGGATATTAAGCTGTGTCATATCGCCCACCCCGGTGACCTGGACATAATCAGGAGTCTGCACGAAGTGTGCTCCGGTGATGGCGCCGTTGGGGATCAGGCGGGTACCATACCCGCTCTATCGGACGATGAGCAAACACACTCCTCCCTGTGTTAGGACGCACCCGGATACACCAAGCGACCTCGATCCTCTCCGTCTCCCCAATGGTGCTCGGCACGCCCTGAAAAGTCGGATCCGGAGGTGCCCAGAGACAAAAGTCCGTGACAGAGTTGATGTACACGTTCTGGCACTGACTGGTCTGGTTTGTGCCTGTACCGCACTCGTTCGTCCCTGATTGGCCCTGTTCAGACTGGGCAGGTGCGTTTGACGGCAAGTAGGTCGCGCTGTACTGTGCACGTGCGGTAAGTGCGAGGAGGAGAACAAGGAAGAACATGATATTCCTATAGTGCGAATGAAGTGAAGAGATGGTGGTCACCTAAGAAGAAGAAAATGAGGCGCCTGAGCGTATCAAAATTACATTGAAGGTTGTCTAAATATAGAATACATATCCCGATTCAATAGGCCCGATCACAGCATTCGGAGCCGAACAGCATTTGTATGTCTGATGTTGTTTGTATTGCCATTTATGTATATTCTACCATTTACCTCATTCGTAACATTTCATTGTCAATGTTTACAATATTCATCTTTCTACAGACAACCAAACGTAATATCCATCTCACTGCGACTGCTTGCCCCGCTCCACTCTGCCCCACCTCGTTCTCCTCTCCACATCTCCCCGCTTCATCCACCCCACCACAACCCACATGGACGGTACCGCCAAGCCAACTTCTGCAAATCAAAGCCGGATCAATATCAATCGTCCTCCCGATCGATGCAAAAGTTGCCCTACACTCCCAGATCGGCGGCTCTTCGCACGTATTATTTACCTCATGTTCACGAGAGAGTTGATGTTATGTCAACCGAATCGACCAACTTCGTTTCCTAGATCCTTTCCCATATCCGTATCCCTCTACTCTATCTGCCTTGCGCCCAGGAACCGGCGGCCATTCTCCTGCTCGTATCTCCCTCTCGCATCACTGCTTCTTCGAGGTTCACTGCTCTATACACCCACCCGTCAGAGGCTGTACGTGAGGCAAGATACAGTCCTTCTCTGCTTTGTATTACAAATGGCCAGGATTCTGGAGTATGTTGATCTGCGGACGGAGGAGCCGCAGTGTATAAGACGGTACTTCGTTCTAGTCTACAGTACAACTACATTCGCGTTGGTCTTGACACTTGCATTCGCATCCAACCCTGAGAAACAATTTCTCTGCGTAGAGTACCAGGGCCTCCACTGTTACCAGACATAGGAAGGCGCACGCCCGCACTCTTAGTCCCTGCCAACCATAACCTTTATAACCATTCCCGACTGCTCATCCCCGCCTTTGCTAATCAGCTCAAACGCCTTCCCCGCATCCTCGAGCGCAAACCGGTGCGTGACCATCTTCTCAATACCCTCCAGCGCGCCCGAGCCGATGAGCCGCAGCGCCTCGGGGTAGGTATCGTGATACCTGAACACGCCGAGCACGTCTACTTCCCGCAGTGCCGAGGCTGAAAGGGGGAAGAGAGCAGCCGGAGTACCCATCCCAACCAGGACGAGCTTCCCGCCTGTGGTCGCGCACTGCCCGTGTGTGAGGAACGGCCCTGCATGCAAGGGAGGAGGGACTCACATGCACCCCAGCTTGGATACACGGCTCGACGCCCGTGCACTCGAACACTACGTCGAACCCATCCGAATGGCCCGTTCCGGACTTGAGCTTCCCCGCTGTCTCCCTCGCCCTGTCCAGCCCTTCCTCGCGAGTCGCCGGCCTTCGCCCTCGCTGAAGGGTGTATGTCACATCAGCAAACCCCTGTTCCTTGGCGAACTCGAGTCGGGAAGGGTCGATATCCACTACGAGAACTCGGGATGCACCGTTCGCTTTCGCCAGCGCGCATGCGAGGAGGCCTACTGCGCCTGCGCCGAGGACTAGCGCGCTCTGACCTCGCTGGAAGTTGGCTCGCCTCGAAGCGTGGAGGACGACGGAGAGGGGCTCGGCGAGTGCCGCTTGTTCAAAAGTCGTGTTGTCCGATATGCTGGTAACTGTTAGCCTGGTACTGTACTGGTGCGAAGGGGGAACTCACGGATGCAGCAAGCGAGCAGGATGGTTCATCCTCCCCTGGAGCGTACCGTCCCGGTGAGGAAAGGTCTTTGCACTGCTGCAGAACTGCATGCTCGGGCAGAGGTTATACCTCCCCCCAAGGCAGAGTGTGCACTTGCCACAGTAGACACCGCACTCAATCGCTACCCGTTGACCGACTCTGAGCCCAGTGACTCCTGGCCCGAGGGCGACAACGACACCGGACGACTCGTGCCCGAGGACGAGGGGTGCGCGGAGGGCGAAATCGCCGTTCCTCCCATGTTGGTAGTAGTGCACTGTGCGAATCTTAGAACATGTCAAGAGCAGAGAAAGCAAGCGTACGATCACTCCCACAGAGCCCGGTAGCAACAACCTGCACTTGGACGTCGCCTTCCCCCGGCGGGGTCGGCACTCGGGACTCTAGTCGCAAGTCCTCAGGCCCGTGGAGGACCATTGCCGTGTAGGATTTCTCCGGGGGAGTCATGTTGCGTGTCTAGTAGAAAGAAGAGGGAATGAAAGAGAATGAAAGTGTAGAGTAATTGCTGAATCGCAGTGTTGAGTATTTATAATAATTTACCTCATGGTGGCTGGTGGTCAAATGACGGGCTAATGTAGTTCCGGTCCGACTGTCCGCACTTCGGTCAATCTTTACCTCTTTCTAGTGCAGTCATGTCCAGAACAAATATGCTTAAATTACATGCATGCTTTGGTATTATTAGATTATTGCAGAATATTGTCAGAATTCTTGGCCACCCACAGTGCTGGTCGAGAACAGGCAGAAGTAGCACATGAAGAACAATTATCCCCTTCTTCCTCGGAGTTTGCCAGCTGAGATTGCAGAAGATTAGAGAGGTTAAATGTGTGAGTAAGCAGCATGTATACTATAACGAAGGCAACCGAGAATTTGGCTGCTTACTGAGCACTTCCTCGAGGGCAACATGCAAGGATATTCCCTTACATCTTCCCCTCAACTCTCTTTCCTCTGATACTAAGCACCTTATTCATCTCGGCCTCTCCTGCCTTTCTGGGTCATCCGACTCCCCGAGACCTATTCGACTCCCGGTCCGGACTGCCGGAATTCCTGATCGTCCGCTTTGGACGGCGACCGGGTGTGAGAGTACGCCGGACATCGGGCCGAACCACCGACCGCCGAACGTCCGACGCCGCCGCCGTCATTGACGGACAACAGCGACAACAGCAACGTACATTCTTACCACCATCATGTCCTGCGAGCCAACACCATCAGTGCACGTCAGCCAACTATTCTCTCTCAAGGGAAAAGTCGCTCTCATCAGCGGCGGCACACGCGGTACGCCCCTTCGTTTGCCGCACTTTCTTGCTCACACAGCCCAGGAATCGGCGAAGCATGCGCAATCGCTCTGGGGGAAGCAGGCGCCTCAGTCTGTCTCATACAACGTAATACGAGCAACACGAGTACGAGGGACGCACTCCGCCTGCTCGGCGTAAAAGCAGAGATCGTCCCCTGCGACCTGGCAAACCTAGACGAGGTCAGGACGGTGTTTGACCGTGCGTTGGAGATGATGGGAGGGGAGATTCATGTGCTTGTCAACTGCGGTGGGATACAGAGGAGACATCCGGCTGTTGACTTCCCCGAGAAGGAATGGGATGAGGTACGTCTGCCTGTCCATGCCGTTCTGTACCCCTCCTATACTCACGCTTGGTAGGTAATCGACGTGAACCTCAAGTCCGTCTGGCTCCTCTGTCAAGCAGCAGGGAAACACATGGTGCCCCTCCGCCGGGGAAAGATAATCAACTTCGCCTCTCTCCTCACCTTCCAGGGCGGGCTAACAGTGCCTGCGTACGCTGCTGCCAAGGGCGCAGTGGGACAGCTTACCAAGGCGCTGAGCAACGAATGGAGCAAGGAGAACGTGCAGGTTAACGCTATTGCCCCGGGGTACATCGCTACAGATATGTATGCGCTCCTCCTCTCGGTGTGACCTGACTAACGATATATTGGGTAGGAACGAGCGACTCCTGGCTGACCCTACGCGGTTGCGCCAGATCTCGGAGCGCATCCCTGCAGGCCGCTGGGGTGCCCCGGCAGACTTTGCAGGCCCGACAGTGTTCCTCGCGAGCGAAGCGAGCCAGTACGTCTCCGGGGAGGTGCTTGTCGTCGATGGGGTATGTATCGTACTTTGTGCAGCCGGGAGTTGCTCACGTCATTCGTAGGGCTGGATGGGCCGTTAGTGGGCTCCGTATGCTCGGAGTTCGGGGAAAGATGTGTACGTTTGCCAGAAGACGGCCGGGAAGATGTGTGTAGCCTAAACGAATAAAGCCTGTTTCCCATCTCGGCGCCGTCTGTCATCTGTCCTCTTCTGGGCCTACCCGAGTGGGTACAATACTCCAGCGCGTGGGACATGAGCTGTGAGTCTCCCGAGGTCTCATAACCCACCTGTACTGATAGGATTACCCAATGTCGGAAGTCGGTTCGCAAGTTTGGCGAGGTCGGTAGTACCCCGCGGCGTGTCATCCGGTGGAAGATTATGCATACCACGCGTGGGACGATTCTGCCTTGCACAATCCTGGAAGACCAATGCAGCTGACTGATGCGTGGGAACGTCGTTCGGTTCTTATGGTTGTGACTGGAGGACTCGGCAGGGGTCGACTGTTCACCCTTGCAGGGCATGACAGCGATGAATGTTGTACATTGCCATGCGCAGAAATAACATGCGTGATGTCCGCCCCCGTTTCTGCCCTTATCGGCTTCTCCAGGATGGTCAGGCTCCGTACGAATTCGTCTGTCCTGAACCTCTTTATCTGCTCGCTGTTCTGAAACCGCTCTTTGAGCTCTCCCAGGCCGCCTCTAGCGGCGGCAATTCACGGAACATCGATACGACCGGTTTAATCGTCACGAGACATTCCCGCAACGGTGAAGCAAGTCTGGACCACTCTTCGCTTGATACCTCGCAAACAGCATGATCAGTTGCGAGTCTGAGAGACTGAATTCCAAGGATGCCGAGTGTTTGTTTGTTCTGGCAGTCTCAATGCATTTATGATCATTGAACATTAATGTTTTGCCCGGAAGTTAGCTTCCGTTCCGAGACTCAACTGATTTCGTGTCAAGGCAGCCTTGGTCCTGTACTACCCAGTACCATTGATCATTCTACTTCTCGCAATGTCCCCATCTTTCTCGTTGTGGGATGTAAGTCATGAATCGATCCTATTCGGGACCGGTTGATGGTCTTCCTTCAGATGATCAGATTTTGACCTTGGGGGCGAGTCGGATGCCCCATGATAGACACCCCTCACGAACTGCCCTTCCTCGCCAGGCTCTGGCGTATTTTGCCGGTTCGGTTTCGATTTTATGTCTACCGAATACTTGCCTACACATCACCACGGCCATCCGGCTACATGCGCTTTCAAGGGTCATTTAAAGTTGGCTTTGGGTTACCTCTCTACCTAAAAGGTGATTATGACCTCAAATTGATTGAACCCCACGCGATGTGCCTTCTTCGACGACATACCAACATACCATCTCCGAGATTCCTCAATTTTGTTACGCATGAGGAACGGGGTAGTACAATGTGCTACATTCTTATGACCGAATTACCCGGAAAGACGCTTCTTGAAGTCATCGAAACTCTGTCGCCGGGCGAGATCGTCGACATCGGGATGGACCTTCGAACACACTTGTCCGAGTTTCGCCGTATACCGAACCCGTATCCAACTCAAGTCTGGGGTGCATCTGGAGGTGAATGGCTGGCGCCCCGTTTTCATTATGATTGGGATATGCCGGTTTTTGAAGATGTGGCAGCGTTCCACAACTGGATCCAGAGCGTGACCGGGCAGTACTGGCCATTGGTTCAGCCGAAAGTAGAGAAGACATTCGCCAAGTATCACAACACACCGACCGTATTCACCCATGGCGATATCGCGCCTCATAACATTCTGATCGAAGGGGGAAGGATTTCAGGACTGATCGATTGGGAGACGTCCGGTTGGATGCCGCATTACTGGGAGAATATATGCTGTGTGGAACCAAACCGCCGCGGACCGGAGGCGTTCAGGAAGGTGCTTGAGATCGCATTGGCTGACTTTGGAGCGGGTGAAGGAGATGGCATAACTCAGGCTTCCGAAACAACTTTCAACCACCCGCCATGGGAAACGATGTCAAAGGAAGAGAAAGAATGGTATTGATCCGATGTGCGAGAGGTATGCCAGTACCATTTGGGAAGAAGCGGGACTGATTGGCTGGTGCAGCAGACGTGCCTGCCTTGTCCTTGACAGTGTGGTTTCGCAGATAAGACTGGGTTTTTCATATACCCACGTAGATGTTAACTACATGTCTTCAGCAGATCGCCTTTCCCTTGTCCTAGATAGTGCGGTTTCGCCATTTTCTTTACTAGGTGATCGCACGGACTTCCGGTACTGAGTTGCTGATGAGGACATGCAATTAGCATTTACATGAGTACATGAAGAACCCAGTCTTGTTTTATCAACAATGTGGTGGTGCTCATTGATCACATCGTGATTCTGCCTAGATGATCTGCTCAGCTCCTGTCTCTTGTTCTACAGAGTTCGTCAGTATGCATATAGCATGTGAAACAAACATACCAGCAGTAATGGGAGTAGCTCACAGGCAGCGCCCGATAGGAAGCCAGCATCCGGATCGCAAGTGCATGAGAAAGCGATGAAGACCCTCGTCTACTTCCCCGCTTCGCCTAGGCACCCAGCAAAGAACACCTCAAGCCCTCTCCCACACCCGCCAATTCCCCTGCATGTGCCATTTAGCGCCCAACAGCACCATCGCAGCGACCCCGAACGCCCCTCCCGAGAAACCGATGCATATCGTATACGCCTGCGCTCCGGTAAGATGGAGGGCCGTCTCCGAATAGTCGACGAGGGCGATCCCAATTGCTTCGCTCACCAGGCAAGGGACGGCGCCTACAAGACAGAGAAGGGCCCTGCCTGTTGCCATCTCTCCCAACCCTACTACTTCTGCGCATACAGGTCCACAGGCCGCCCAGAATATTCCCCCAGTCATCCCCTGCACGATACAGAAGAAGACGAGCAAGCCAAAGTTGCGTGCGAACATCCATATCACTAGACAGGAAAGATCACCAAGGAGGGTGATGATCGCTGTTCCGTTTATTCGCCCGACGCGGTCCAGGAACAGCCCAGTGAGAGGCCGGCCAACGATCTGCGATGCAGCCATGATCGCCTGCAGGCTTGCACCCTGCGCTTGCGTGAGCCCGAGCCCGGCTGTAGCGTAGGTCGGTACGCTGACTACGGCGATCGTGGACCCCAGGAGGATGGTAAACGTCCACAGGAGCACCCAGCTAAACCCCTTGTGTGCAAACCAGTGCAAATCCCGAAATCGGAACATAGTGACATGCGTTTCTGTTCTGACGCGCATGAGCAGGACGGAGGGTGTGAGCACGACCAGAGTCACAAAGGCGTTGATGATGAATGCCCAGCGCAGACCGAGGCGCTGGATCGTGGCGCGTGTTACGAGGGAGAAGAAGAGGCTCCCACCGCCCGAGCCGGAGGTGGCGATCCCGAGAGCGAGGGCGCGGTGTTTGGAGAACCATTGGGCGAGGACGGGGAGGGTGGGAAGCCAGACCTGTGAGAATTTGGGAACTTGGAATGGTTCTGATGTGTGGTTACTCACCAGACCAATCGCGGTCCCGCTCTGTGTCAAGAATATCTGCCAGATTTTGGTCGAAAGCCCCGCAAACACCAGTCCAAGGACTTGCAGAATCACTCCGATACACATGGGCACCTTGAGCCCGAGCCGACTGGTCAGGTAGTTTGAGAGCGGCGAGACGAACAGAGGAAGCGACAGTGCTAGGCCTGCTACGAACGCGTATTCGATGTCGTTCGCTCCGGGGAAGAAGTCGTTGACCCGGTAGAAGCTCAGGAAGACGCCGAAGGATGTGATTGGGCCCCAGGTGCACGCTAAATCGCGTGACCGAAACAAATGGAGCAAAATAGTGGTGAACATACTGTTTATGAAGAATTGGCAAAGGCAGACGACCCAACCGTAGCCACCATCGGGTATTGCCTCAGAGGGAGATTTGGATTCCACATCTCCGTTCGGAAGCAGGTCCTGTGGCTCGAGCGGTATCTGCAAGCTGAGCGCATCTCTGTCGTCCTCCTGTAGGTGATGTTCCAGAGCTGGAAAGTGGGAAGTTTCCTGCAAGCGACTAAGCTTTCGTTCCTGGATTGAGTCTCCTTGTTCTAGTTGAAGTTGCCCCTGCTGCAGAAGGGTAGGACTCTCCTTCTCAGGCTCTTGAACTTGTCCTGAGGTGGTCATCAAGAATAGAGCATGAAATGAGTGGGACCGCAAGCCATTTGTCCCAGCGTTTACGCATTCAACGCTCCCACAAGCAGACAGAGTGGAGAAGTCGATTCATGCGCCTGATAGTTGGACGGCCCGGAGAGGGCGCAGAAATTACGGCCCGATTGTCGGCCAAGTTTTCGGCTATCGGAGATACGCTTCCGGCGCATTGGCCTCCAAAGTTCCGGCAAAAGGTAACCCATTAAATGGTTTTGGATTGCCTGCTCATCGTTTACTCCCAACTCCTTTGTGCATCTTATACGAAATTGCAAGTTGTGGTTATTGGAGCGCCAACAAGTGCGATCATTAATGTTATCGTGATTGCCATTCCTGAATAAATTAAAGACACGGGGTATTTTTCATCCGCTTGCGCGTCGCGTTGCGCGTTCATGTTCATTTCAACTCGTGCCAACATATCGCTCAGCACGAACAGCTCTTACATTCAGAACACGAAGACTTCTGGAAAAACTTCAGATTATCTGAGAAGCTCTTGCACTATCTTGACCCACATAATCTAATGCTTGCGGAGACTTTCGCCGTGCTCGCAGGACACGAGTCTTCTCTGTTCACCGTCTCTCCCAATGGCCTCCAACTCTCTGAATCATTCGCACCTTTGCTACACCCAGGCGAACGATCCGCTCTGATATCTCTCGCTTCTATCGCTTTCCTGTATCGAAATGTCCGATCCTTCGCCCGGTCTCCGTCACACAGACCTAACGAGTATATATGCGCACTGGCATCCGCTGTCGGCGCAGAGCTGAAAGAATACGAAGCGCTCGTAGTGAAGACCGAAGAATCCGTCCTGCGAAAAGACGACGCTCTTGTCGGAAGCGGATCTTTCGTACCTATGTCAGCTCTTCTGGCGATCTTCTCTGGTTGGGAACCGCCTCTCGCCGCACTCTCGTCTCTGATCGCTGAGATCAAGGCCGGCCCTTCAGAAGGAAACGAGCCCAATTGGCCCGCCGGAAAGCTGATCGATCTTGTACATAGACGTGCAAGGACGGGATACTCGCAGGTGGCGGATATATTCAATCGTCTGCTAGCATCTCTTCAGCGCATCCTGCTACACCATCTCAACGCTTACCTGCTACATGGTATCCCCCTCCCTGCCGATTCAATCCCGTCCTGTATTTCTCCCGAAACGAAGGAGGCGATCGTGTATGTTGGTGATGCGATTGCCATCACGCAGAAAGAAGGCTGGACCCAGTCCCTCCCGCGAGAACTCCTGTCCGAATGGACATCCATGATCAATAACGCCTCGATTTTCGAAACACAAACGTTCGATACCCTTGTTGCAAGTATTCGGACGGGAGTCAGCGAGTGGCTTTGGGCACATGTCCTTACCCGAGACGACATCGTGAACGCGGTGGAATCATTGTTAGTGCTCCTAACAATGATGGCTCTTATTAACACCTGAATAGAGCCGATTATTTCCTTCTGCGAAATGGAGAGTTCTCTGTTGCTGTTATTCGAGAAGTCGAGCGCCTCAAGGCCGACCGGCTGAGATCACGAAACTCCATCATCCGCGCACAAGATCTTAACCATGCTCTATTACGAGCTTCAGTCGGAACATCCGCAGAGACCGACCCTTCCTTATCGAAGCTTTCATTCACCATCCCGTCTGGAACGATGCGGCCATTCCTACCTCATCTCACAAAATCCAACACCTCTATGTCACGATTCAGCGCCCTTCCGGATTTCTCCTCCTTCCTCCTCGGAACTCCAATCCAACTCACGTACCCACTCGAGTTCCCCCTCTCACTCTTCCTATCACCTTCCGCCCTCCAAACATACAGCCGGATGCACGCCTATCTCACCTCGGTCAGGCGAGCCCACATCCTCCTTCTCGACCTCTGGTCCTCTCTCTCGCTCGCTCAACGCAAAAGACGAAAGTGGCTCCGGATCGGCGAAGGCGGAGAGAACGAGGAGATCACGATGCGTACGATCCTCCTCAGGCGGAGCTGGGGTTGTGTACGGGAAATGATCTGGTTCTTGGAGGTGTTGTGGTCCTACATCGGTGGGGATGTCGTGGACACCTGTTATCGCACTTTCCGGGAGAAGATGGGTCTTCCAACAAGTCGGACAAGAACCGTTTCTCGGCCTCAGCAGGAAACACTGCCTGGCACGGAAATCGTGCGAGGGGAAACGCCCACACCGGAGAAACAGCTAGACTTTACGACCCTGCGGCAACTTCACACCACTTATCTGACCAGTCTTACGTCGGCATCGTTGATGGCCTCAGGACCATTATCGACTATCATCCATGAGATATTGCAGACCTGTGAACGGCTTGTTGGACAAGTGGAACGATGGGGTGGGGATGTGCTTCCTGATCTCCTAGGCGCGCAGATGGAGGGCGGAGGCGGGATGATAGAGCGGCAACAGGTAGTCGAAGAGATTTACGAGGTGAGAATACATACATCTACCACATCCGCCCGCATGCACCTGACACGTTTATCCAGATATTTACCGAGAACCTACGCGACTTCTTCTCCTTACTAGCAACATCACCCCTCCTTCCGACAAGAAACGCCGACATGTCCACTTTTGTCAACGCCTCCTGCGTGCTGAACGCTACGATGCATGGCGCGAACGGCGCGGCATCGATGCAAGCTCGGCGTCAGGTCGAGCATCTGATGTTAAAGTTGGACTTTAACATGCAGTTGTCTGATCCGGTGCAGAATGCACCCAGAGAGGGGGAGAATATCTTAGCTGGACTGACCTGACCTGATCTAAGGATCTTGTCTAGAATGTATATGTACATCTCCTATAGCTTGCTTGGAAGTTTCAGGGGTGATTCGTGATTTTGTAAACCTGCCTAGGATGTTGGAATACTGATACTGAACGCGCCATGTACCAGAAATTAGGACGGGATGGCCAAAAAGCATCGAGTGGGACTTTTGTCAGGAGAACACCTGGCCAAAAATGAATTTCGTTTCCGAGACGGGGAATCGAACCCCGAGCCAGTGCGTGAGAGGCACTAATGTTAGCCATTACACCATCTCGGATTGAATGGCACAAGGGAGGTTTCATTTTACATAAATTGCTTGCACATCACCCTCGGGAAGAAATCGTCTCAAACTATTCCATACATGACACATATTATTTTTCTTCTCCCCAACCCATCCTTACCGATTATACGGAATAACATCAGCCTACATGTTATGTACAACTAGGTACGCCGCCTAACTGGGTACTTCCTTAACACTACGTGGGCCATCACCTACCTGACTCGGTTCATATCTTTCTTTCGGGACGCGTCTTCCGACCAATTAATTGACGGTCCCTTTTTCCGCAGAAGTGGGACTTGTACGTGAGAAAGGTGCTGTACAGTACTTAGCAGTCGACAATTTTCTCTTGGCGCAGGGCAGAGGACGAAAATCCAAACACGAGCCTCGGCGGAAAGAAGAGAAGAGCCCAGGCTCAGGCTTCGGAGAACGGGCTTTTGATGATATCACGTTACTTTGCAAGCGCCAAGAAAAGCTGTGCTGCCAAGCTTCGACACGAGCGGAGAAGTGAATGTGCGGAGGCAGAAGGTGCCTTTCCATATGGTTGACTTGACCCAGTAGAGTCGGATTGCCTCAGATTGGTGGTGGGTTAATAGACGTCGATGTTGTTGTTGTTATTGTTGTTGGAGCAAGAATGAAGATAGCGTGCGGTTTGATATTAAATGGGTTGTACGATGGTGTGTGGGAGTGTTGTCGCGTAAGGGAAGAGCGCTCTAATTGAAAGAAGGTTGTGATATGGGCGCTTCCGTGTCCGTGTGCCAAGGTTGCTCTCATCCCTCATGGTCGATGTTGGGATATACGCCTCTCTCTAATGGCAAATAACACATCTCTCGGGGTGTGAAGCAATGACAACATACTGTGATTGACGGGTCTGAGGGAAGGTATGACATTTGGGGGAGAAGGGGAGGAGTGGAGTGCACTTGTAATGATGCCAAGACATTTCCCACTATACAGACCCGCTGCTCAGTTTTCCTTGTGGCGAATCGGAGGCAGCCAGCCTTTCCTATTCCCCCTTCCATCTGACAGGCCTTGTCCCTCTCCTCTGTACGTTCACCTCCTCCTCCCACTCACGGTCCATATCCTCTCTCACTCCCCCTACACTCGCCAAGCAACTATCTTTTCAATCTTCTTTTAATTGTCTCTCATTCAAACACCATGTTCTCTCTCGTCGCTGTCCCTCTCCTCTTGTCCGCATACACGTCCGCCCAATGTGAGTACAACATCTCATGACCAGAGACTCCGTTAAGCATCTTACAAACGACGTATAGACACGGCGACGTACCTCCCTAGCAATGCGCCTCCCACATCCGAGCAGGACCAGTCTGGAACCAACCAGTGCGGGTCAGGTCACAGCCAGACCTCGATGTGCCAGAATGGTGAGCAAACCCTGCCTATATGCGCTTTGTTCTCCGAATTCTGAGGTTTCGGGCTTTTAGTATACATCAACTCCGTCCAGGACTTTGTGAGTATTCTGTCACCCATCTCCTGAACTACCTGATCCGGCCTCTAGTGCTTGTGGGCTCCTCCCTCTACCGATGGCACCAACTCCACCATCGGCGAGACAGAGCGTATCGAAGTCGCTTGGTGCATGAAGGACGGGTACGGCACACGCCTCATCCCCGACGGCACCATCAAGGGCGCGCACTTTGTCCAGACTCCCGATTACGTCCAGGTAACAGGGTTCGGTGATTTCACCAAGATGAACATCCCTGCTGGTGACCAGGGTGGTGAGCTTGACCCACACGGTGCGGACGGGAATGGGAACCCGGTATGCGCGGTCTTGCTGTCTGATTCTAGGGTGTTTGACCGTTTGTTGTAGATCGGCGGTCTTGTCTTCGGCAGCTCTTTCGGTCAGCTCCAGCAGTACCATGAGTGGACCAACTACATGGCTGTCGACCAGTTCTGCATTCGTGCTTGCAAGGACAGCCCCAACGCACCTCTTCTCTGCAACCACATCTACGATGTCATGGGTTGCAACTGGAACATGCCCGGCAACTATGATCTGGGCGTTTTCGAGAAGTGTGTTTGAGTGTTCTGGATGTCGTGCCTTGCTGATTCTTGATTCAGCTGCGTTGGCGACACTGGCCCCGCCATGGGCATCTACGTCGAAGGCAACACGACCTCCACGTTCCAACAGGGTCAGCCCGTCACTCCTCCTGCTCAGCCCGCCCCGTCTTCCTCCCAGTGCTCGTCGTTCTCGACCATCCAGAATGGTCAGACCGCCGCGGCCCTCCCTAGCGCCTCGTCCGGTTCCTCCGGGACGACGACGAGCACCGGATCTGGGTCTCGCATGACCTCGACTGGCAGCAGCCGCAATACCTCCCCAACTGGCTCCCCCTCGGCCACCACAACGGCCAAGAGCTCTGCAGGCCACGTCGTGCCGACCTCGATGGGTGGCATGTTCGCTGTCGCCGGCGCGATGATCCTGGGCCTTGTTGGTGGTGCGGTCTTCGTTCTCTAGGTCTCGGACTAGATGAAGGACAGCAGAGTTGGTGTCTTGTTATTTTTCATTCTTATCGGATCGATATCTGACAGCTCTTTGTCGAGCATCCACTCCTTTTCACTCACTCCATACATCGTACATCGGACATTTTCACATCTCTCTCCATTCTCGCCCCATTGTGCCTTCGATACGTGTAGGTCGGAGGAGGGAAATGCACATTGATTGGTCAATCCCCATGCGCTTGGATATTTATTTGGAACATGACTCAAGTAGGGGGAGACGGTCGGTAAGGGTCGGAGGATCAGGTCATGAACTGAATGGGTTCATGTAGAGTGACCGACAGGGCGTAGGAAGGACACAGGCACACTCGGGCAGAACCCTGCAGATGAGGTAATCTCTGTATCAAGGGCATGATCAAGGAGGTGTTCGCTGTATAACAAGCCGGACATGAAGTTGGTATCGGGCACTGCCGATGGGATGGCGATGATGATGGCGATGATGAGAAGCTGCTAATTATAAGGTGTATTAATGTGCTTTGTTGGAGGAAACTAGGGACATCGCCCTAGAGTGCGGTGCGCTGGTCAGGGTCAGTAGGCAGTGTCAGTGTCAGGTGTAGCACTGCGCAAGAGCCGTCAATAATTAATATTGATCGTTGCAGGGCCCAAGAAGTAAAAACTGATACTTTTAACTTTCAATACAGTTACTAGTATACTGTTGGAAGCGATACACTTTGTGCCGAAACACTCGGGAGTTGTAATTGGGTACATCGCCTCCTCTACATAGAGCGGTGCATCCCCTCCTTGATTTGCTTGTCCCACGCCTCATCCGCACACGACCCGCACGACTTTGCTATATAACCCCCTCTTACTGCGTCCTTGTTGCTCTCACTTCACCTGCGACTACCGCATACCCGCCTAATTTCCCTTTCTAAGTACTACTCACTAAGAAGTACTGGGAATTACGATAAACGATAAACGACAACCGATTGTAACGACAACCACAACAATATCGACACGATGGAAACGTTCTGCTGTTGTATCCCAGTTCGCCTCGGCGTCTTTATCCTCTCCCTCCTGACCATCGCTCTGGGCGCTCTGGTATCCGCTGCAAGCTGGGTACAACTCTCTAGTCAGCCCTTGCTGCATCCTCATTCCGGGCAAATCAGACTAACCTCATTTCCCAGAACTCGGCTCAGACGCAGACACACAACAGAAAGTCATCATCATCATCGCTGGTGTCGTCTATGGCCTCCTCGCCTTCTTCTCCCTCCTCGGCTTCATCGGGTCCGTGATCGCCAACCGTGCATTGGTCAAGACATACTCAGTGATGCTCTGGATCAACTGGTTCCTCTCTCTCATCTCCGGCGGGCTCGCGATCTGGCAGCTCTTCCGCGCCGATGCAGTGCCCAACGTCGTCCAGAGCTGCCAAGCGTCGGATACGACCGCCACCGAAGCGGACTGCACGAACGCGTTCAAGGTCATCCGCGTCGTGTACATCATCATCTTCGTCATCCTCGAACTCATCGTCCTCTACGCATGCGTAATCGTATCCCGCTACGTCGACCAGCTGAAGCAGGAAGAGATGTTCCACCATGTAGAGAATCTGGAGCATCAGTTTGCTTCCCGCCCAGCACCGGTGGTCATGCAGTACGGTGCACCTGCGTATGCGCCTCTACCAGCAGGGAACCCCTCTACTCAGTATGTCAACAAGGCGTACTAAAACGATGGACTTGCGCTTGCATTTGTCGTTTTTCGTTTCCCTTTCCTTTTGAGATCATTGACTGGATGTCTCTTTGAGAGTTGATACGCCCGTTAGGATTGTATATTAGAGACGCACGATGTGCAATAAAATGCATAAACCCTCTCATCCAAGTACTGTCTGCCCTCCGTTGCAAGTCCGAAAACGCCGCAATTCCTTATAAACAAAAGATCGAAACTGATCGACAGATGATCGACGACAACTCAAGGTCCGAGTGTAATAACTTTTGGTGTTGCGGTCCGGGACGGTTGCCGCGTCCCGCGAACGGCGTTCTCTTCTCCGGCGTTGTCCCTGGCATGACGGGTATAACGGACGTCGGAGGCCGTCCATCGGCGCGTCGTCAACTTCGGACCGTCCGCGTACGTATATAGCAACACCTGTCCCATGGGGTACGAGGGAAGGGAAGGGATTCCTCTATCCTACTGCTTACTGCTTTGCTCTGCTTGACCCAGACACGACCCAAGCTTACTTGAAAGGACATGTTCCTCAGACGATCGTTGGCCAAGTTTAGGCGGAACGGGTTGTTGACCAGTCGGAGGGGGTATCAGGATGAGAGTTTTGGGTATAGGAAACCGCGGCCGTTCGAGGTTGACGACTGTACGTCCCATCCATGCGTCTGCGTTTGCGTCTGGGTCGACAGTGCTAACACGTCTGTCTCGCAGACACAGAACACCAGCTAGCGAACCGGACTCTGAACGCCGCTCTCCTCCGATACGCCGACAGCGTCCGCCTCCACGGGCACCGAGCAGCGTCCATCGACCCGCTAGACCTGCTGGAGCGTGACCCAGTCGCAGCTCTCGATCCCGAACGCTATGGACTCGTGCATAGGGAGAAGGAGTACGATGTTGATGGGATCGTTTTTGGCCTTGGGGGAAAGGAGGCTAGGGGGATGGTCAGTCTTGGAGAGATGGAGGAGTGGTTGAGGAGCGTGTATGTGGGTAGGATCGCTTATGAGTTTATGGTACGCATAGCATATGCTGTCACTGTCACTGTCATCCATACAAATGCTTATGTGGTCTAGCATTCTCCTGTAAGCCTCACCCTTGCCTGGTGCACCGTTCCCTAACGCACAGACAGTCCAAAGCAGCCCGGCTATGGTTCGCAAAGCACCTCGAGTCCGCGCCCTCCGCGCCCCTACCAGCAGAACACAAGCTCAGGATCGCTAAGCTTCTCTCCGAATCCGAGGTATTCGAGCATTTCCTGCAGACAAAGTTTCCCAACCTGAAGCGATACGGAGGCGAGGGCGCGGAGAGCATGATCGCTGGCCTGGATGGGCTGTTCGCGGTCGGTGCGGCTGGTACGCCTGGGATGGTGCTGGTGGGGAGGAAGCTGACTCCCAGGTATAGCGGGCGTGGAGCATATCATTCTGTGCATGCCGCATCGTGGTCGGCTTGCACTCCTTACGGGACTGCTGGAGTACTCCCCTGCTGCGCTGTTCCACAAGATCAAGGGTGGGAGTGAGGTTCCCGAAGAGCTCGGAGCTACCGCAGACGTGATCAGTCATTTGAGTGCGTTCTTTCCTCCCGGGAAGGATTGATCGTCTCACGCTCACGGTCACGCACGTGAACAGCCGCAGCCCCATCGCTCGTCTACCAAGGCGCGGCCAAGTCTATCAAAGTGACCATGCTTCCCAACCCTTCGCACTTGGAAGCCGTCAACCCCGTAGCGATGGGCAAGACGCGCGCAAAGCAGTACTCGCTCTTGCGCGACCTCTTCAGCGGTGCAGACCCGGCCGATTGCAAGCTCGGCGACAAGGTCATGTGCGTCCAGCTGCACGGCGATGGTGCCTTTACGGGGCAGGGCGTGGTCATGGAATCCCTTGGACTGAGTGACCTGCCACACTACACGAGCGGGGGCAGCGTGCACATTGTCGTGAATAACAATATTGGGTATACGACGCCTTCGACCTCTGCCCGCTCGTCCCTCTACTGCTCCGACGTGGCGAAGATGATCGCTGCGCCTGTCTTGCACGTGAATGGTGACCATCCGGAGGACGTCGTGCGCGCTATTCAGACTGCGTTCACCTACCGCCAGCACTTTAGGAAGGATATCGTCGTTGATCTTATTACGTACAGGCGCTGGGGACATAACGAGCTTGATGAGCCTGCGTATACCCAGCCGCTGATGTACGAGAAGATCAGGAGCAGGAAGAGCGTGCCGAAGCTGTATGAGGAGAAACTCGAGGTACGCGGTTGTTCCCTTTATTTGTATGCTCTGCTGATATGGTCACAGGCGGAAGGGGTGCTGGACGCGAGCGGAGTGAACGACCTCCGTTCGGCTTACAAGGACAACCTCGAGAAGGAGCTTACGGAAAGTGCGACTTATACCCCTGTTGCGGACCACCTACAGGAACAGTGGAGCAGCATGGTCTGGCCCGGCAGCGCCGAAGCTGTACGCGATCCCGAAACTGGGATCAGCGAGGAGACCCTCAAGCAGGTCGCGCAGGCCAGCGTGGCTATCCCTGAGGGATTCGTGAGTCCTTCAGTACATCTGAGAGGAAGGCGTGGTTAATCCAAGTTCGTTCAGGAGATCCACCCCCGCTTGCAGCGGCACGTCAAACAGAGGCTCGAGAGCGTCGATTCCGGCAAAGGCATCGACTTTGGCACAGCGGAGGCGATGGCCTTCGGTTCCCTCATGCTGGAAGGGTATAACGTCCGTATTTCTGGACAAGATGTCGGACGAGGGACGTTCAGCCACAGGCACGCGATGCTTGTTGACCAGAAGACGGAGCGGGTCGTCGTACCCCTAAATATGTCTCTCGGCGAAGGGCAGGGGATGCTCGAGCTCGCTAACAGCTCTCTGAGCGAATTCGGTGTGCTGGGCTTTGAGTGGGGCGTCAGTATCGACTCGCCTAGGCTGTTGCCCATTTGGGAAAGGTAAGCGTTCCACACTCAGTTTGGGATGCATGCCCTGACGCTTTTCGCAGTCAATTTGGCGACTTCTTCAACGGCGCTCAGATCATTATCGACACGTTCGTCTCCTCTGGTGAGAGCAAGTGGCTCCGTCAGAGCGGGCTGGTAATGCTCCTCCCTCATGGTCTCGACGGTGCCGGCCCAGAGCACTCGTCCGCGCGTATCGAGCGCTTCCTTCAGCTGACGAACGATCCTTACCAGAAGGAGAGCTTTAACCCGAACATGCATGTGATCAATGTCACCACGTCTGCGCAGTACTTCCACTTGCTGCGCAGGCAGATGAAGAGGAACTACCGTAAGCCGTTGATTGTCGCTTCTCCTAAGGCGCTTCTCCGGGCTCCCGTACGTCCCATCTATATGGACGATTCCTCATCTCTTACTATTAAACTCTAGGCGGCGTCGTCATCCCTGGCCGAGATGACCTCGGGCACCAAGTTCCAACCCGTGCTCGCAGACCCCAGCATTAGCGATCCAGCCAGCGTCAAGCGGCTCATCCTCCTGACTGGCAAGTTCTACTACATCCTAGCTCGGGAGCGCGATCAGAGGAAGCTCTCCTCCGACGTCGCCATCGTTCGTATCGAGGAGCTCGCTCCTTTCCCGTTCGACGCCGTTAAGGACGTACTCTCAGCATACAGCAATGCCGAGCTCGTCTGGGCACAAGAAGAACCGAAGAACCAAGGTGCCTATCCCCATGTGGCGCCTCGTATTGCCTCGATCCTGGCGGAGCTGCCGACTGGATCGAAGGAAATGAAGTATGTCGGCCGGAAGGAGTCGCCTGTTCCTGCTGTTGCTGTTGGAACTTGGCACGCTAAGGAGGCGAAGCAGCTGCTTGATGAGGCGTTAGCTGGTCTGTAGGTGGGTGAGGCTCAAATATGTATATGTAATTTCGATCTTTGAGGACGCTATAATAAACTCGCTGTTGCGCATTGCAGATTACTCGTGGTACCTTTCAAGAGGAGCAGCGAGGTTAACAAGAGGGAGACAGTCCGACACACACCGCAGACCTACGGGAAAGAAATCCAACAACACGCTGTTATTCGAGCACCCTCCGCCTCGGGGTAGCTTCGGCCAAAGTCGGCTCTGGTTGATCACAGCACTCCTCTATGCTTTTTGCACGCACCTCCAAAACCCAAGTTATTTCAACAAATTTCCCATTATTACAACTTCCCATAGGAATACATACATGTACAACAATTCAGCCTTGGGTTTTACCAGTGTAGTGTGAGGATATACAGGCCAGCCCCGAATATAGTCGAGAGAGAGGGGTAATAAGACAGGTAGGTAAGATACCTGGTGTAAGAGGCACCATTAGTGCCTAGAAGGAAGTAAGACAGTACTCTATGCGCTTGTCGATGCCTCGGGCGTTTCGACCGCCTCCGCCTCCTCCTCCTGCGGTTGGTAATGCGTATGCCCCTCCCCATGTATCCTCCTCTCCGGCCGGTCCACAGCGCGGAACACAACGATACACGTCGCTGACGTCAAACAGATACACGTGGAGACATAAAACATCAGCCCAGGGATAGTCGTGATCGTCGCGGAGAGGATACTGCCCAAGATGACGGGGGAGAGCACTTGACCGACAGACTCGAGCATCGCGTTCGCGGACAGGATCTCGTCGCTTTGCGAGTGGTGGACGGAGGAGACGAGCAGGCTGTTGAGGGCGATGTGTCCGCCTGCTCCGAAGCCCATGAGGAGCGCCGCTGCGTTACTATGTCAGACTAGGGCTAAATAGATAGAGTGCGGTGTGGACTCACAGGCAAACACCCCGTACTTCGTCTTGGACACCCCGATCATCGAGATAAAGAACGCGTCAATGATGTCCGACCCAACGATAAGCACCGTATCCGTGCGTCTCATGATCTCCTGGGTGGTCAAGTGCATCCCCCTCCTCTCGGCATAGCGCGCATACAGCTTCCTGCCATATCTGATCACGCTCGGGAAGACGAAGACGAGGAAGAGCCCCTTGCCCCCCATAAGCAGAGAGATGCCGAGCCCGTTCTGGTCGGGAGGGGAATGGAACTCGTTTATCAGGCGCATCATCACTGCCAGGCCGAGGTAGTGGGAACCTGCAAACCAGAGGAAAGAAGCGAACCCGGCGATGAGCAGGCTGCAGTCTCTCTGATTCTGGCCGGGGATGATAGGGATGAGCACGAGCAGGGGCTCGAGGATCGACAGGATGGGCCGTACGGCCTGCTTGAGACTGTGCACCAGGCCGGACTTGCCATCGTCCGCGAGGTCAGAGTCCATCACATGCTGCATCTCCTCGATCGCCTCTCTGCGTTCTGCGAGCACGTACGACTCGGGGAGGAAGAACACTTCGTACAGGAGCACGCAGACCTGAAGGGCGAGCGTCACCCAGTACACGGCGGTGACGTGCTTCCAGTGCTCAGTGATATATCCTCCGAGAACGAAGGATGGGGTAAGGCCGAGCGTAGCTGCAGCGCCTAGGAATGACAGGCCGGACGTGCGTTCTTGTGGAGACGTCGTATCGACGATATACATCCTGCCGACGAGGACAATCGCTCCTACCGACGCGAATGCCGCGAGGACGATGGCGAGCCCGGCTAGGACGAGTGCGAGGGTGCCGTGCACGTTGAGCGCGAGGATGAAGCATGAAAAGGCGGTGCAGGCGACGGAGGTGAGGGTGACGAATACCGGTTTGCGACCGTATTTCTTTACGAAGAGGTTGACGAGCCCGAAGGAGATCATCGCTATGTTATACATTGTACGGTGTTAGCGAGTGAGGGGAATGGGTTGGTAAGCAGGCGTACAGGAAATGGCATCGACGATACCCATGACGGTTACGGCGATGGTGTATGCGGTGACGACGGAGGGGATCTCGCACATCTCCTCTGTAGGTGTGTGGCCCATGGGGAGCGCCTCAGGCTCGTGCAGCTCATACCACCTGCGGCAGATGATAAACCGTATGATGGCGAGTGTCGTCGTTGTTGGGAGCTGGGGGCGTGAGCGGGCGATAAGAGAGATATAGAGGGGAGACGCACCATCGTTGCGAGACATGCGCCTGCGACGACAGGCAGGACATACCAGAACTTTGTCTTCTTGACTGGGTCAGAAGGGGAGTCTGATGCAGGCTCGGGGACGATGAGCGGTGTGCGCTCGTCTGAGGGTTGTTTTGCTGATGTTGCCATAGTGGTCGTTTGCAGAAGAGGATGAGCAGGAAAGGAGAGAGATACGAGAAAGATAAGGAGAGATTTGTGAGGGGATTATGAGGGTGGACAGCTTGAGAGGGTACGCAGCATGTCCAGTGTGAGGCGACAAGAGGGCGGGCTGACGTCGGCCTTTTCCCCTTCTTCTCCACAAATAAAATAGACTCAGTTGACCACTCTTCCCTGTGCTTTTAGCGTCCACACGAGGCCACAAATAACACGGAAGAACAACGGGTCTGTGCGCCTTCTCAGTCTTGTTGCTTATCTTCCCATCCCGGTTATTCATTTCCACCGCAGAGGAATAGGCCGCGTAGTGGGGTACGTCCTTCGTCGTACTGGTTCGTCGTAGGCTGCACAGCAAACATATCGTACCAGTTCATTCGTACTTCCTTCAGCATCCAGTGCACAATACGAATGTTACCAGGTGCGTGCCTGACAGGCCGCATACATGAACCTTGCTGGCGTTACACATCGTGCTATGTCCGTCAGCCTCGCAGGGTAACGGCAGCCAAACCTTCAAGCCATACCGACCGACATCTTCCACTTGGTGTGCTGTCCGTCCCCCGCGGGATGAGCCTCGCGTCGAACACGACTTGGACAGGCTGTAGCGTGCTCGTGAGCGGGGACGCGGGGCCTGGGAATGACTCGAGAAGGATAGGGTATTCGGGATACTTGTCAATAACGAGCGTGCAACCCACATAGGCGGATTTCTACATTTGCTTCCCAACACGAGGGGTCGAGTTTCCGCACTGTTGGAGGAGGACGACTAAAGTTATTCGCTGCCCGTTTTTGTTGTTCATGATGGCCAATAAGTCGGATCTCGATGGGATCGTGTGACCAGAACACCTCTTCTTTCCCGAATGATATCCTAATGGTCTATCTTACAGAATCTATGGGTCTCGGACGGCAAGTGAGATGAGGTGCAGTAAGTGCTCGAATGTGTCGGACATCTCCCACATTATGGTGTTCTGTCCTATTTCCTTCTTCTCGTCCGCTTGTTTGACTATAATCAGTGAATATTACCAAATACATAATATGATCCGAAGACCGATGTTCTGAGATTAGAAGTACAGAGTAAAACATCTGACGAAGCGTGAGACGACGGGGATCATACAATCATGAAACGCAAGCATTAAATACCTCTGTAAATAGCCAAACAGGGACATAATCATCGACAAACCTCTCAGATAAGAATTTTCAACGCAAGTACGCGCCGTAATGCGTTTAATCAAAAAAAACGCAAAAGAGTCTGCTCCGGAGAGGCTTGAACTCTCAACCTCCTGATACCGCCTTGCAGTGCTTAACAGTCAGACGCGCTAACCAATTGCGCCACGGAGCACTTGGATGGAAGAGGGGCACCCGCTAACTCCTATATACCGTTCTTTTGTAGCTCCTCGCACGTGCGCTGAGTGGCGTTGCCCTTGCCGAAGCGACGCGGCCTCTTTTCACCCAACGTCGCCTATTTCCTCATCAGCGCCTCTCTCTCTCCAACGTCCACCTCGACAAATGGCTGTAAGCACCCACTCCCCTTCCCATCCTCCAACAACCCACTAACACCCATCTAGCGCTCTCGTTCCTCTGGCAGGCCTACCGCTTCCGCACCCCGCTCAGCCCCGGCTCAGCAGCGTCAGGCACACACGGCCGCTGCCTACCCTCCGGCACACGCTCCTCCCGCTCCCGCGACCGCTGCTCCCCAGCAGCCGGGTATGATGGTTCGTCCTCTTCCTCTCCCCTCCACCTCGCTCTCAATCTAACCACCTCTCGTCAAACAGGCCCAAATGGCAGCCACAGCCGGCTCCGTCGCTGCTGGATCCGTGATAGGCCACGGAATCTCGAGCATGCTCTTCGGCGGTCGTTCTGAAGCTCCGGCACCGGTCGAGCAGGCTGCTCCTGTCCAACAGCAACAGGCTTCTCAGATGGGCAAGGCGTGCGAGGTCCAGGCTCGGGGTGCGTCTTTTTTACCCTGCTGGTTCGGGGGGACGACGCTGACTGAGAGGTGACAGAGGTGATGCGCTGCTTGGAAATTGGCGATGCCGATACTTGCAGGTGGTACCTTGACCAGCTTAAGGCGTGCCAGAGTGCTGCTGCGCCTTACTAAGCTGAGCCAAGCGCTGATGCACCCCAAACGAGCCTTGCTGGCGTTGAATTAGGTAGAACCTGCATCCAATCGTTCATAATTGCATGTAGCTGCCCCTTATAAAATTATCATCCATTCCCCATATCTCGAATCGCACTACTCCTCAAGCGTGAAATCCATAAACTACCTCATTAGCACCCCTAAAGAAATATGACTAGGAATACAGCATGCGGTATGGCGGGGACAATTACACTGGGAGGGGTAACAGCGTCAAGGAGGGTTTGCATAAGCATAATAATACGTGGACATAAACATGAGACGCGTGGATCCTCGATGGGCAAAATCACAATAATAGTACACTGTCCAACGTCAATCGCGTCTAAGAGCTCTAGGTGTCGCAGGCCACAAGTGAGGACAGCAGTGTTGCTGCCTCTCTTACCCAGACTGAGCCGCTGGGTCGTGCAGCCAACCCCGCCGCGGGCGCTTCAAGATCGATTTCGGCTCCAACTGGCGCGCCTGGGCACTGCGCATGACCGGCCGGAGATCCTGATTCAAGTCGTCCTCATCGGACCATTCCTGGGTAGATGAGGATCTTCCTCTCTCTTCTCTGTTCTCCTTATAGGCGTTTGTAGACCTTTTCGCTGCTGGCCAAGAATGTCGAGCCTCGCGCCTTGATTTGGTGTTCGAGTATGCAACCTTTGCAGAACTGCTCACGACGAAGGACATGCCAACGTCGTCCCATCTTCCCAGTTCGTCTTCTGAACTATCATCGGCAAGGTCGATCACCCCGTTCGCAAGATGAGAAGGTACGATGATGGTCTCCACTTCTTGCTTGATCTTGGCGGGCTCGACAGGTCGTGGCAGGAGCGTGTTTCGCGTCTTTGGCTTGTCCACACGTGTAATAACGTACGGCTTGTTTGGGTCCTCTTCAATGCGGACACGCTTTTGACGGGGCGGCTCTACTGGCGGTGGGGGACTTTGCCTTCTTTTCGAAGGCCCCGGCTCTATGAGAGTCAATCGAGATGGAGCCGTCTTCGATAGAGAGGAAGGCACTCTTGATAGCTTTGATGGTCTTTCTGCCTCTCGGACATGAGGAACATGGCTGGAAACACTTCTGCCCCATTGCTTCACAGCTGATTGGGAGTAAGAAGACGAGGCATGACGTGACGCCGGTAATGATGGGCCCGAATAATGGGATGTGGGGTGCGCGAGGATGCTTGTGGGTCTTGGGTAGGCGTGTCCAATGGATGGCGTATCTTTGAATGGCCCACCGCGTGAAAAGGGCAATGGCGGTACGGAAGGGCGAGATGGTAACGGGGCAAAAGTATTCTTGGGTCTGGCTTGGGGTCGTCTAGTCTCAGATGACATATCTTTAAACGGTCTGTGGCGATGTACCTCAGGCGTAGAGTCGGAACCGGCGGACGAGGGGCTCGGTAGAACTCTTGGCGAGCCCAGACGCAAACGAGATGGCCGAGGTAGGAGTTTGTTTGTTGTTCTCGGCCCTCTACGGAGATGGAGAGTGGGGGAATCCAGTGTGGAAGGCGAGGAACTTGCTGGCTCGCTGCTTGCCAACTTCGTTGAAGGTATAATTGCAAGAGGAGTTGGCGCTACACGCAGGCGCTTAAGAGGCCGCGAGGGTGTTTCTATCGGAGCGGAATCACGGGCACGTTTTAGTGCGCGAAGATGCAATGGTTTCGCCTTTGCGAGTGATGGGGAGATATGCAAGGGCTTGGATGAGCTCAGAGCCGGGGCCTTGGGTCCACTTGACGCCAGAGCTTCGGTCGAGCGGCGAGCCTTAACGGCAGTAGGACGTCTACGGTGTTCAGGAGGTACGGGAGGCATTTGAATGTAATCAAGAACCAGTCTTGTGACTTTTGTGGGCGCTTCTGCGTGTGTAGAGACGACTGTTGCCTCATCCGGCGATGCAAACAACTCTTCGAGTTCCGCCTCAGCCGTTTTGGCAACAGCCACCGTTTCCTGAACGGGCTTGACGAGTTCGTTTACCACGGGTAAAGGCGCATCTTCTTCTGCAGTCGATGCCGAATTGGTTTCCAGTTGAACAGTAGGCTCCACGGGTGCGTCGACCACAGACAAAGGTACTGGTTCTTCCACAGCCGGTGCCCGAATGGGGTCCAGATGAGCGGTAGGGTCGTCCCGCTCTTCGTTCACAGGCAAAAGTTCTGGTTCTTCTGCAGTCCAAGTCAAAACGGTGTTTAGATCAGCGGAAGGCTCCACGGATCCGTCGTCTGCAAGTAAAGGTTCGGCGTCTTCCATGGGCGGAGCCCAGTCGGTATCCAGATGAACGGCAGGCTCGTCGACCACAGACAAAGGTTCAGATTCAGCTGCAGTCGAAGCTGAGACGGTATCTGAAACAATAGCAGGCTCCACAGGCTCCTCGACCAGAGGAAGAGGCTTGACTTCTTCTATGACTGAAGCCGAGAAAGCGCTCGGATGAGCAATGGGCTCGTCTACCACAGGCAACGGTCCAGATTCGTCGACAGTTGAAGACGTAATCACGTCCAGGAGAACAGCAGACTCCAGAGGCTCGTCGACCACACGTATAGGTTCGACTTCCTTTACAGCCGAAGCCGAGATGATATCCAAATGAACATCGGGCTTGGCGACAATAGGCAAAGGTCCATGATTTTCAACAGTCGAAGCCGGTATCTCGCCCAGAAGAACAGCGGACTCCACCGATTCGTCCACCACAGGCAAAGGTTCAACGTCGTCTACGGCAGGAGCCGAGATAGCGTCCAGATGAGCAACGGGCTCGTCGACCACATGCAAAACTTTAAATTCTTCGAGAGTCAAAGCTGGTGCTGCGTCCAGGACAACAGCAGCTTCCGCAGGGTCGTCAACCACAGGTACAGGTTCGATTTCCTCCGCATTTAGAACCAAGATGGCGTCGAGATGCGCAGCAGACTCTTCTATCTCCTCGACAGTAGACAAAGATGCTTCTTCTTCTACAGCCGCGTCTGAAACGATATCCAGCTGAATCGTAGGCTCCACGAGTTCAGCGACCACAGGGATAAGTTCAGGTTCTTCGGGTGCTGAAGCCGAAATACCCTTTGGTGTAGCAGGGATGTCCGCATCCTCTACTGGCACTGGGAGCACAGCTGATTCCTCATGCACATGACCCTCTGTATCTGGGACGCCGGTGGAGAAGTCTTCTTCTGAAAGAGGCGAGTCGACTTCTCCAACAGGAAGGGGATATGCCTCTTCGCTGGCAGACGGAAAGTCTTCAACAGCAGATGGGACAAAGGATTCCTTGACAGAGGTAACTATGTCTTCAGGAGCAGGTGAACCTAGCTCTTCAAGACATGGCTGAGAGTTATCCTCCGGGATGCCATCGACCACCTGACTAGGAGCTATTGTCAGGTCGTCCCCAGGCTCAGGAAGTTGCTCTTCAACCTCGAGCGGTAGTGGAGTCTCAACATCTCCATGAACATCCCGTGCCACGGTGTTCATAGTGTACATGTGCATCATAGAGTCTTCTGACAGAGTGTCGTCATCTGTTTCTGACTCTTCAGAAGCGACGTCTTCATTCGACTCTTCGTCAGAAAAGTATGCAGCTCTTGCAGTAGATGGAGATGAGGAAGGGATGTTGGCGAATATAGCCCGGAAGCTGCGGGTCGGGGTTTGTGACGATGGTAATGGTGACGATTGAGGGGATTGGGCAAGAGCTCTCTCGATGGCCGCTTCGGAAGCTGGTAAGGAGCTGATTGGACGAGCTCTTTGGGATATCGGTGTGGAGAACAAGGGGGGGTTCAAAGGGAGATCGGAGACAGCTGGTGCTGTTGATGCGATATCTGCGACGGGATCATCCTGACCAGCAAGGCTACTTGAGTGCTCTTGATCCTCCGACGCCACCCACGGCTGTTCTGCGACTTCGATGGGAACGAACTGTATCATCGTCCTCTCCGTCTCCATCGCTGTGAGAGTTGCGCTAGTGTCCTCTTCCGTAGCAACTACCGCAGTGGCGTTGCTTAAGTCTACTTGCGGGGTTTGTTCAATGCGCTCTGTTGGTGACAAGTGCACCAGGGCGACTTCTGCCAGCATCGACAATCCGCACAGCTCCGTGTCATCTTCTGAAGAATATGCGGTAACACGCTGCCCAGCACTCCTGGTAGAATCCGTGGAGCCTCTTCGTGTCTCGCCTGCGTTGCCAGTCGCTGGTGGTGTTGGGGAGCTATTCGGTAGGGAGACAGGAGTCGTGACGCTGGCGTTCGGCAAGTTCTGAGGAAGAGGTGGTGTCGGTGCAAGTGCTGCGCGGGTAGTTGAAGGCTTGGGGGTGAGGGATCGCTCTTGCGCAGCCGCGACAGAGGCGATATCCAAAGGGGTGAGGGGTGAGGGCGTCTCTTCCGGTGGTACCACGGACATCGTATACGCTATGGCGGAGCGCGTGGGGGATGGTGCAGGCGTGGCAGATCTCTCTTTCGAGGTTGAAGCTACATCAGCTTCAACATCGTCTCTTGTTGGGTGGTCGTCATTCGCTTTTGGCAACCTTGACGAGCTCGGGACGCAGGGTGATAAGGGAGAATCAAGCAGATCGAGGACCGTCGGAAGGGATCTATCGACAACTATAGGACTTGCAGGCTCCTCTTTAACAGATGGAGCGATGCTCGAGTTCTGTGGTTCTGTTACACAAAGTTAGCATAACTCTCTTCGGGCCAGGGTTAGGTGCTCACCATTATCTTCACCATGTGAAGGTTCAGACTGCTCGTCATCGTCACCTCGCCCATCTACCTTCGCTGTCGACTGACCAACCATCCATGAAGGAACGACCGAGGCATCGTCACTGCTTGTTAAAGCTGACTCAGAAGATGTTGGCGCGGCGGATAAGGCGACAGGAAGTGGTATAGCAGTTTCGAGTCGGGACTGTTCCGCTGTAACGACAGTTGCAGTCGTCGGTGATGTGGGTAGATCTTGAACAGACAGTGTAGGCTCGTCGACAAGGCAGATTGCATCAACATCTTTGTCGGATAAGGTGGCTTCATCTGCCACCACAGTTCCTGCACCAGTAGTGGCGTCGACGGTCGACCTCAGGTCGTGCTGAGAGAGTGCTGCCTTCGCCTCGGAATGAAGAATCTCAAGATGTCCTTGATGAGTGCCTCCTCCGGGAACCGTAAGCATCCCCGGAGGACCATGTGTCTCATCCTCGTGGTCCATTACCGACTTCGGGCTGTTCTCGACCGTAGTACTGCTCGCCCCCTCGCTCAATCCAGCGTTACCCTCTGCCACCTCATCTTCATCGTCGTCCGGCAAGCACACCATCTCATGAAATGCGGCTTTGTAAAACGCCTCCTCCTCTGCAGCCTGCGCGGCAGCCGCGAAGTGATCCTTACGCCGTGCAGCATATACATGCTCATTGTACGCTGTCAACGCAGCATAGTGGGCGTGCAAAGAGCGTGAACTTGTGGGTGATGTGAAGGGCGAAATAGCAGGGCTGGTTCGTGAGTCAGCGTAGAAGGGTTGGGGCTTGACGTCTTCAGTGGTATATGGAAGGGTCGGTTGGTTGTGATGATAGGCATGGGTGTACGCGTGGTGGTGTGACGAGGAATGGTTGTGATAACCATTTAGCATGCTAGGATTTACACCAAATGCCGTATAGTTTATGGCGGCCTGATGCTGCATGTAGTCAGCGGCATGATCCAGACTGTCGCATGACGCGATGCTTACAGTGCTGAAGGGATATGCCTGCTCCCAAGCATCCTCGGCAGGTCGTCCGCCGTACGGGTGTAGGCCGTCTTCCATAGATAGAGCGGACCGCGGCTAGCCGCTCAGGATTGTATCCAACAAGCAGTGGTGGACAAGAAGAAAGGTGGTGAGCTCAAGTGTTCAGCCAGCGTCGAGAGGGGGACGTGACGAGAATCTCCAGGCAGCGCTTCAATGACGGGCGCCCTTCACCCGGACCCAAATCCTCGCTTCCGACGCACGCGGGTCTGGAACGGGCGCGTCTCTCAAGACCCATGCAAGACCCATCTATTCTGATTCCGTTTTGCACCCGCTCTAAATCACGTGATAGACACAATCAGTCAGGTGTCTATCCGTACGCGCCTTTAAAAGGTCGACACCAGTGCCCTGTCGTGCACCTCTCTGCTTTCCCCCCCAACCATCACTCGCCTCTCTCGGCCTACATACCTATTAAACCATCGTGGGCTTACACTACTATCATAACCGTACTCCTTATTCTTTATCGACCAATCTCATAACAATATCCTCATGTCTTCCGCTGCTGGTGGTAAATCTGGTGGAAAGGCCGGGGGTAAGGCTGGTGGCAAGGCTGGCGCTTCAACTGCCGACGCCAAGAACTTGTCTCGCTCTTCCAAAGCCGGTCTCCAGTTCCCTGTTGGTCGTATTCATCGGTTGTTGAAGAGGGGTAACTATGCTCAGCGTATTGGAGCTGGTGCACCTGGTATGTCTGCTCCTGATGAGTCACCAATGGGCACTCATGGTGTATCTTTTAGTGTACTTGGCCGCCGTCCTCGAATATCTTGCTGCCGAGTTGCTGGAGCTTGCCGGTAACGCGTACGTATCACGGTTGACGCGCATACATGCATGTATTGACTGTGTTACTTAGTGCTCGTGACAACAAGAAGGCCCGTATCGTTCCCCGCCATTTGCAGCTCGCTATCCGTAACGATGAGGGTAAGTCGCCTTGCACTGGATGAGGATCGTCACTGATGTGCGAAATAGAATTGACCAAGCTCCTGGGACACGTCATTGTCGCCGACGGTGGTGTTGTTCCGCACATCATGCCTGAACTGCTTCCTACGAAGACGAAGGTACGCTGACAAGCAAATAACAAAGCGCCAGTTCGGTCACTGACTGTCTGTCACAGTCGAAGAAGGGTGCTGAGCCTTCTCAGGATCTGTAGACTAGTCTTTCTCGGGCACGCCAGCAGGGCCGTCGAGCCTGCCTCTATGCGTGATGGTTGTACCTGTACTCTCTTACCCCTTACATCCTTACTACATCAATACATGTATAAATGCAAGTAATCTTATGATGTGACACAGTCGACTGAAAGTTCCCATTCGAATAGGGAGTCACCGTTGTAATGTCATGCTTCATATCAGTAGGGCATGTGGGACAGACCGTATTGGATGAGAACCAGGTGATGGATTGTGTGCAGAAGTGTACAAAATGCTAGCGGATTACACAAGGTATACAACCGTCCTCTCCAAAAACGCAGTGATCGTCATCGTCATCAAGACATGATAGTTCATCGATCATTGCAAACCATGATATGTAGTGTCGTTGGTTCCACGCAAGTCGTTTCGGTGTTAGCTAGGACACTCTCAGCACCTGACTTCGTTGGGATCAAGACTAGTACTCACTTCACGCAAATGGGTACACTGCACCGAGTCGCTTCATCTGGACGAGCCGGTCGTCCGGGAACAGCGACAGAGAAAAGCAAGAAGCCAATGGACGCGAGCCGCAAGCAGCTCAAGCAAGACCCAGGGACCAGCCCGACCAAAGGAGATGATAAAGGGGCAGCGTCTGCTATTCGAGCAGCGAACAGCGAGGAAGCATATGTTAGGTCGAATAGATATTGAGAGGAGGAGAGAGGACCCTCCGCGTGAAGTGACCTGTACTTTAGACGGAGGAGTCACTCTCGGAGGAGAACCAAGAGATCGTACTTTCTCCTGCAAGGGATATAAGTCGACTTGACAGCAAGCGGTTTCAAATGAACATACCGGAATCATCATCCGAAGGATCGCTGTCCTCATCAGGAGGAAGTTCCGAGGGAAGCACGATCTCCCACACCTGCCAGCCAAGACCGGTCTTGAAACGCTCGTACGCTTTGAGGGCCGCTCTGCGGGTATCCTCAGCTGTACAGCGCCTCTGTTCCCAGTCGTCGCGCATCACACGGGCTGTGATTCTCCTTGCGTCGGGCCAGGCCGGACAAAAGTCGATGTCGATACAGGTGCGGTTGAACCGCGGGTGAACGGCGACGAACGCCTCATCCGGTCCTGCCGGATGAATGCGCACCGTCGACCCGGAAGGGGCAATAAGGTCCTCAGGGGCGTTCATAATCAGGTCGTAAAGTCGATCCCCGCTTGGGGTAGCCGGCTTCTTGGCGGCCTTTGGTGACGCAGGGGGGGTGTAGTACGGCGAAGTGGGAGATGCGGAACGCATGGTGTTGATGTATTTGGCGTTGACGTCGATAGTCAGAGCGGGAAAGCTGATGTCCTCAACAGTAAGGTGACGGGAAGGGCGGTACATGCTTGGCTGTATCACAATAGAACGATCAGCCCAAGCGCGGGTGAAACAGTGATGAATGTTCCTTACAGAAGTTGGATCGTTGGTGGCTGAGAATCGTTACTAAAAGCACAGGAAGAGAGAAACGGTGGAGAGAGACGAAAAGCTAATAAGCCTGGGAGAGTGGAATGGGTGTGGTGGGGATGGGGTACACGAGTCGTGGGCAGGGGACAGCGTATTTATCGCCTGGTCGCAAACCCTGAGCCCTCGCGGTTGTACCGTATCCGAACAGTACCCTAAATTTTTGACTTCCCAAGGTCCGTCGGCTGCGATCAACGAGAAGGCTAGAACAAGACTTGGAGCGTTTTGGAATTGCGGAATTAGGGAGTCGTTGTCACACCCGAGTGGAGAGAATCCTTCATTTGCTCGGACATCGGCGGGCACCGACGGCTCCGGGAGTTTATACGACAGTACGCTGAGGCATCGCGAAGATCAACACGAGGCAGCCTCGGCGTTCATCCCGATCTGTGCTGACTGACAACCCCAATCCCGCGGGTCAACACCGCTGGCAACCCCAAGTATACGGCACTGTCCGTCGCATCGAGCAGAGGTCGTTTTGCACTGGCACTTTGGCAGACACAACGAGATCCGAGTCAGGACCAAACATGGTTGCGCAGTTCATGAAGTCAATTTAATCATGAGGGCAGTCCCATATACAAACTATCCCGTAAGAGATCCATCCGATGATAGTGTACAGGTGTGTTGCCGAGCAAGTTGGCGCCCACGCCTTTGCCTCGAGGCCAGGGTCTCGAGCGCAGAAGCACTTGGTCGTGGAGGTTATCCAGTACATCGGCTTTCGACACGCATCGCGATAGATTACGTCGGAGCGACCTCACAAAGATAGTATTAGCCTGAGCAGGTAGCGAAAAATGAGGAAGCGAGTAGATCATACATAGTGCCAGCCAGCGAAGTTGTTATTCACAAGGAGTGGAAGAAAGCTTAGGTGCTGAGAGGAATTCGGAAGCGCATTCCCATTTGTTTCCGTAAGTCCTTGAATAGCGCATATCAGTTTATAACAACAATATATATTAACACCATTGACCTTGAGTTTGTTATAGTTGAGAGAGAGCCATGAGCAGGAAAGAACAACCTCCCTTTCTCCTGAATGTCAAGATAGAAGGTCTGCCTGATCCAATTGGCGTTTCAGTCCGTAGAAACACCACTGGACACGACCTCAAGGAAATGATCGGGAAAAAACTTGGAGTGACGATCGCAAGATTCGAACTATATACGGTATGTGCAGGGCATGCATAACCCATTGTCTATCCACTTATATTCATACCCATCAGATCTACCCGTCTCAACCCTACTTTACTCCAGACACTGAACTGGAATACAATGAGGCAGTACGACCAGCGATGTTATATTGTACGATAACCGAGCTTCTGAGCCTAAGTGCCAGAGAAGTCCCCAAAAGGAATGAACTTCACTTCTACGTCAAGTGCCACACTGACGGTGAGTCTATGTTTGTAGCTCGTTACAGAGCCAATCACTGATACTCACAACTCGGTGTCAAGGAGACCGACCCCTTTGAAGAGGCTAGCTGAGCAGGAGCTCGATTCACCACTTACTAAGCGCCGACGATTGCATGACGATGTGAACCCGCGACGAACGATTGCTAGTGGTGAGGAATTTCACTAGCTTGACGATTCATTTGTAGGAACTGATGATGGAACTGATGACCTGGCCCATATGCTGGTCAAGAAGGCCATCGAAGCCTGCCCTGTACCTTCGATAGCAGCGGGGAAGAGCCTCGGGGGGAGGCCAAGAGTACTCTCTTTCCTGATGGACCAGCGTCCTTATTCCGGCATACCTGTTGGCGTGTTCTGTGACGTGTTGCTAGACCTGCAGAACAACCTGGGTAACCGTCCGGCCCACTTCACCCCGACTGCCACTGAGCGGGAGGCGACCTGCCGGCTTTTGATGGTCGCCAGAGAACTATACCCCGAGGAGGAGTCATTGGGCAAAGAAGACTGTCGTTCGGCAAGGCGTGCGGCAATGGAGCCCCATCTCCACAGGCTTACTGGTCTCTTCGAAAGAGTTCTACATTCGGACAAGACAGCTGCTGATGGCTCCCTCCTAGTCCCCGTTTTCAACGACGAATCGAGTTCATGGCCTGCTGCGACGTATCAATTCAAGACTATGATCTCGACATCGCAGACTGAACCGCACCTGCAGCTGGAGCTGACTTTGTGTAAGACGTGGGCCAGCGAAGAGGTGAGGCACTTTCAACACCACGTACTTGAATCTAGTGGCTGATTACCTGTTCGAAATATGTCCAGGCAGCTGCCGTCGCTCGCTGCAGTCCATGCCCGACCATTCAGCTTATATTTATGGGTCCTCAAGTTGACGTCCAAGGGATGCTGTTTGTAGGGCGGCCTATAGCCCAGAAGCTTACTCGTACCCTCAATCTCGATCTTCTCGTCAACGAAGACTATCTGAAGGAAGTCTCTTGGTTCTTCCAGTGCATACGTCGAGGGATCACAAAGCTGAAGACCTACTATGCTCAGCTGCGCAGGGTCGACGAACCGTTTGACGAGAATTTCTACCCTGTGCACACCCAAATCGCCATCAAGAAAGATTCGGTAGACTTCATCGCGAAGATTCAGTACGATGGGTGGCCTGAGATAAATGAAGATAACCTTGGCACTCGACCCGTCTTCTCTGGCATCATGACTGTTGAAGGACAGGAGCCGGAAGCGTGCATCATCAAATTTGTCGATCTGTATGGCATCGCCGTGCAGGAGCATATCGTGACCACTCTGGGTGCCGCTCCAAAAATCTACGGCGTCCAACGGCTGTCCCCAACTTTGCAGATGGTGGTCATGGAGAAGATAGCAGACGGTGAACGATTGATAGAATTAGGGCACGTTACGGAACAGCGCTGGAACAACATCAAGGCACAGCTTAGGGAGCTGGCAGAAGTCCTCAAGGCTGCCAACTTCGTGCATGGTGACATTCGTTCTCCGAATATTCTTCTCACACCGGACGACCGCGTCAAACTGATTGATTTTGATACAGCGGGAAAGGAGGGAGAAGTATTCTATCCCGCCAATATCAACATGATGATTGATTGGCCCGAAGGAGTAGGGCCTGGCAAACTCATCAGAACCGTCCACGATCAAGTCATGATCGCTCGTTTGGCAGATTTCAACTTTAGCTAAGTGTCATCGACGAAGCGGCCATTGCTAGTTCATTGACAGAAGACTGCCCTTTGAGACTTTCCACTCAATGGATTCTCGTGAATGTTGCTATGCAATATTACGTATAGGACTTAATATGTACAGTACCAAGAGTGTTTGCGGCAGGCGCATAGGGGATACAACGAACTCCATAACACAAAGAAATAGATACAATCTACTTATCTGCTTGACAATATCGTTGAAAAAAGACATATCGGCCATGTCCAGAATAAAACCATGAAGTAGTTGCAAGAGTCGGACCTCCCCCGTTACACGTTTGCCTTCAATATTGATCTTGGCCGCCGGGAATGTGCACAGGCGGTCCCGGCTCGCGCCGACGCTTCAAATTGTCATTGTTTACACTTGATCAATCCAACCACCTTCAACTCCTCACCACGACCCGTCGTGAAGAGCGGCGGTGTGCTTATTTCTTAGCTTCTGAATGGGAGTTCTGGGCTTCACTCCATTCCTACAGAAAGCTTGGTACGCCATATATTTAATTGACTAGTATGGAATTCTGACATCATTGTCAGCCCCGATGTCATTAAACATTTCCCGACACGCCTACGAGCACTTTCAGGCAAGAAAATAGCGGTGTACGCTTCCAATTACTTAGCTACTAGAGATACTGAATATGCACCAGAGATGGCAACCTGGTCACGCAAAGACTTCATTTCGGGGCAGGATCCCACGAGCATGGTCATATCATCGGCTGGTACAAGATGATCAAGGATATGCACGCGAACGGTGTAGGCGTGATCACTGTTTGGGATGGGAAGGAACGGAGCTCGGCAAAGGCCCGCGAGGTGTGCCTGTATTCTCTCTGCCCACGTTCATTACCGCTCACTTGCAGCCTGTAGCAAGCGCGACGCCAAGCCACAAGGCTCCTCCAGCTCGCTCGCGGTGCCCACGAGCAAGGCCGCCTTCATCGACTCCAGCGACTCACAGGAGCTGTGAAGAAGTACCAGCATCTCTGCCGTGCTGAGCAGCTGCAAGTGTCCGCAGCTGTCCGCCTGGCGGTAGGTGCAGCTGCTGTAGCCCAGCTGCATGGTCTCGCCGATGTGATGGAGAAGGTGCATTCGTCAAAATCTATTAAACTCGCAAACGAGATAGTGAACGACACGGAATTGGATTATGCAGAGGCCGACCGAGCTCTACAAAAGGAGATGCTGCTACACCTATACTCGCATGAAGAGAGGGAGGCACTGGCCTCCTTCCTCGATCACGTCGATCCCGAGGACGTGACAACAGTGGCGGCGGTGGACACCGCATACGAATCTGTACTGGAAGCACTTGCAAATGCTTCTGAAGCAGATGAACGACCCGCTGATGCGAAGTGGTTCGACATGTCGGCAGATGATATGGGAGCTTACCGTTTCGGCGGTCGGGAGAAGGATCCCAAACCAGAAGTCATCCCAGAACCCCACACCACCCTTGGGCTCTCCTCTTCGTATCCAGCGCCTATCACTTCCCTTCAATATCCCGGTTTCTCGCCCGACACAATTACCAAGGAGCTAACAGAACTGTATCAAGACTTTCGGGAAACGACCCTCAAAAACAGTCCTGAGCTTTCCACCTCCCTACCTGAGGTTATGCCGACACTTCCCCTGGCCGTCATAGAACCAGAGCATGTCCTACCGTCAAAATATCAAGCCCAGCTCACGGCGGACGAGCAGCTCTTCTGGAAGCGTCTCATAGTCGAAGTTGCAGAAGGCAGTGTGGAGGGTGTACCGAAGTCGGATGACGTTGCCGATGTGGCACTCCTTGAAAATTTGTTCAATCGTAGTGGACAGATGGCATTGAGCTACGAGAAGCGGAACCGACAGCCAACAGCAGCGACATATGCCGAATCCAGGCGGATCCTGTCTGCTATGGGTGTGCCTTGCATCGAAGCGGAATATCCATACGAGGCGGAAGCTCTTGCTGCCAGTCTTGTGATCAACGGACTGGCTAATTATGTGGGCAGTGAAGACACAGTATGCACCGCCTGCAATCTTCGCTGCGGATAATCTAACCTCGCGTATAGGACGTTCTCATATACGAAGCGCCCCTGTTGCGAAATCTCACCAATCGTCAATTACCTCTTGCGCTCATCTCAGGTACAGACGTTCGAAACGCCCTGCAACTATCACGGGAGTCTTTTGTCGACTTCGCCCTATTGCTGGGGACAGACTTTACGCAACGCGTCAAAAATCTTGGTCCTCACACTGCGATCAAGCTTATCCGCACGTATGGCTCGATCGAGCAACTGTTGCGGTCACAAACAAAATATGTGCCCTCCTCACCAGGGGTATACATGGAGCAGATAGAAGTAGCGCGGTTGGTGTTCTCCACTCTTCCACCAGTGCCCGACAGTGCCCCGTTTCAAGAGGGCATATACGACGAACAAGAGGTGCAAGCACTACTGAAAGAATATCATGTTCAAGTGGCGGATCTGGCGGAAGACATGGGTGATCATACTGCTCATGATGGACATCTAGGTGCCAACTACTTTGGCGACAATCCTGTTGATCCCTCCGGTACTTATTGGAGCTACGGCACTATCATTTTGTAACGTTACACATTTCTACGTATCCCTAACTATAGTATCAAGTTCAATTAGTAGTTTTCGTTCAAATGCACCTTCGTTACGGTGACAATGAGCTCTTATCTCAAATACATGAACTAGTGGGCGACTCCATTGTTGGCGGAAGAGACAGGAATGACTTTGTTTCTGCGCCGATTTGTGGATGTAGGATTTCCACGGGTCGTGACACCCCGTTGAGTCAGTTTGGTCATCCAGCGTCGTACAAAGGAAAGACCCGGTTGATGATTCACGCGTCGGAATACATCAAGATAGACCAAGCTATCGAAGCTGGAAAGGGAAAACAGTGGGGATTTTACAGCGGCAATAGTAACAATACACCCGAGAACAGAAACTATACACAGCGATGCTAAAGGAGATTGATGGCATTCTTTTTACATTATGCCATGCCTTGATTGCTGACATTGAGGAGGACGGGGTCGATCAACCAATCCATCGTACCGACCGACGAGACGCCCCACATGTGGAAAAAATCAGGCTCTGGAGTACCGGACGGAATGGGACTCGATGTTGCCATATAAATGTGGTCCCCGAAGAGGGCAAACGGCTCGGGCGGGGGATTGACCGCGTTGTACGCAAATCCCACAGGTGTAGCGGGGAATTCGAGCTTCATGACAGGCCCCAGAGCTGTCTCCTGGGAAGGCGCAGGGTGTTCGCTGATCGGAGGCGAGAGCATCATGTTCATGTCGGCTGACCATGGCAGATTCGAAATGTTGAACGGAGGTTGTTTGCCTATGGAAGTGTGCAGCATAGGAGAAGACATACGGAGCGAAAACCGGCCATCCAAAATGCCGATCGCGCCAAACGGAGTTGGAGTAGCCAACAGGGACTCAGAATCAGAGGGGGATTCCGCACCAGGGGTGAGTGCATGGCCCTCGTGAGAAGGTGATCGTGGAGTCTCAGATTCAGGCGAACACTCGGTAAATCGAGGGCTGCCGCGATCACATTGGGAAGGACGTCCGATCAAGCCCATCTGGAATAGTTGAGTATCAAAGACGAGAACTCGGCGTGCAAGCGGGACAACAATCCCATGTGCCCCTCGAGGTTGGCGCTGTCTCATCGAAGGTGGTAAATCCTTCCTGTGACGGCTCTGCATGTGAGCTCTGAGCAATGCTTTACGCGCGGCACTGTCGTTAGGTTAGAACCTTAGCCTAGGATAGATCATGAAGGCATACCCAAATTTACACCGAGGTTCGGGACATTCAAAACGAGGCGGCTCAGATGCGTGTTTGTTCTGCCAATGACGGCGATAGGAAGAGTCGTCACGGAACGGCAAGACGTCGCATGTTGCTTCGTGATTGTGATCTGGCTCACCCCATCTGCTTAGAGGGCATGCATGGGTTCGGAGTCCGTCACTGAGCATGCTATTTAGATACAATGGTGTATAGTGGAAGATCACTCACTGTCCACGCACATGCACATCCAACCCGTTCTTCTGAGCGAAGGTCTCTCCGCAGTGTGTGCATTCGTAGTCCCTGTCAATACGGTTCAGCAAGGAGACTATGCACTTGAGACAGCAGCAATACTTTATGCCCAGGTGCACTTTGATGTGTCTGTTCAAGTCGTGACGGCGTTGGAAGCGCTTTCCACATGGATTGATGCAGCATACAGTGGAATCGCAAACAAAGGGTCGTGCGTTATACTGAAAAATGGACGTGTCACCCGAAAACCCTGGAAGGGAAGGTGAAGATAACTCACGGCAGTGTTTGCAGAAAGTCGGGGCATGATGACTTGGTGTTTGTGTGTCGCTTGGAATAATAATATGATGACAAGTGGACTTAATGGTGAAGCGCCCGGCGCTCAAAGGAAGAAGAGGCAGGAAGAATCCTGAAGAGATTTTACGTGCAGATTTGGTTGAGGATTTATACCTTTTCTTTCGTCCTGGGTGAACAACAGAGTGGGTTGTTCACATAACTGACTGAGACAACATCTTGGAACCAAGACCATGGGGCCGGAATGGCAAGATTACAGGGACAAGGGCATGGGTACCTGTCCTTAGGAATGGCATGCTGAGTCAAGACAGTGAGGAGGGTGACCACTGCGTGTAACCACACATCCTTGTGTGGTTACATGCGGTGGTTTTTCACAAGATAGAAGCCATCCTGAGAGTCGAACAAAGCCCACAGAAGGAGGGGCCCTGACTCCACAGTCCGTTGCGAGAGAAAGACACCGAAGCCCGGGCAGCGGAAATGCCAGGGCAGCAAAAAGAAGCATGTCAGTCCGGAGCCGTGCGGGGTTACAGGGGTGTCGCAGGAAGGCCAGCGGCGCCATTCATTGAAGGAACGCTTGAATGCTTCTTCACACATTCCCGGACAATCGGAGAATCTCGGCATCCTTCGCATTGTGATGTTAAACCTCCGCCGCGAAACGCCGCTGAGAAAAGAAGCTGGAATCGGGATCACAGGAACCTGGTTAACAGAAACTTGGGCCGGTCCTACTGCGTCTTCCCCCCCTTGAGCAGACTGGCCAGGACACGCCAGGAGAGAGGTAATAGCGATAGTGGCTCCAAAGCGCCACATTTTTGGTATCGGTTTCAGTCCATTTCTTTGTCGTGGTACCTGGGATATCAAGCGACGGAAGGGTATCGGGGGAACCAAGGCCAGGCTTTGTCCCTTCGGATGCAACAGATGGACATCATGAAAGCTCCATGTCACGTTCACGGAAATCGGTGATCGACCATTTGCCCGCTGCTTCACAACTGACAAGGCTATTTTTACGACAGTTATTTGAAGGTATAGCAGTAAGCAGGCCACGGAACTCGATCTGCAGTCTAGCAGTGCGCTGCTTCTCCGTCTGCGGATGTCGTCCGGGGAATCAGGCAGTGCACCCGCACGGCGGCTCTCGGGGATAGTGTGGAGAGACGGACTTACTTGGGCGCTTATTATCTCCGTCCGCCTCTTGGCCAGCGACAACTTGCTAAAGCCGCGAATCTCGGCTAGAAACAGGGCTCCGCTTTTTCGCGGGTTTCTTTCCGAGTACTTCCCGGCCTTGGGCCCACATGTTTAACCGCCTGGCCTCAAGCGATGAATGGGAATTTGACTTCCCTTGCGTGTAAATGTTCTGGAGGTAAGATCAGTGACGTCTTTGTGTATCAATTGAACGTACTTCGCTGCAACGAGGGCCACTGTTTCGATTGCGTCTAGCTTTCTCCTTCACTGGTGTTGTTGAGTGGCTCACCTTGTGATCAAGAGAAGGTCGCACAATCGAGTCTGACAGTCTTTGAGACATGTCATGCCAGGGCCAGGAGTCTATCTTCAGCCGTTTTTCGAAAGTTCACAGACCTCACCTGTTGCGCGGGAGCTGGTCACTGGCTATCGGCGTTTTACCCGATTATCTAGACAACGCCGCCGATCCAATCATTTGACCCGGACAACAGGATGTTAAAGCACCGCAGCCTGGAGGTGGACTCTGTGATTCAGGGCCGGTACAAGCTTTTGTTTCTTCCACTTCACACCATAGAAATAGCGTAGTAAGTCCACCATAAGGATAATGTCTCAGTGGTGGTCGTAGGACCCCTCCTGCGGGAAATCCGAAGCCTCTGATTTTCCACCACCCTGACGGAAGCAGAGAAGCATTATGTTAGGGCACGTGCCCTAACAGCGCCACTGACGCGTGGCCCGTCCCCTTCGGGTCATCTGTGGCTCTCCTGGACCGTGCTCGAGCGCCGACGCCATTTCGCCTGCAGCAACTCCACATTCATCCTCAATCACGTTTCAACCGGACAACAGAGATTCAATCATTGATAACGTGATAGCCGGTGTTCAGCAATCGCGAAACTGCGATGTCAGGCAACAGGGCGATACCGGACGGTTCGGAGCAAGGAGACATCTATCAGAGAACTCCGCCGCAAATTCAGCTTCGGGGTACGTAACCCTGTTTTGAGAAGTCCGCTCGTGACTCTGATGATTGACCGCAGCACTGAGATGGTCCGTTCCGCTCGATGCAGACATCTGGCAACGACAGAAAGATTTGGGGTGGATCACACCAGGTGACGAAGAGATCTTGACCACGGCGCGGAACAGGGTAAACTGGGGTGTATGTGGCTCAATTTCAATTCCATTACTACCATAATATTTTGATTTCGAATCCACAGATGTTCGGACTTGTCATTGGAGCAGCTGTTCCCGCCGTATGGGGCAAATTCATTGCCAAGCCAAACTGGCGTCCAATGCGCATCTTCTGGCTCTCTGCCGGCGCCTCCATTCCCATGATGTTGTTGGGCCAATTGGTGGAAGCGGTCACCGACAACTCAATTCTGCAAGAGTGTGCCAATCCGAGGGCTGTTGTGATTGGTTATTCGGAGGCCCTGCGCGATCAAATGGAGAGGCAAAGAGCGTTATTGAAGGCAAATCCAAGTCCAAAAGTGGCTGCTGCAAAAAAGAGGGAGCTTGAACGACAGAGACAAGACGATTTCATGAATCCACCGTCCTGGCAGTCTCCACCTGGAAGCGACTCTGCTGAGAACGGATTGGTGCCGAACGCGGGCGCCGAGCCTGGTCCGGTGACGCAGGAATTGGAGAAGCAGCCAAATGGGTGGAGATGGTCGGACCGTAAGGACAGCATGCCTCGGCGTAAGTCTATCACATTTCTTCCGATCATGGTGTAAATGTGACTATGTTTAGCACCTCGACCTACCCCTGCCATTTCCGGCTCTGAGACAGAAGCACGTCCTGAATCTGCTTGGGAAGCGCTTCGCCGTGGTCGGCTGCCGGGTCAAAACCAAAAGCAGACAGGAGAGCAGAAACAACAGCGCTCTGCTACGCCCGTACCCGACTATCAGACAGGTGATACACCGTCTTACGATGCTCCTCTAGGCCTGGACGATTTCCAGGAGCCTGCGAGCCCTGAAGAGACCGCGGCCCGCCGCAAGGCGCAGAAAGAGTTTGATGATATGCTGGAAAGGGAGAGGAAATTCGGTCAAGAGGGTGAGGGGCGGCGGAGACCCGGCGGGTCATGGTAGGGGTCAAAACGTGAAACTATTCACCTGTCTTTGAAGGGAGTTAGAAGCACCCTGGCATGGAAAGAAAAGGAATGACAATATTAATAGGGTCCGATTGGTAAAATCGGCCGGTGATCGGGAACAGTTTGTTCTCCTGCATAACAAATATGTCTAGGAATTGTAAGTGATGGACAATTATACAGGCCTCACTTTTTGCAATGACACAAGCATCCGGAGTGCGCTGACTTTCCCATGGCGTATACCCGAAGCTACTGAAACATGAGCTTCCAGCGCGAAAACCAGACCGATGTCTCTTATCAACCCTTGTATTCGAGAGTCATTCAGGATGACATTGCACCTTGAGACAAGCCATAGCCGCCTGGGTTATAGATATTCGCTTCACGTTCTGCAGGAAGCATTTTCATGACATTACAAGCCTGATCTGCGGATTCGCAGTTCTATACTTTCCAAGCATACTCGTCAGGGCAAGTGAGTTCTTGTCGTATCGCTGACTAAACGATTGACGATTCAATTACTGGGCAACATCCACAGCCCAAAGTAGGCATTGCGAGCGAGTTCATTATTTCATTCTGATGTGAGGTCATTAAAGTGAGTACCTGAGTGGGTATGTATCAGACGGAATCTCGGCTTGCGAGAATCGATCACATACCTAAACCCAGGGTTTTCAAACTCGGTGCGATCGAGCATTCCATCTTCTTCCGATTCCTTCTCACTCTGCCCGCCTGTCTCAGCGAGGAGCCTGTCTCGCCTCCTGTTCTCGTTCCACATGTACAGGCCGAGGACAATACCGAGGGCGGTCTTGATGCAGTATCCGGCAAGCATGGAGATGATGGCAGTCCGGAAGATAGGAGATTCCTCGGGCTTATAGAAGTGTGGGCCGATGATGTTCCCGATGCAATATCCAACAAACGTAGTCGCCGCGGTGAAGGACTTCTTTGTGAACCCGCCCGTATTGGCAGAAACCATGACCAGCGAGAGAGAGAAGCCGATACTCTGGCTTGGCGTAATCCAAAAGGCGACGAGGCGCGGCCAGCGATCCTCTACTGGCAGGTAGGCCATACATGCGGCAGCAACGACGCAGGCGATGTTTCCAGCTGTCATGATCAGAACTCGTGTGTTGGGGATCTTGCTCGCCAAATAACCGGAGATGAGTAGGGCAGCAACTTGGATCACATTCGGTGGAATACCGAGCAGGGTAGTCTGCAAGGTTGTGAAATTGCCGATACCCTTGGTGATAACGGTAGAGAAATTAGTGATCGTCCCATTTGGAATCTGGGCGGCGATTGACATGAAGAAAAGCAGGTAGGTCTTGGGATCTTTGAGAGCATGCTCAACCTGGTACCACTTGAAGGTCTTGTTCTCTGAAGAAAAAAACATCAGTCTGAGTGCCTTTGTCTATCACCAGGAATGCACGCACTCAGGCCAGATTTATTCTTCGCTACCCGATCCAACGCGATCGCTTTCTCCCTCTCCGTGAAGAACCTTGTCTTGACGAGTGTATCTGGTAAGCAGAAGAACACCAGTCCTCCCCAAAGGATTGTCACTCCACCCAGAATGAGGAAGATGTATGTCCACTCGGACAATGCACCATTGATATGACCGACGCCATACCCAAGTAAACCACCGATGACGGCCGCCCAGCCTTGGAAAGAGTACCACCAAAGTTGTCTTCCTGGCTGTTCCTCAAGACGGTACCACATGCCTGTCTGGAGCACGAGACCAGGCGTGACGATCGACTCGACCAGCCCGAGGAAAAAACGGTTGGCCATTGCTCCGCCAAAATTGTCCGTGGCGGCCGTGGTCATGATGATTACTCCCCAGATGATGGCAGCGACACCGAGGATGCGGCCCATGTGAAATCGCTGCAGGAGCATGGAAGAAGGGTTCGAGCCCACCAAGTAGGCACTGGAGTGAACGTGACCATGCGTCAGCAGGTTGGGTGAGAGGGACAAACAAGTAGAAGATGGATCCAAGCCAGCTGAACTGGTCCGAAGTGAGGTTGAGTGATGTTTGCATCCTACATCAATGTCAAGCACATCATGGTTTGTCCTGCTGACATGCACTCACCCGAAAAGGTTGGCATAGTTGAGCGCGGTTTTATCGAGGTATTGCAGGCAGAAGGTCACACTCAGCTATAATCATTCTCTTAGCTACATTCCAGATCTTCCACAAAGAGGCACTCACTATCGAGAGGACGTAGAAATCAATCTTGCGGACGACTTTGCGCTCTTCTTCTTTGGTATATTCTAGACCTTGTATAGCAGTCGCGTGGTACAGTTCTAGGCCGATGTTCGACCCGGCGTCGGAAGCGTCTGCGCCCTTGAATGCTTCTGAAACTGGAGAAGCTTTCTCGTAGTCAACATCAACCTCCGCGGAGGAGATTGATGTGGGTTTGGGTTGGACTGATGTCATTCCTTCTTTTGATGACGGCTCAATCGGGGAATAGGAGATAGGCTTCCTGACTGCTTTGTCTCCTGGACGATGAGGAGAAAGCACGGGAATGTCGCTGCGTCAGCGTCGCCGAGGTCAACTGACTGGTAAGAGGGGCAGATGATGGGAGGTGTGAGAGCGACGAGGGGAATCAGGAACAAGGAAACGAGGCGCAAGGATTGAGTGCGATGGCGCCTTTTTGCCCCACTCAAACCATATTAGATGAGAGCATATTGTCAAAGAAGAACCGAGAAGTGAGGCCATGGAGAGGGACGATGGCGTTATCCAAGTTGTCATTCAGTCTGACCCAATCCAGCCAGTTGCACAAGGATCCAAGAGAGTTCCTAACCCAACAAGAAAAGTAACACTTTTCGAGTAATCATAGTAGTCCAGAGTAACATTATCCGAAGATGACGCTCCCGGAGGTGTATATGGCGCGCTTCCGAAGTGCGATGGCGTGCCCAAATTGCCACTTATAAGGAAAGGGATGAGTGCGGGGGTGAGCCGATGCTTATCCGTGAGAGAGAAGGCAGGAGGAGAGCGAGCACGCAAACACAGATTGATGCCGGGTTCGGCAGGCACGTGCACGATGATCAGCAAAAGAAGCATTCGACCACGTGTCTAGGGGATTCATCACCATTGTGCTGCCTTGCCCTTATTTTTTCAGACAGAAAAGTGAGTCATTAACATCGATGATGGCTACGGAAATACAGGCGAAGGTGATCAGTGCGGTCAATGAAGGCGATATATCCCGACTGAGGGAACTCAGCCTGCTTCCAGGAGGGTTTGGAGATGCAAGGACTGTCGCTTGGTGCGCCGACTCCTAAATTCACTTGAGAGAATGTGCTAATGTATTCCAGGCCATATTTGCTCCAAGCCCGTTCTTCATCCAGTACTCTCACACCCGCTCCAGAGGCTATCGCATCATCTTCAACAACCACGGTAGCGTCAACCATAACATCTCCAATCGCATCTTCCTCCTCTCCACCTTTATCCTACGACGACGAACCCCACCAAGACGAGTCGCAAATCAAATTGGACACCGACCGCTCATTTGTTCTCTACCCATCTCTTCATGATACTAAAAAAGACTTGCTCAAGTCACGCCTTAATAGGCTCATCACACGCGTCTTGCGCAAAAGGCGTAAACTTGCCTACGTTCAGGGATACCACGATGTACTCGCTGTGCTACAGCTGACATTGTGTCCGGGGCAAGAGCCGAGTGAAGAGGACGAGATGATGCTCGAGAGGTGTGCGGAGAGGATCAGCCTGTTCAGATTTAGGGATGCGATGGGGCGTGGGCTGGAGCCGCTGCTTGGTCTTCTCAGGTGCGGTCTGTCCGTTGGTCAAGTATATGTACTCAAGAGCTCAGTATGTGTTTGTAGAGTACTACGAAGGCTTCTACGATTAGCTGATCCAGCATACGCCGCGCTCATAGAGCAAACCACTCCCCTCCCGTACTATGCCCTGAGCAACCTTCTCACTCTGTTCGCACACGACGTACCCACCCTGCCGCTCATACAACACATATGGGACTTCTTGCTTTCGCGAGAGCCCGTATGGGTTGTTTATCTCTGCGCTGCGGTACGGAACTCCCAAAATTACACTGTTCTACAAGCTAATGGTTAATTGGGTATCTAGCTCATCCTGGAAAGGAAGGAAGAGCTCCTACAGCGTGTGCGAGAAGACGGTGACGAAGGGGTCCTCTACGTCCTCCTTTCTGGACTGCCACCACTAGTGGATAGTGATTCCCTTCCTTGCTCATCAGAATCGGATGACGACAACCCTCCCCTCACTCCGTCCTCAAGCGCTTCCCTACCCCCTTACACCCCAGGAAGCAGCTCTTCCCTCACACCCCGTTCACCACCGCTCCTCCTACCCCACCTCCTGCACCGGACCGAGGCGCTTTACGTCACATTCCCACCCTCACACCCCGGGCTGAAGCTGGAAGATACACTAGGTCCGGCCTCGGTACACCGCGCACCCTGGCCGCCAGAACTTACAGAAGATGAGGCCGAAGTCGTTGTCACTCGGCCCTCGGATATCGTGCTGTCCTTGGACGAAGACGAAGAGCCTGCGCTTGAGGAACTTAAGGGCGCACCGTCCAGTAAAGGAAGGAGGACGCGAGAACAAGAGATGAGAACACTGATGGCAGTGTTGGTTGTGGGTGCGGGTGTGATGATAGCGATTTATACTGCGGAGGGAGGGATGAGGGCAGTGGATTGGCTTGGGTTAGCAAGGGTTGCAGTCGGGGTGGTTAGAGAAGGTGCAGGGAGGTTGGCTCGGGGTGCGTAGAAGGGCCTGCCAGAGACAGTGGGTGTAATGCACGTAATGCGCAATGACTGGATTGGACATCGTATTTTGTCGTTTCGTTGTGATTTTTGCTCTATGTGCCACTCCCATCTGTCCCATCTACTGAGGAGCAGTAGCCTCAGGCACCCTCAACCTCCTGAGGCCCTTAATGCCCTCTTCCTCCAACCGCATTCCTTCCCACTCCTTCATCCCAAATGCCCCGAGTGCCTTCTCATAAAAGTCGATGCTTGGCTGGTTCCACTGTTCCCATGCAACATGGGTCAGCAAGGGGTGGTAGACATGAAGGATAGGGTAACGCACCTTCAGTACTGACCAGTCCATCCGACCGCATTCGTGCACTTCGGCCACTCGTCCCAGCTCTCCAAACAACGCCTTCCCGATGCCCATCTTCCTGTATTCGGGCTCAACAAACAAGTCTTCCAACTGTTGCGCGACAGCACGCGCATGACGGCGAATCAGTTACGGTCTTCCGACCAAAGAAGGCATGAACGCACATATAAACCGGGCTTTCCCTTCCACGTCGAGAAGTTAAAGAAGTACATAGCAATTGCGACTGCTTTGCCATCCACGAACGCGAGCAATGTGTGGGCGTACGGGTGTGCACCGAAGAGGTTCTGCTTCAGCAGAGCTGGGGTCGCTTGCGCCGACTCGGGCGCTTTCTCGTATATGGCCTAGAATCATATGTGAAGACATCATATCAGCATAGGCAGGGGAAAGGGGCGTACGAGTCCAAGAATCAGACGAAGGATTTCAGGCTATAGTGTCACGTGAGTCAAGTGTACCGGACAAGTGCACTCATCGCACTGACAATGTCGTTTTCGACCGCCTCACGTATGGTGAACCTAGCCATTTATAATTACAGTTCCAAAGACAGTTTAACGAGAGTGAAGATGGACAGATATGGCAAGAGTACAAACGTCAACGAAGCAAAGAAGTGTGGATGTGCTGGCTTTATTATGCTAGGGTTTGTGCCAAGAGTGGCAGTGCAGGAAGTACATCCCTTCGTCACCGAACATGTGACTCACGGCTCTCTGTTTTGATTTCGCCGCAACGCAATGGACTACTCTCCTCCACACGGCACGGCGAACTCATCCATGGACGACCCGTTACCGACCAACTCATGCATGGAGTGCACCCCTATCCACACCCATGATGTTCCCAAGCGGCAACGAAACAGCTTGTCAGGGGGCGAAACTACCGGAGACGACACGTCACTCGACTGCAGTCATTCGACGAAGGAGCAGGTTTTCGGCATCCTGCCTATTCCTGACTCAACAACACCCACCAATACAGGATCAGAAAAGTATCCGACGAATGAATCTTCGTCCATCGATCTTGACACGGGCGATCCAGTTGACTCCGAAGAGGACGAAAGCTCAACAGAGGGGAGCGACGATATCGCTATGCCGTCCCCCTCTCCTTCGGATCGATCGTCTGTGTGTTCGCGTCTTGCAGGTGCCTGCCCCTCCAGCGGGTCAGGTCACATGGCAAGACATGGCGGGTCGCTGGTTACTCCGTGCTACCACCGATGGCTTCATCAGTCTCGTCGATATCTCTTCACCGGACCAAGCTCATAGTGTTTCTCGATGGAAAGCGGACTGCCTTCCATCCGAGCACTTTGCTGTGTACTCGGGTACCGTCATCGCGAACGTCGATGATGAGTTTTCCTTGATCGTATCATATGAAGACATCCTCGCAAGCTCGATTCCCCCCCTGCCGTTCGAAGGGGCAGCCGATCACGCCCTCTCAGCCCGTTTGCAGCTGGGCGTCAGCGGCTCTTGCCTGGGCAGCGTTCACAACAACCTTGCTCAAACTCTGGCATACAACGGCGTGTGGTCCGTACATGGAATTCGCGACGGAGATGTGGACTTGTGCATGTACGATTGGAATGAAAATGGGTATGTCAACCTCAACGTCGATCATCAGGTGCGTTCTGTTTTCTCTCCAAGTCGTTGTCCAGACCTTGACAAATTGGGTAGGAAACCCTGTTGACTGCCGAGTTCACTGAGCACGAGGTGATTGTGGGCACGACCGCGGCTATTTATGTCTTCCAGCTCTGCTCGATCGAGGCAGCTCGTGTTCCGATTGGGACGGGGAAGCAAGGAAATCTTGTTTCCGCGGCCGATCGCTTCGCCTTTTCCGATCTACGCATTCATAAAGCTTGATTGCTTGCTATACGTCGGTCTCTGCGTTCCGATGGCACTTGCCTAGCTGGGCTTGTACTAAAAAACAAACACGCAATCAGTGCGTATCACGTGCTGAAAAGCTCATCTACGCCGTCTGGGTACGAAATGCAGCGACGTTGGAGGATCCCCGTCGAACCGACCGGATTTACTTCTGCCTTGACCATTGATGAAGACTGTCAGCATGCCATTTGGCTGTATCACGTCTCTCATCTTGACGATGAAGAGTTTGATATGGTCAAGAGCACTATCATGCAATTGCCCCTCGACGCCGCCAACAGCGCGAACTCAGAGGCCATCCGGGCGATTCCTGTATTCTGGGCGAAGTCAGAGTACCCCCTTCTCCACTGCGATATCATTGCTGCGAAGAACCCGACACAGTCTATTCTCGTTGCGCAGAAGTATTCGACTCTTGCGTTTATTCTGCAGTTTGGTGAAGAAGAAGGGGCGACAACCGGCATATCGACCCGGGACTCGTTCCCTGTAACGAACGAGCTGAATCCCCTTCCCTCCGAAGGCTGCGACGATCAGAGTCAGGAGTCGACATCGAAGGATCTCGCGTGGTCCGATCCAAGAGGGTCAAATTCCTGGGCCATGAAGAACGTCAAAGCTCTAAACACGGTTGAGCTAGGATCGGTCATTGTAAGTCTGAAGTGTGTACATAAGCGTCGCATGGGTCTGACAATACTGGATTATACAGAAATGGGGCATAGACATGCGGTATTGCCCATCACCGTCTTTGGCACGTAGAAGAGGTACGCGCGTGAAGCTGGAGCTCAACGAGATGCCAGAGCAGTACAGTTCCAATGCATCGATCACGCAATCGTTCTTTTTCCAGGCTGGCGACAGCGCTTTTGGGGCATTGGTACGGGGTTATGGAGTCCCAGGATTACCTTCACCATCGGGTTATTGCGTTCCAGGCATTGGGATGTTGGCTGGCATTCCTTTCGACGGCTATTCCCTAATCTATGACATCGAAGAAGGCGAGTGGCCGTGTGAGTGGTCCGTCGACGTGTCCACACGGATGGATGGATCCGGCATTCTCTCACCCTCGACTCCAATCCCGCCATGCTGCCAAATCAACATGGACAATATGCGCGGAGATAGAGCTCGAGCCCTCGACCAGGAGGATGCAGTTCGCTTCAATGATGCGAACAAGAAGATAGCAGCTCTCTTTCGTTTTGGCTTGAACAAGACCACGTAAAACGTACTGAGGCACTCATAGACATTCGTCAACGATTGAGGACTCCCAGCATTGTTCAGCGGGTGGTTGCATATTTATTGAGGGGAGAGGGCAGGTTTTCCCTGAGGCGAGCACTCTCGTTCACAGCTTTACGTTCGCTCTTGCTCAGCTTCTTGTACGGCACTCCCTTCTTGTAGGGTGAGCATTGTGGAGGACTTGCAGGGGTCAAAGAGTGCCGATCAATATTTGCAGTAAGAACGGTGATTAGGCCTCCTACTCTCTTCGAATCTTTTCAGCTATGCTCGCCAAGCAAGTGTTCCATAATCGTTCCATTACCGGGTTATCGCTCGATCACCAAATAAATCGCTGAATCCTGACGTGCATGTATACAGGCGACGTATATCATGTTCGAGTTGCTGAGACTGCTTCGAATCAACCTTGGCAACTCTTTTGGCATTCACAAACAGACCGCGATCGTGTTCGGTGACCGGGACGCTGGCCCGGGACAACTTGTGGAGAATGGCCGAAGGGTTAGCTGGGGTCGCTCTGTCACCTGGCCAAGTCAAACACCTACTTCATTGTTCTTGGTCGAGATGACAGTGATTATCACTTTGGAATCCTCAGAGGTGATGGTCCTGTCTATGGTATACTGAGAAGATGCAGACGACACTTCCTGGCGGTGGGCAGATTTGACAGCATTAAAGATATAGAAGTTGGTTGGGGCGCTGATTGCATTTACGCCCGGGTTTCAGTGCAAGACTGATTCTCGGATGAGGTTGAAGCGAGGTTGACAGGGGAGTGGATTGTTTGTGTATGCTTTTCCAATCACATGTTATTGCCAGACTGGACACATACAGGAGTTAAGAAATTTGGGCTGGACCAGGATGTGTTACGAATAGCTATCCTTTACCAATCCAAGCATCACAACGTTGTTGTTCTTTTCTAAATGTTAGGATGCACGAAACACCAAGCATCTCCTGACCGCCAGTGGATCACACCATTCTTCCGCACGGGCACATCGAACGAGAAACGTAAAGCATAAGGGCGGGAAAGTTCTTCGGCAGTCGACTTTTCATGTGCGGTCCTCGCCATGATGGCAGAGACAACAACAAGCTCGCTGGCTTCCTCGAACTCCTGCACAGACATGCAGTGTGGAGATGTGGTGTCAGAGAAACCGTCGTGAGATTGACATAATAAGAGCACGGATAAATTGCGAGACAGGGTCAAGCTATATTGTCTGACCATTAGAGCCGGGAGAGTACAGTTCAGACCAACAGTGTATTGCTCAGACAGCGCAAGAACAAGCACATCATGTCCTGAAAAGGAGCCAGATGCCACACAGAATTGTTCATAGTACAAAGCTTGAGTGGCGCAGGATTATCGGGAGCAATTAGGCATCGCTCTGAAGGGAAACGTGGAGAGAAGCATCAGCGGACGTGTGTTATCAACTTGTTTCGACATTTGCCAGACGTGAACGTCGTACGCCGCCTCAAAACTACGACTTGATATTACTTTCTTGTGATTATAACGATAATCCTTTCTTGTTCTCTGTTGAGGGACGATGAATATTGAGGATATCGAAGAACGCGATGGTGAGTATCGTCTATGCCATTGATAGGGCTCTTCTCACGCCTAATCCAGGCCTCCGTCTGTCGTGGAACGTCTGGCCTTCATCACGGGTCGAAGCAACTCGAACGGTTGTGCCAATAGCAGCACTATACACGCCTTTGAAGGTACGGGAGGATCTCCCTCCAGTGTTGTATGAACCAGTTACATGCAAACCGCCTTGTCGTGCGATCTTGAACCCCTACTGGTGTGTGGACTGAACAGCAGTTCCGCAATTGTCATTAATCGCACACAGCCAAATCGATGTACGAGGCAAGCTTTGGATCTGCCCCTTCTGCTTGCAGCGCAACCCTTTCCCTCCTCACTATAAAGACATCTCCCACACTAATCTTCCTGCCGAACTACTTCCCAAGTATACCACGATCGAATACACGCTTTCCCGACCAGCCCAAATCCCACCCATCTTCGTCTATGTCGTCGACACATGCCTAGATGCGGATGATCTGAAGGCGTTGAGGGACACGCTGATTGTCAGCCTGAGCCTGCTTCCACCCCATGCACTGGTTGGCCTGGTCACCTTTGGTACCATGGTGCGCATATATCTGTCTAACCTTGTATCCCGTATTCAAAACTTGTTCAGACACAAGTCCATGAGATCGGTTACGGGGAATGCCCCAAGTCCTACGTGTTCCGTGGTACCAAGGAGTATGCGCCAAAGCAGATCCAAGATATGCTCGGCCTCTCCCAAGCGAATCGTTCTGGTCTTCGGCCTGGACAGCCAATGCAACCACAGAATTTCGGTGCTGCTCGCTTCCTGATGCCGGTTCAGCAATGCGAGTTCCAGCTGACGAACATTTTCGAGACCTTGGCCCGGGATCCGTGGACTGTCGCTAGCGACAAGCGACCGCTTAGGTGCACGGGTGTGGCGGTCAGTGTTGCAGTTGGTCTGCTGGAGTCAACGTTCCCCAACACTGGTGCGAGGATCATGGTGTTCGCTGGTGGTGCATGCACGGAAGGCCCCGGTCTTGTTGTTGGTGATGAGCTGCGCGAGGCTATTCGCTCTCATCACGATATCGACCGCGATGGTGCCAAACATTACAAGCGTGCGACCAAGGTGAGAGAGCAGGTTGCATATACTTGCATCGTCACTGATCTTGATACCCAAAGTTCTACGAGGGCCTTGCAAAGCGTGCGTCAGCCAACGGCCATGCCGTTGACCTCTTTGCTGCCTGTCTGGACCAGATTGGTATCGCCGAGATGAAATCTCTGACGAACTCGACCAACGGCGTCATCATTCTCGCAGATTCCTTCACGACTGAAATCTTCAAGCAGAGTTTCCTCCGTCTCTTTGACAAGGACACCCAGGGTCACCTGAGTATGGCCTTCAACGCGACCTTTGACGTTCAAACGACCAAGGAGTTGAAGATCTCTGGTATCATCGGACACGCAATTTCGGCCAACAAGAAGTCGCCATGCGTTGGCGAAACCGAGATTGGCATTGGCCAAACTTCTGCGTGGAAGATCTGCTCCTTGACACCGCATTCGTCGATCGGCGTTTACTTCGAAGTTGTCACCGCTGCTGGGCAGCCTCTCCAACCTTCCTCCCGTGGTCTGATTCAGTTCGTCACCCACTTCCAGCACTCCAGTGGTCAATACCGATTACGTGTCACGACTGTTGCACGCAACTTCGCTGAGGCTGGCTCTCCGCAAATTGGCCAGTCCTTCGACCAGGAAGCCTCTGCGGTCCTCATGGCTCGTATCGCCGTGTTCAAAGCGGAGATCGACGATTCGCCCGACGTCTTACGCTGGTTGGATAGGATGCTGATTCGCCTTTGTCAAAAGTTTGCCGATTATAGAAAGGAGGACCCCACAAGCTTCCGACTATCCGACAACTTCAGTATCTACCCTCAGTTCATGTTCCACTTGAGGAGAAGTCAATTCTTGCAGGTGTTCAACAACAGTCCTGATGAGACGGCCTTCTACAGGTAAGGATAAGGAATCTATTATCATACTTATAATCGCTAACGCTGCTTCCAGGCACGTTCTTGATGAGGAGGATGTCAACAATTCCCTCATTATGATGCAGCCAACGCTGATGTCATACACCTTCGATCAGCCTTCACAGCCTGTATTACTCGACAGTGTGTCGATCAAGCCAGACGTTATTCTGCTGCTCGACACGTTCTTCCACATTCTTATTTTCCATGGCTCTACGATTGCTGAATGGAGGAAGGCGGATTATCAGAATCAAGAGGGATACGAGAACTTCAAGGAGCTGCTTGAAGCTCCCCAGTTGGATGCTCAAGATCTTCTTCTGGACCGAAACCCACTGCCGCGATACATCGTCTGCGACCAGGGTGGCTCACAGGCACGGTTCCTGCTGTCTAAGCTGAACCCGTCCACGACGCACATGTCTGGTGGGATGTACGGCGGACCTGGGGCTCCGGGCCAAGCCATCTTTACGGATGATGTTAGTCTGCAGGTATTCATGGAACATCTCAAGCGTCTGGTATGTCGTTTGCCTTGCAAGTATCTCCTGCTCCTGATATCAATCTCCACAGGCTGTTGGCGCTTCCACGTCGTAGAGTTGTACTACTTCTTTCGTTCAGTCTGTTCGGCACGTTGTATGCAGTGTTGAATGCAAAATCCCCATTTCTACGGGTATATATAGTAGTCCATTGGGTATCTGACCCGTTACAGACATTGTTTAAATTTTCTATTCTACACCAATCCTATTGAAGATTCACACTATCGCAGCCGCCTTGTCCGCCGCCACGATCGCCTGCTCAAACCCACGCAAGAGACTGTCCTTATCCTCCATTCCCACACTAACACGTACCAAGCTTGTCTCCACCCCGTACTCCGCTGCCCAATCCAGCTCTGTATAGTGGGCGATGACGGTATACGGGCATGCAAGGGTGAAGTTCGTGCCCAGACTCGGGCCCTTCTCGCACGGGAGAGCGTCGAAGAAGGCCTTGCTCGCAGCGACACAAGTGAAAATGATGGAAAAGAGACCTCCAAACCCTCCTGCTGGTCTATCCCCGCGGGCAGGGATGCGGCACGCATCATAGTTCTCCCTTGTGACGTACTTTGGGTAACACACTTCCTTGACCGTGGCCCCCGGAAGACCGATTCTGGACCGAAGGAACTCGCACACAGCTTCGGCGTTGGCGTTGATGATGTAGACGCGGGGGACGAAGGTACGCGAATTGCGCTCCATGAAGAGGGCGTCTTCTACGAAATAGGTGTCTTCGTACACTTGGGGCATAGTAGACCGGAGGACGGGGTGGTAGCGCCTCTTCGGGTTGAGTACAAGGCTGAAGGGAGACGTGTCAGCAGCTCAGCCGGTTCACGGATATAGACCCAAAGGACACACCTCCCACCCATGACGTTCGTCTCCCCGCTAAAGACCTTTGTCAAGCTACTCACTAGCACATCCGCATACGGCAACACCTCGACATTGACAAAGTTTCCGATCGTCTCATCGACCACGATGAGGAAGTCATACTGGTCTGCAAGGGCGCGCAAGCGAGGGAGGTTAGGCGAGCGGAGCAGGGGGTTAGAGGGGAACTCGCAAAAGAGGGCGAGGATGCGCTCTCCTGACTCTAGCAGAGTCTGCAGCTCGTCGATCGAGCTGTCGAGCCCATGACCGTAGAAATGTACTCCAGGGCCCCACTTCTGAAGGATCTTGAGCGTGTCGGTATACGGAAACCTTTACCTCCAGTATCAGTAAAGTACTTTCCAAGCAGAGGCGCACTCACCCAAAACAAACACTCTTCATCTCCCCCGTGGCCTTGAGCGCCAACTGGTGCGCATACCAAATCGCGCTCATCCCCGTAGGCATAAGCCACACATCCTCCTCCGTCACACCCTCCACGCCTCGTCCCCTGACCTCCAATTGTTCGCTCTCATCATGCACCAGTGTTCCCGCTATCCGCCTGCGCAGAGCCTGCTTCGCCAGCACAGCTTTCGAGAGGGGCAGGTTCCTCCCGTAGCGCTCTTCGATGTACTGTGCATGGTCGGGGGACATAGACTCTCCCTGAGCGGGAGGGGGGAACGCAGGTGCCCTGGGAGGGGAGACGGACTCGGTAGGCGAGAGAGGAGCGCCGATGGACGGCTTTCGTCCGTATCTGCTACGCGCGGAACGATGTTTCCCCAGTAGGCCGGCGTGTCCATTCCCGTTCCCGTTCCCGGTACTTGGCGCAGTGGAGGCAGGAGCGTCTTGCTTCTCCTCCCTGGCGCCCTCGGACCACAACCGCACACAGCGTTCCGCCATACGACTGCTCACTCCCAGTCCCGTATGCTGCCAAAACGCCTTGGCGAGGGGCCATGCCTCCTTATCAAATAGGACGATATACAAATCGGCCGCTTCCCTCTCCTGCACCGGTTCGTCAACCGAGGCAGAACTGGGTAGGAGGGCAAAGTGGGTCGTCCGCACGGAGAGCGGGGTAGAGGACTGGGAGGCCATGAACCGCACGCATTCCTGGGCGATACGAGAGGAGGGGAAGAGCATGGCTCGTTCTTCCGGTCGGGCAAAGCGTTGTTCGCACATGACTGCCAGCTGCACACGCATCGAATCCGGATCGACAACAGTTAGTTGACATCGCTGGAGAAGGGCAGGAGGACGCAGGACGCACCTGCTGGATTGTACGATGGACAAAGAACCTCGGATAACCAGTCTGCATGACATCCACGACGCGAGGAGCGCCTTCCTCATAGTCGACATTATCCTGCCACTTTGGGAGAGAGACGGATATTGCATGAGGCAAGTTGGCAGGGATTGATGATCCCATTGGGGATGAGAGGAGAGCGTAGGTCGTTGTTGCCATTGTTGTCGATGTCGATGTTGATGTTGATGGCGGTGGTACAAGAAAGAGATACAAATTGGAGGAATGTCGGACTGAAATTCATAGTGTTTTCATTGTGTGTAAGTGCACCCTGAACAGAGTGGAGTCATGTGTAATTACGGATAAATTATTCCCATAATTCAGAACTTCTTCGGACGATTCAATCCGACAGTCATTGTCATCATCATCAGTGGCTACCATACTTCGGGATGGCATGAAGCGCGCACACACGCTTGAAATTTGTGATTGGGGTGTAGTAAGTGGGGAACTAGAAGACATAGGCAGACAAACGCAGGTACAAGGAAAAAGAGAAAAGTAGGAGGCATCACAGCGAGGTACAAGAGAGAATCAGAGAATTACAGCTATGATGCCCTTACCGCACATTACGCCGCAGGAGCAGGAGCAGCAGCCGGCGCACCCGCATCGGTAGCAGGGGCCGCGACGTACTCCTACCGTCCAACGTCAACACAGCCAGTTGGCAAAGCACTGAAACGCCTCACCTCCATCTCCTGGTCTAAATCGGCGGCACTCTTCGGGGCCCTCCTCGTACGACCACCACGGCCACCGCGTCCACGTCCCCTAGCAGCAGCACCCCTAGTACCGTTCCAGTAAGTACACCAAACTCATCCCCGAAAAACAACCGTACCTCGTGGCTGAGGCAGTGCCGTTTGTAGCAGCCCTAGGGGCAGCAGGGGCGACCTTCGGGGTGGGTGCGACGCGGGAGGCGAGCGTAGGCGGAGCAGGCTTGACCGGTTCGAGGATGAGTTCAATCTTCATCGGGCTCTCTGGTATGAACAGAAGACGAGGATGATCAGTTCTGCGATCAGGCTCGGCGGAACCAAGGCAAGGTCAAGATACGTGAACGGGAGCGGACGAGGACGGCTAGACGAAAACCCATGCAGCTACTGGCCGCTCCTGTCCCTTGCACACTCCTTCATGCTGATCGTACGAGAACTTTCTGCCGGGATGCGAGCTCACCACCTTTTCTACGGTCTCGGTCTGTGACGCCTAAAGCGACCACCTCATTCCTCCTTGCTCAACCTCATGCCTTGTACTGCGGTGCAGTACATCGCCAAAACACGTCTGATCAGGACGGTTTTGTCGGCGGCTCAACCTCGCATGCGAGGGAGACTACAGGGCTCGACCTCCGAAGAGGGAGACAAGGCAGCTCAACTCATGCCCGGGCAAGAGGAGCGAGGGATGCATACATCAACGATTGGTGCCTCCACCACCATGTAGCGGGCTTATCGGATGTTTGGACAGTACGACTCAGTCCGCTGAACGAGTCAACGTGACCTCAGTCGGAGGTCAGACTGCACAGTCAATAGAAAACGACTCGACTCGAGACCGAAGTCCAGTGGTGAGCGACAGTCCAAAGCAGGGTAAGAGCGTGTCTTAGTCAGGAGAGATACACCGCGCAGGCTCGGAGACTCCGAGATCGGCCAGTGAGTCATCGTCCGACGCCCGCGACGTCCCCGCTGAAGAAGCCAAAAAGGATGGAAAGTGACTGACTCGCATCGATCAGGCGACCGTTGTACTCCTTGTACGCCTTGAATCCGTCACCCTTGTTGGTGAAGGTAACGTGAGCGATGCCCTTTGACTGGCCCTTGTTGTTGAATGCGAGGTTGACCTCACGCGTCTTCCCGACGGTGGTACCGAACAGTTCCTAGAGTGAGAGAGCAAAGGCGAGCCACGATTCAGGATAGAACAGATACGAGAGCGGGAGAGAGGTCGACCTTGATCTGTGTCTCGGACACGTCAAGGGGCAGGTTCGACACGATTATCTTGCGGGCCTCTTGCTGCGCCTGGGTGACCGTAGGTTCCGCGGCTTTGGGGGTTGGTAGGGCAGCCTGACGCGCAGCAGCCTTGACCGCAGCACCGGCACCAAGATTGCCTGCCCCGAGGACAGCGGCCTTTGCGGTGGGAACCCGACGACGACGCTGAGGACGCGGCTTGGACTTGATCATCTATTGAATTTGGAAACGCGTAAGCAGGCGTGTTGCGGGTGTTACTTGCCGGACTGGGCGCACATCATCGAGAGACTTGTCGAGACCGGATGCCATTGTTATATGATTGGGAGATGGATGGGCACTGTTGTTGATGCGGGTGGGTGATGGCGGTGAAGAGGGTGATGGTGGTGGTCAGGATGAAAGGAGTAAAACGCGACGACGCCGCTTTACATCTTCCACTGCATGGGACCCCGGACGGTGCATTCGGGGTCCTCGCCCTTCCGCAACTTGCACCTGATTGTGCTCTGAAGCGCTCTCATCCCACACTCACAACAGACACACCATGGCGGTAAGCATTCTCCTTCTCCTCTCCCTCCTCATCTCACACTCTCCAGTCCGGTTTCGGCTACACAGGAGGTACGCCCTCCTCCATCTTCACCCTCTCCAGCTAACTCAGACCAGGCCCATCCCGATGTTTCCCATTCTGGCAGGAGTTCGCCAAGGTGTGCCGTTTTCCCTCCACCAGCAGCATAGGCTAGGACTGACTAGGGGGACAGTGTTACGCACAGGCTGACTTCCCAAATCAGTGCAAGGCACAGAAGGAGGATTATGTAGAATGCTTGCATCACACGCAAGAGGTGCGTGTCCTTGTATTCAACTGCGTTTCCCCGTCTTGGGCTCTGCTTTCCTCGCTTTCTAGCTCATACCGGCGCACATCAACCCCTTTCGTATCACATCCCCTTCACTCCTTTCCTCCGTTCTTTCCTCTCCCTATCATCCCCCACTAACCCCCACCCCAGAAAGCGCGTGCCAAAGCCCTCCGCCACGAACTCCAAACCCAACAAGCACACCAAGCCCACGTCGGGAAACAAGAAGCCGACATCAAGGCTACCTCTGCACCTATCGGAGTGGGGCTTATCAAGCCTTTGCCTGAGGAGTCTTGAGCCGTTTGAAATGTGTGTAGCCTGGGTGGGGAAAAGAGAAATGATAATGCACCATGCACTGTGGATCATCGTATTCGAGTCGCATTGTTCCGTAAGCGTCTCTGTGCCAATCTTTCGTTGAAACGCACGCTACCATACCTCCCAACCAACCTCCGAAATGCACAAGCATGCCAGTTCCATATTCCAACCTTTAATTCTATCCAGGCACCCTTTCGTATCTAAGCATAAGATTTCGGGAGACATCATAAACAAAGTCCGCGTGCCAGCATGCAGAGATAAAGGAGACGAGAACAGAAGATCAAGATTGTCCATATGTGAGAGGTGAAACAAGGTGTGTGGCAGAAAGGCGAACAAAAAAAAAAAAAGGGAAGAGAACGAAGAGGAAAGGCATAGTGATACAACAACCACCGACGGAAGCTCCCTCCACAAGGCGATCAGTACTGTCTTCCCCACCTACGCTTCCTGACCGTAGCGACGCTCCCACCCGTAGAAGGCGTCTTCACTTCCTCCGGCTCCTCCTTCTTCCCAACCCCTCGCTCCTTTCCACCGTCCCACGACCCCCTGCTCTCATCAGGCTGGGGCATGACACCATCCTCGTCCCTTCCCATCCAGCCGCGCCTGTCCCTGTGCCCACTCCTGTGTTTCCCCATCTCCTCAGCGCGGGAATGGAGCACATGACTCCGGATGGGTATGGTCAGCCTTGCCAGGGGGTTGGAGGGGCTCAGCAGCGGACTGGGCTCGTTATCCGTCGACCCTGTGGGAGGGGTACGGATAGAGGCCGAAGGGATAGGGGAAAGACTAAGCGTCGGACTAGGTGAAAGGGCGGAATTCGAGTTGTGTGAGAGGATAGTGTCGGGGGGGTGGAGGGAGGGGAGCCACCGGGTCGTTCGCCCTACCGGGGGCAGCAGACAGCCGGCGACGAGCAGCTCAAGAGGGGAAAACTTCTGCTCGGCTTGGACGAGCCGGATCGCGCTTGTTACTGGAAGGGGGAGGGGGTCTGAGAGGGCGCCGAGCGGGAGGAGGCAGGTGTGAACGGTACGCAGGGCCAGGCCTCCTGGCGAGTCTGGGGCTTCTCTGGCTGAGGAAGCAGGTAGGGGGAAAGAGAAGGAGGCAAGGAACCCGTCAAGCGAGCGGGCGAGGGTCGCCTGCGTCTGCATGTCCAGCCCTGCGGGGAGGACGTGTACCAGCTGAGCGGGGAGACGGAGCCTGTTAAGGGGGCGTGATGCAGAGAAATCGTAGGAAAGGGAATTGGTCAGCGCGCTCCCGCTTGCTGCGGTACTTATGGCCGAGTTGTTGGATACTGAGCGCGTCAGCTGTAGCGGTGGTGGCCGACGACACGTAGACGACGAGGCGGAGAGCTTGCGCATTTTCGGCCGGAGGATCCCAAGCATGCCGCGTTTCTCGCCGGGAGAGTCGTGGTCATGCCTGAGAAGACTAGATACGCTCGACTCGCCGCTCCTCCTTCGGTCGTCGATCCCACCGGCGCTCACACCGCCAGCACTCATACCGGCCCTGATAGCCTCTTGCTCCCGCTTGCCTACCAAGAAAGGGGCCGACAGCGTACTAACCAAGATTGCAAGCTTCATCAGCGCATGCGACGCATTGGCGCGCATCTCGAAGTCGCTTGTGCCTGCACTGGCACCGGCTATAGCGAGCCAATTGCTAGGCAGGAATAGAACGATAGCGTCGAAGGCTCTCTCGGTTTGCATCGGGCTTGGCTGTGCTGATGGCTGCCGTCCGAGGCGAGAGAAGGAGAATATACCGCCGGCGGTGCTCATACTTGTGCTAGTGCTTATGCTGGAATCCGGGCGAGATGGATCAAGAGGAGGGGTGCCAGGCGAAGAGAGCTCGCTGAGTTCATCCAGTTCTCTCCCGGCCTGTGACTGGCTCCACCTCGTTTGTGCCTGGTGCCCCAGAGCCTCGAGATGCATCTGTTTACGCCACGCTCTTGCGACCTTCTCCCCTTTCTCGAGCAGGTACATCACCCTAACTGCTTCTGGCTGAGAAGCATACTTAGGCTCGGGCTTGAGCGTGCGAATTGTAGGATGTGTTGGGGGCATGGGGTGGAGAATAGGTGGAGATGCGGACGGGGAGAGGGAGCCAAGGAGGAGAAGAGAGCCTGCGAGGGCTGGGGAAGTCAAGAGTGGTAAGAGGGCGACTGCGGGAGGGTCTACACTCGCGTTAGCTTCATTCGGGGTGGGAGAGAGGGACATACCTCCTAGGAGGAAGATGACACGCCGCAAGTCCCTTGTCGCTATGAACCTTTCGAGTGGGGCAAGTGAGAGCGTCCATGGTTCTCTGTCCTCAGCAGTGTTCGGAGTTCCCTTTCCCTTCCACACGACGGGGTTGCTGAGCTCTTTCACGAGCGGTGAGTTGGAAGGGATGAGCACATTTGGTCTCTGCTGTAAATCGGAGAGCGCTTGTACTTGAGGTTGTAAGTGTCGTTTAGAGTAGGCGAAGGCTATCGACGGATCCAGCGTCGAGGTCGTCATCCTGTACGACGAGGAGGGGGTTTGTTGTCGTGCGTTGGTGGTGGTAGAGTGTCAAGAGTGATTCTGTGTGTAAGAGGTCGAGGGCTAGATGTATGCGCCCTTTAGAATGTCCCAGGCGATGCCTCTCAAACACGTGTGAGGAAGACATGGGCCGAATGCGGTAACGTTGATGCTATGCTAAGCGTTGCTCGGCATCTCTTGACACACTTCCTGGCGATCTCCGTTCTTGGCACTCATCATCGCACACATCAATGACGTATGTGATCTGATTGCCATGCACAGAACGCTCGTTTCATCGCCATTAGCTTCCGATGTCTCACTTCATTCAATCTGATTCACGTGATATTAACCATGATAATGAACAATTTATTTATTTAACTAATGCTGCGCAGTTAGGGATGACCACACGACCAATAAATCATACCACACTTCTCAAGCAAATCTTGGCCTGCCCCGCCCTAACAAGAACCAAATGAGGCGCTGTCATGTGTATACCTTCCAAGTCACTAGACCATCTGATCCAACAAGTTGACAGGTGGAGATATAGAAAACAGCATTAATATTTGATACGCATGTTCACGCAAGCGAACCACCTAGTTTCACAACCATCCACCTTTCCCACATCAAGTTCCCAACTTTCCCAACATAAACCTCAAACATCTCCCCTACATCAACCTCTCCACAAACACACCCTGTGATCATAAAACGAGCAACTAGCAACCACATCCTCCCTCGCTCCCTCCGTCGTCACCCATCTAGCCGCGTAACACATACTCTCGTGTCCCTCAAACTTCGTCCTTTCCTGGGAGTCTTCTCCCGCTCCTGGAGAGAGACGGACGATCTCCGCACCACCGTGCATCGCCGCTACTAAAAGATCGGATTTCCTGGCTGCTGAAGGGTGAAACTGGAGACGCCACGCGCCACCTGCGACGTTGTAACTCTCTAAAGGGCGGAGAGGGGCGCGTGTATCATATATCCTCACAAGGGAATCATACCTGCCCCAAACATTGAGATCATCGAAACAAGAAAATGGACAGCACTCACGTCCCGACAGCAATCTGGTGTGGTGTCCATGGGGAAGGAACGATTGATACGACTCCAGCGTCAAACCTGGACCGAGTGAGTTCTCAGTCTCGAGTCCCAAATCCCAGAAACGTCATACCGACGAGTGACAAACGTCGGACTTTCTGTGCCTGCTCTCAAGTCCCATCCTTTGAGCGTAAGGTCATCGCTCCCTATTCCAGTCAGCACTTGAAACCCTGATACGGAGTCGCACACCTGAGTAGAGCACTCCTTGCTCCGCCGCACCCCATGCAACGACCCAGGCCTCGTGTTCATGCGCTTTCCACACGCCCACCAGTTCTAGCCCCTCTTCCCGTGGTATCAAGTGAGCCAATTCACCGCTGGAGAGGGAAACGAGCGTTTCCCCTAAAGCGGGTGTAGAGGGGGAAGGAGGCAGGGAGAGTGAGAGCGCTAGGGCGGTGGAGGAACATGATATGCTCGAGTGCGAGGAGAGAGAGGACTACTGCGGCCGCTTCAGTTTTAGCATTGAGAGGAAAGGAGGGGGGACGTACGCGGGCCAAGCCATAGGTGTATAGGTTGAGGTTACCCTCTGCGTTGGCTGTGAGCAAGAGCGGCGTTCCGTCTGCTCTTCTTGCCCTGGAGCGGTGTTCAAGTTAGCAAACCAAAAGCACAGCGAACTGGACGTACCAGTGTAGATCCAGAACTCCTGCAGATTCGCACGTCGAAAGTTCGTTCCTGCCCTTCAGTCAGGAAGAGATGTATCAGCGTTAAGTTTGACATACAACCCATCCTCCGTCACCTCCCATAGTACTACTCCCCCTACTCTTCGCTGGGGAGTTCCCTCGATCAGCCTGTACATCCCACAAGCGAGCACAGATCTGTCAGAATCATTAGAAGGAAGGACAGAGAGAGAGTCAGCAGGATGCAGTAGTGTGGTGGTGAAGAATGCCGGAACGGAGGGCATGGTCGTTGGCAAGAAGCGCGCGTCTGGCGCTTATATCAGTGCCTCTCCTCGATGGCTCATGGCCGCACCGCAGCGACATCCCTCTCACGCCCACGGCCGACTCTCGCTCCACGCCCACAGCCCAACATCCACCTCTGCATCGTTCAGCGAGCTCTCATACTCCTACCCGCTCAAGCTCCTCTCTCCACCTTCGCACGCAGATGCACCAGGACCGGTGAGGATCGTCTATGTGCTTTCTTATGGTGGGGGACTCGTAGGTGGGGATAAGATAGAGTTGGATGTAGAGGTGCAGGAAGGCGCTAGGCTGGTGCTCCTCACTCAGGTATGGATTTACCCACGCAACTGCGACTGTCTAACTGTCTAACTGTCTAACTCGTCGCAGGGGTCGACGAAAGTCTTCCGGGCTCGAGATCCGTCCAACCGAACCCAGCAACATTTGCACGCAAACGTACATGCCCACTCTCTTCTTCTCCTCCTCCCGGATCCCATTACCCCCTACGCCGAATCTTATTACTCCCAAGTACAGACATTCACCCTCCACCCCTCCGCAAGCGCGATAATCCTTGACTGGTTCACCTCAGGCCGGGCAGCGCGAGGTGAAGTCTGGGCACTAGGGAAGTACCGGAGCGCGAACGAGGTTTTCGTACAAGGCAAGAGGGTGGTGAGGGATGTGTTACTCCTCGAGCAGGGTGAGCTGGGCAGACGAATGCAGCCCTACGCCTGCTACGCGAACGTGTTCCTCTTCGGTCCGCTGGTGCAGGGAGTCTTGAGAGCGCTGAAAGAACGGTACGAGAAGATCGAGCAGATGCAGCGGTCCAAGCCGGACGAATTTGTATGGAGCCTGAGCATACTAGGAAAGGCCGAAAAGGGGAGAAACGGGGAGGGCGGGGACGGCGCGGTAGTGAGGTGCACAGGGAGAGAGACGGAGATGGTCAGACTTTGGCTGAAGGACGCTCTGAGCGGGGCGAGCGAGGTGGTGGGGAGGGACGTATATGACAAGGCATTCGTTTGAGGCAAATTCGACACATGCGCAGTCTCTCAAAGCATGGCCGTTAGAGGTACGAGGGGTTCGGCAAGCTCTTAGATGTATGTGGCTTCTAATTTGTTTTTCGCGACCAATTCACCCAGGTGCTATTAGAAAATTTCACCCCGTCCACTCCTAGACGATGGTCTTCATGCCTTTCTCAGGCAAGGGCGGTGCCGATACCAGCTTGCTACCAGAGGCTGCCTGCAGCTACTCTTATAGGTATTGGTATGCATCCTGTATTCGCTTCAACGTTTCCATGCTATATGCATGCTGACGAACTGTGTAGAACAAGAGACAGAAGCTGAGCAGATTATCCTAGGCAGAATCACGACGTTATCAATAAGCACCACCAAACCACATCGTTGTTAAGACAAGATTGGGTTCTTCATGTACCCACGTAATTGCCAATTACATGTCCTCATCAGACGCGCCTGCCCCATCCTTGACAGCGCTGTTTCGCTATTTTCTTTACTGAATGATCGCAGGGAGTTCCGGTACAGAATTGTCGCTGCACCAACCAATCAGTCCCAAGTCATCCCAAATGGTACCAGCATACCTCTCGTCAAGACAATTATCCCCGTAAAAATATCGTCGCTGTTCCTTTGTCATAAATTCACGTGGCGGGCGGTTGTTGGTTGTTTCGGCAGCCTGAGATATGCCCTCTCCTTCGCCCGCTCCAAAGTCAGCCAATGCGATCTCAACCACCTTCTTGAACGCCTTCGGTGGGCCCACTTCCTCACAACATACATTCTCCCAATAATACGGCATCCAACCGGACGTCTCCCAATCGATCAATCCTGAAATCCTTCCCCCGTCGATCAGAATGTTGTGGTCCGCGATATCTCCATGAGTGAATACGGTAGGTGTGTTGTCGTATTTGGCAAATGTCTTTTCCAGCTTCGGTTGGACCAATGGCCAATACTGCCTGGTCAGGCTCTTGATCCAGGCATGGAACGCAGCCACATCTTCAAATACCGGCATATCCCATCTATAATGAAAATGGGTCGCCAGCCATTCACCTCCAGATGCACCGCAGACTTGAGTTGGATAAGGATTCGGTATACGGCGAAGTTCGGACAAGTGCGTTCGAAGGTCCATCCCGATGTCGACGATCTCGTCTGGCGACAGAGTTTCCAGGACTTCACGCAACGTCTTTCCGGGTAATGCGGTCATAAGAATGTAGCACATTGTTTCACCGCGTTAATCATGCGTAACGAAATCGAGGAATCTCGGGGATGGTATGTTGGTATGTCGCTGAAGAAGGTACATCGCATGGGGTTCGATCAATTTGATGCCATAATCACCTTTTAGGTAGAGAGGTAACCCAAAGCCAACTTTAAATGACCCTTGAAAGCGCATGCGGCCGGATGGCCGTGGTGATGTGTAGGCAAGTATTCGGTAGACATAAAATCGAAACCGAACCGGAAAAAGACGCCAGAGCCTGGCGAGGAAGGGCAGTTCGTGAGGGGTGTCTATCACGGGGCATCCGACACGTCCCCAAGGCCAAAATCTGATCATCTGCAGGAAGACCATCAACTGGTCCCGAATAGGATCGATTTATGACTTACATCCAACGGAGAGAAATATGGGGACATTGCGAGAAGCAGACTGCTCACTAGTATTGGGTAGTACAGTACATACCGAAGCTGTTTGGATACTAACGACATTCAAGTTGAGTCTCGGCACGGAAGCTAACTTCCGGAACATGGACAAGACACGTGTTCAATGAATTGCCATTATTTAAGAGTATGCCAGGACAGCATGACACCACCTTGCTCTTACTTTCTCCTCAATCAATGGCTGATCTCGACGTCGGAGGGATCTACCTTCGTATTTATTCCGGGGACAAACGCTACGAAGTCGTCTTTCAGGATTACCAAAGGGGACAATGCTACCGTGCAGAAGCTGAATTCGGTCCCTTCGACACCGTTTATTGGCATCATGGGGGAAGCATCAACGACGGCGCGACACACGGTGTCTGGATCTTCCTCAAGGTCGCTCATATCCCTTCATCCCTCGTCTCCGGCTTTCAACAATGTCATCGAGATTTCGCCACCCTTCTGAGAAATAACAGTGAAGCTAGGTCGACCTACACGGACCTCTCTAGTACCATGATCGGCTTCCTCGATTTTCTCCAACAACGAGGGTTCCTCGCTGGGTCTGGTTTACAGCTCACCAAAGAAGCATGGGATAACCAGTCCCCTCGCAACAACCATGGATTGGCACCTTATCCTGGAAGGGTCGTGCAACCCGCTTACTACAAGGTCGTTGAGTGAGGCTGGGTATATCCAGTGAGTCATACCTTCTCCAGACGTTATGATGGAAGCCATAACATATCTGTCCTCCTTTCGTAGGTTGTACGGTCTTCCGAAGCTTTATGAGAATATGGGAGGAGTAGCGGGTGACAAGTAATGGGCATTTTGTAGAATTAAGAAATCCTTCGAGAATTGGTTGGCATGTTTGAATAGCAGAGTTAAGCGGAATGTATACTTTGATTGCGGCGACACACACAAAGGGCCTGTGTGAGTCCGGATGATCTTCTGAGTAGTCCTGCGGACAATGAGCCAGACAAAGCACTCACACATTTACGGTCATATTCACATTCGCTGTGTATTCGACAACATCTCTGGATTGCACGACAGACTCTTTGTAAACATCAATCATTGCACAATGGGGGCGTAACGAGAAGGATTGGAAGGGAGGGCATGACATGATGTGATATACATGACCGGGCACACCGCGTGACTGTAAGGACGGGAACCGCGTCTGAGGAGTTCGGCGCGTCCGTTCAATCACATAGCATACTTCCGCGTCCACTCCCGTGCCGTCGCCTCGTACCGCGCGCGGTCCGTCTTGTAGAGGTGCGCAATGTCCGGCACGAGCGGGTCGTCCGGGTTGGGGTCGGTCAACATTGAGCAGATCGAAAGGAGTACTGCAGAGCACCGTGAGATCGAGCGAAACGGAACGAGGATAAAGAAGGTACGCACCTTTCGAGATCGTCAGAGCTGGGGACCACTGATCCCTTAGGATATCGAGACAGATCGAGCCATTGGAGTTGATGTTGGGGTGATAGATCTTCGTGGTAAACGAGACTTTAGGAGGCTTGAAGGGATAGTCGGTAGGGAAGGAGATAGAAAGGAAGAAAACCCCTCCAGCGTAGGGGGAGTCGCTCTAACAGTACCTGTATTAGCATACATGAAGCATAAGCTGCATCGGAAAGCACTAACAGGACCCATGATGGTCGCCTGCCATTGGAACATGTTGTCACCCGTCGGACCGGCGCTGCATGACGATGGCGGGTCACGTCCGAGATCGATCAGTTCCTGTAACACGCGGGAAAGGTGTCAGTGTATGCGTTCACAGCTGAGCGGGCTGGATGCCTCATGTGTGTCGTGCGACACAGGCGCTTCCGCCGTAGATGGACTACTCACCTTGTTAATGCGCTTGAGGGCCATTGCAGAAAGGGGATATTAGATGAGTGCTGGGAGACAAGAGATCAGCAAGAGTACATGCGCGACAATGAAGACGGTAGGGTTATATAGGGTGAAAGCGATGCGACCGTGACGGCGCATGACTAACGTGGAAAAGGCGGGAACAAAGGCTGGGGCCGGCAGAAGGCTGTTATCCGACATCCACTTGGCAACCGCAGTGTGCTCGAATGGAAACAATAATATGAGAATAATACTCACCGAGGACAAGGAAGGAGAGGAGGATGCTGTCGAGTGGCGGGGGGAGACGGTGGTGGACGAGGATGAAGAGGGTTGAGGGGGCGATGATGAGGGGTTCTGCCTCGTTTGAAGAGCGACCAGCGAGGCGATAGCACATGTGCTTCCGCTCTCCTTAAAAGGACCCGGGTCTCCTCTCCCTTCCTCCTCTTACGTCGCATATCCCGGGTTTACCAATTTGCACAGCTTGCCTTATACGTCGCACCATTACCCCTTGGCCATGGTTTACCGTCGTCCAACTCTCTCTACCACCCGCGAATCATCCGCATCAGCTTGAACTATTTCTACATTTACACTCGAATAAACCAATTTGATTCCGCCTGAATCGATAAGGAACACACTGGCGCATTCCGTGAGCGCACGGTGAACATGCCCACAACTCGTGCAGCAAGTTCAACCTCGGCATTTCTCAATGGGCGCCAAACCCGGGAATATCCATTCCACCTCCTTCAGATACAACTGCTACTTCGACGTATAGCAAATGTGCTATTTTCTCTGCGAGAAAAAATGGCCAGACCCGCCTCCACTCGTCCGCTACTGACTAGGCGGACCATCCACCAATGGCGAGATGTACCATAGGGGGTGTGCGGGACCCGACCACATTCGCCGATTTTCGTAGAATATCCACAACTCTGATCATTGTTGGTGCCCTTCCTTCCGGATACTACTGCTGTCGATGTTCCAATCCCGCCTATGGATTTCCTCGTTCGGAAATCCGGATTTTGTCCAAAGATTGGGCGCAGCTGACCATATCTTGCTTGTATATTCTGGACCATGACGGTGGCTGATTCCAGAATCAGCAAGTAAGTCTGGAAGATCTTCAGGTACAGCAGACCCAATGCCCCATCAGGCACAGTCACATGATTCGATCATGGCCTGATCTTCTTATGGTTGGGGCTTGGTTCGATCTTCCCAGAACGCGGGAAGATCCCGAGAAGAGACCGTCAAGCTTAAGGTGATTGCCTGATCCGGAATAAACTCGGCTCCGAGTTGATTGCATGATGACAGGGTCGCCGACCCTGACAAGATGTTGTTCACCATATTTCAACCCATCATTCAGGACCAGGTGCACTAGCTATATACCCTCAGCCTCGACTCGTATCGCTTTACCTGCAGACATACTCAATCTGCTATCTATTTCTATCTCTTGAGCCCGGGCAACACCTCTGAACTCAGCCGGCAATGTCTGGACGCGGCGGCGGTGGTCGCGGTGGTCGCGGTGGGCGTGGGGGAGGACGAGGCGGTTTCGGTCGTGGTCGAGGATCGTTCGGCGGCCCCTCCCTCCCACCTGGTGTCGACTTTCGAGATATTCAAGCCAGCATGGCTGCTCCCTCTGCTCAATATCCTGTCCGCCCCTGTGCCCCCACTTATGAACCAGCTGACCATACGTAGCCGATGGATATCCCCAGTATGACCCCTCTCGAAGCGAGGGAGAGCAAGGCCGTCCAGTACCAGGTTGAGATAGTAGAACGGATGAAGGGTGGGAAGTACTGGATTGTTGAAGAGCAGAGCAAGCGGAACAATGGTGTGTCCTTCTCCTTAAACATCGAGATAAAGCTGACGAAAAGAAGAGATCGAGCGATGGTTTGACCATTTGAGGCAGAAGGAGAAGATAGAAGTGAAGATCGGGTTGAGAGCGGAAGACCTGAATCAGGAGTTTTTTCCTGCTAGTTTGTGGGATGGGTACTTCAACCCGACGAAGAAGCAGAGAGGTGTGTGAGCTGTTTGCAATGCTGATCTGTGCTAACGGACTTTCAAGTTGTGGAACCGAAGAAGCAGAAACGAAAGAGAAAGCTGGACATCGATGCCCTTGGGATTGACGATAAAGATGGTGAAGGGGTGCGTTGCGTCACCAAACCTCGCGATATTGCTTGCTGACTGTCAAGCAGAAAGCGAACGATGACGACCTGGATGACGACGAAGAAGAACAGCAGGACGACTATGATGTAGAAGACTTGGAAGGGGGGGATGATTATGAAGCTAACTACTTCGACAATGGAGAAGCTGATGACGACGATGATGGGAACGATGACGGTGATCGCGGTGGCAAGTCTTGTTCATTTCGATATCTGATCCGGTTCTCATCAATACACAGGCGATTACGATTGAACTTCCTTCTCTGGGCGCCCATATTATTCACACGCGGCACGTGTATGTTACCTCGGCTGTCCTTAATGAACATCTCTGTAATCTCAAAGACTACGCGTAACGTTCTCTTTGGCGGAACATGGGTCTGAGAGGCCCTATTTCACATTTAGGCTACGTACGACTAGGCATCGGGATCATGATTGGGATGAATGAATGGTTCAAGCGGCACAAGCCACGGATGGCGGATGTGTAAGATTGTGGAGGAGTAGGAGAAAGGGATGGGGAACCAGGAGAAGCAGAAAAAAACACAGATATATGTAAGCCAGACGCGCATGACGTACAGAGCACGAGACGAGGATCAGGGTCAGGATGGAGAGGGAAGGAATGAATGAAGAAAAGGAGCGTAGGGGGCTGCTGCGGCTGCCTGTGCACGACAGTGGGTAACCATTAGGCTGAAACGGGCGCGAAAGAAAGGCGGGAGAGAGGTATGAGGGGTAAGAGAACCTGGGAAAGGATACATCTACAATCGCGTCGTCATTGCAGCAAAGGGCCCAACACTTCCGCATACATCTCTCGACCTGCTCCTGGACGCACTCGTCCATCCGATTTCATGGTGCTACCGAATGCACACCTTGGTATATGCTTCTTTACGCCTTACCCTGATGAACGTGTTAGATAAGAAGACATTGCGATATGTCAATTACCATACCTTCTTGTTTCGCGGAGGCGTTACAGGCCTGTTTCCTCCCATGTTCATCCCACCGTAACCAGGATACTTTTTCTTCTCTGCCGGCTTCAAGATCTGCAAAAGACAAATCAGTTTCTGATGATCCTTTGAGGTGAGAACAGCCACATACCTGGAATGAGCACAGTAGTGTCTCATCCACACTCATCATGGCGCCTGCATTATCGAATTCTCCGCAATAGTTCGGCGCAGAGAAGAGCGTGACAAGCTGCCGCTTGGCGAAGAATTCGTACCCATCTTCTACGACTTGATGCGCACGGCAGATAAGATCCATATCGTGCTTCTGCAGGAATCGCGACACGACGTCTGGTCCGAACGTAAATGACACGCCACGATCGTTTTCGCTCCAACCGGTGATATCCTTGTCGGGATCCGACCACAACAGGTCGCAAAGAAGGCCTGGCCAACACGTGTAAGGAATCAATGTGCATTGGGGTCGTGTTCCACCACGCACCTGTATCAGGCACATCGGTTGGTCTCATCACGCGCCTAATCTGCTCCATGCTCTGCAAGTCTGGGCTGAGGCCACCGTGCATCGTGAAGATTTTCTCGTCGATTATTGCAGCGATGGGCAGGCAATTGAAGCAATCGGTGAAGGTCTTCCATAACTTGATGTTGTACCGCCGCTTACCTAAAAAGGAATTGATCAGCTAAATTCAGATATGACGTTAGCGGACTTTAACGCACATTCGTCATAGAAACCGTAAATGCGGTTAATACTGGCACACTCATGATTGCCCCTGAGGATAAAGAAGTTTTCGGGGTACTTGATCTTGTAAGCGAGCAGCAAGCAGATGGTTTCAAGGGACTGCTTCCCCCGATCCACGTAGTCGCCTAGGAAGAGATAGTTGGCCTCAGGAGGGAATCCACCGTACTCGAACAACCGAAGCAAGTCGTAGTACTGCCCGTGTATATCGCCTATATCGAGGGGATAGCAGATCAGGACATGGGCGAGGTAAGAGAAGTCGAATGCGTCACTCACCGCAAATCTTGATAGGAGCCTCCAGCTCGAGTAGTATAGGCTGGTTGATGAAGATCTCGCGTGCTTTTGTGCACAAGTACTTGATTTCGTACTCCTGTAGCTGTACTGGCTTGCCTGGCCGGTTTCCCCTCACTGAATACAGCGAAACGCGCAGTCAGCTGAACTGGTCCTTGCTCACGCGATACACTGTGAAAACTGCGCAACTGGCCGGAGACGACTCCGCGGACCACTTCTTCCCCTTTCTAGACCAACCCCAGGCGCCCTCATTCCACCCCAACCTTCCCTTGAACTTCCAGCATGCCGCGTGCCCTCACAAAAGCCGAATATAACAAGAAAAGAACGCACCTTCCAGCAGCCGATCAATGACGGAATCCAAATCTATCTCTGCCTGCGGTTCGGACATCATGTCTTGCCTGCGCGGGTAGGTTGATGTGGGAGATGGGGAGGGGTGAAAGGAAGGGAGTTGGGATGCTGAATAGTAAGGCTTGTCGTGTGGGAGGGCGATCGGATGGGTTGTTTAGGTTACGTGAGCGGCTTAAGCTGAGGTTGCTTCGAGCCGCGAGAGGCGTGAGTATAGTGATGCTGCAGACCAGCACCCGTCGTCAGGTTGATTGTTTGAAATATATGAATAGGATGAGGGAGAGGGAAGAGGAAGACGGGTTGGCAAGAGGTAGGCAGCGAGGAGGTGGTGGTGGGGGTGCAGGGGTGGTGGATGGCAAGCAGGAAAGACTGGAAGGGGACCGACGCGGGAGCAGGATGAAGCGGTGCGGTGCCAAATGTCCCCACAATATTATTATGCAGCGAAACTCTCTCCGAATCCGGGTCGCCCTTGTGCTATGTAGACACAACACTGCTAATTGGCATGGCTCGACTTTTCGGATACACTTGTTTGCTTTGTATCAAAACAGCCCCCTTTGTTGATCAAATATCCACGTCGCGATTATTGTTGCACAACTCCTGATGTCCTCTCCCGGCCAGTGTACGATGATAAGCTTGTAAAACTCGCGTCAAAATCTGCAGGTCGACGCGCCACCCAAGATGTGGGGCGACATAGACGGTTCATCGTTCCCATTCGACCGGATATACACCGTGATATTCATTGTTTGCGAATCAAAGCATTAACTACATTAAGGCACTCGAGGGTGCACAAATCTCATCAAATGTCGGGCGCTTCTCTCTGGGAAGCCCCTAACTTTGCGCAGGAGTACCGCGCTTCCGGGCGGAGTCGGAATAAATTAGAACTCCTGCTGGCATTGAGCACACCATCAAACACATTCCCGGGACGCATGTTCAGTCGAGTCACATCACCCATGTATTCAACGCAACTAGACTGCTGTCCACACAGCAGAATAGACATCATAAATCATTGTCGGTGCGTGAATTCTTACAGAGTATGCTACATCGCGGAAAGCAGAACGTGTACGGGCTACTAGTGGAGGTGGTAATCCATGGATACAGTAATCGTTTTCGGTGTTATGTCACAGTGGAAGAGTCCGGAGTCCGGTTAAGAGCGGCTCGTAGAGGCTGCGGAATTGGGTACACTCGCTTGTGTACTGGATCCAACCGGAGTACCTGGTGATATTGGGTGCGCAGAATCCGGCCCACTAGCTCCTTCCTGAGGAAGGCGCCTTCTCCTCCGGCGCCGGGGCAGAGTAGGCAACTTTGGCATAGGCCGTTCATCCAGGTCGAGCGCGATATTTGTTGCTGCTTGGAACGCCTAACATAAATCAGCATTTTGTGCTGTATCGGGACCAGTTTCAACCAACCTCGATCCAATTCACAACCTCTACGAGCGTCTCGCCCTGTAGGAGGAACTGTTCGCCTTCTGCCCTAACTCGGATCACGTTCCTCCGCTTCTTGTAATCCGCGCCTAAACCACTTTCTGCGCCTTGCATCGTGTAGTGCCTCAGCATCGCGTTCCCGTGGTGGAAGCTGGGTAAATGCGGATGGCGCAATGTGCTTGTGTTTGCGGAAGAAGGTGCAGACTTCGTCTCCTTATCCCGCAGAGCGGGAACAGCGAAGGCCGTTGGTGGTGGGGACAGTTTCTCGAATGGCGATGGGCCTGGGCGCTCAGGCGAAGATGAGACAGGGGAGGATTGAATCGGCCCATTTGGTGAGGGTGGCGTGCTTGAAAGGTTTGTGCTTAGAACAGTGCTCGCAGTGCGAGAGTAAAGGGAGGTCGGGACTGTGCTGGCGCGCGAACTAGGGCGAGTGGTCTGAGATAGTGCAGACGCAGTCGATATCCTCCGGGTGTCACTCGTGACAGAATTGATGCTCGCTCTCCTCGCTTTGCGCGCTGCCTCGAACTTGCTCTTCTCTCGTTCCAACTGGATCGCACGGTCCTTGTCCTCCAGAACGCCTTCGGGAAGATGAACATGCCGCGCTTTGCCAGCCTCTGCACACCCTTTGCCGTCCCATGCCTGGTACCCTTTCACAGGTATCTTCCTCAGATCATGCCTGAACACCTTCAGACTTGAGCCATGTAACTCAAACCAGTACTTCTTCCAGCTTCTATCACGCGCCTGTACACCCGGCGCGGCGAACTCCATTTTTCGAAGGAGAACGCCTTCAATATGGACGCCGCATGAATATGCAGGAAGTTTCTCCATGCCCTCCTCTTCCCTCGCCGATATACGCACGACCGCATTATGTGGGTGCGGCGGCGAGTACGCAGGAGGATTAACGGAGGGAAGCGAGGTACGTCGCTTGAGGGCGGCAACAGGGCTCGCCATCAGAACGTCATTTTCAGGGATGGGTTGAGGTATTGGCACAGGGTCGGGAATGAGAGGCTTGCGGATCTCGACGGAAAGATCGATCAAGCTGCGGGATATCTGATGGTACAAGCTGGGCCGAGGTCGGGTTTCGGCGTCAGTGACGCCTCGCGGTCGGCCCGCTGTGGGTGGTTTAGGAGTTTGGAGAGCGCTTCCATCCGCGAGAGAAGAGCCACTCTTGGGAGTAAAATAGTCACGCTCTCTCATCTTGGAAGGTTTGGACGGGCCAGGTGTCGGAGTACCATCGACGGTCGGCAATTCGTCTGAGTCGGGGGAGGTAGTCGGTCTGAACGGTCTTGTAAGGGGAGCCATCGCAGCGGCCATAGACAACATCGATTGTCTCTGTTTTGCGGTTCTCCTACTTGTGCGTGCCGTGCGATAGCTGGATCTTGTAGCGGTGCTGTCCGCCCTTTCACGCGGGGGTAAGCCAGCCTGTTCAGGGCTATCAGACAGGGCGATATTGCTGCTCCCCTCACTTGAGGAGCGTGTGCTTCGCGCATCTCCTTCTGTGCTCGTCCCCTCCTCGCTCGTCCCCTCAGAATCAGTACCGTCGCCTTCGTCGTCAGAAGTTCCTGGACTACTGCCCCCATCATCCACCTGTTCTTCCTGCGTGCCAGGGGACATCAGGATGGGCACATTCCTTCGTGCTCGACGCGCCTCTTGTTCGGGATCTTCTTCATTCGCGGAGATTGGCGTCACAGGTGGGAGAGGAAATAGTGTTAGGGGTCGGGGGACAACAGGGGTGAGGAGGACGGCAGGGGTGATACGCATATTCGACATTGACGGCATGGCGCCGATGACGGGGCGAGATAAGCCATGTCGACCTGACAGAGGAGAGATAGGCGAGTTACCCGCTGTTTGTGTGGTAAGAGCGGTGAATCGTCGAGCTTGAATAGATGAAAGATTGTTCGGATCCGGAGAATTTGGAAGCGAGGTTGTCCCGGGAATGATTAGGGGTGGAGGAGATGGCGGACCATTGGAAGCAGGGACTGGCGTACTTCCAATATTTGTCATTGGTGAGGGGAGAGGACCCACAAAAGAATCGGATGGCATCGGTGTGGGGTCGTTTGAAGAATCCACCTCCACTATTTGCGCTGCTGGACCGTCCCCATTCACTTCACTCAAAGGGGAGGAGCTTGGGGTAATCACGTCCTCTACTCCATTGGACCGCCCTTGGATATTCAAGCCTTCCCCGTTCATCTTCGATACGCGCTCGGCAACTGTAGGCAACGCGTCTGGAATGGCTTCTGGGGATGTGTCTACGGAAGTTCCTTCCGATGTCCCGTCCGAGTCGGTAGATCCTGCTCGTCGTACAGCTAGGGACCGGTCATCCCGTAGTAGTATCGCTTTTGTATATGTCGATGGCTCGTCAGGTTCGGTTTTCTGAAAGGATAAATGCCCGTTCATGTTGTGTGGTATAGTGCAAGTCGGGGCTTTAAGAACAAGTCGTATGCGTAGGTTGCGGTGTGAATATCACGATATGCAACACTGACTCCTGCCTTGATCGTTGGGCGAAATGTCGCAGTGCTTGATAAAATTTCTCTTTGAATGCCTGGGGATGCTAGACATTTGACCAGGAGCAAATCATGCAAGGGATACCGTCGTCTTGCAGTGGGGCATTGCGCTCGATAATTTATGGTTGACTAGTGGATGAATGCAATCGAGGATATATATCGAGCGCAGAAGCAAGTGCGCTGGACAGATGGTATTGATGTGTATGAGCAAGCACCGGCTGATAATGGCTATGCAATAAGGCCGAGTTGCGGTCAGATGGTTGGGCGCAAGTGAAGACCCGTGGGCTCGGTTTCGGCGCTGGAAAGCCGGGGCCCGCCGGTGTTTAGCAGGTAGTTTAGGGATGGCAAGCTGGCAAGAACCGGCTTACGCAATGGTATCTTGATGCGGCGAGGTAAAAAGAATGCTACCGATTGGTCCGTCGTCACCGGTAATGACTTGGAACAAGTGAAGCAGGTCGAGGTAGACGACGAAAGAGATGGTGGTCGAGAGTAAAACGGGGACGAACAGTTACGGAGAGTAGTACTTTGGACGGCTTGGTGGTGGTGAGTCTGAGTTGCTGGTCTGCCTCTTTCATGTGCAATCGTTTAGGTGACGTATTGCTTCCGCTCTGGTGACGTATAGATCGGTCTTGATATGCCCCGCCCTCGTCAAGTTACTTCATCATGTTACCGCACCTTTTCCGCATAATAATTATATATTTGTTTGTTATTTACTTTTCTCTCTACATTTTACAAACAGATCATTAGTTTGCCAGTAGAGTTATTATGTGCCTAATACCGTTTTCTGCCCTTACACCCTGGCGTGTCTCTGCTTTGACCGCATCCGCATGGGGGGCAAACCGTCTCGCCCTAAGAAACCCCGCTCACAAATACCAAGCGCAGGAGTGGAAGAGGACCTGTGTCTGAGGGCTTGTAGGGCAAATTAGCGAGCGGAGCGACCCTCGCATCATGCGCTAATATGCGGTCCTCCGCTCGCTAATCCCATTCCACCTTGATTCCACCTATTCCATGTCATATTACCTTCCGTGCAGGACATGTCAGACATTGAGCTGGTGCGGTGTAATATGAACTGGGACCCAAGCAATGTGGAACAGAACAAGTGATGTAGATTTAATATTATTACATATTTGAGCTTCAACTGGAAGCAATGTACAATAACTATGGGCTAAAGCAAAGGAAGTGGGGCCCCAAAACCAGGTGGAACACTGAACAATCCAGGAACAGGTACCATCATGTTTGTAATATCACTGAATGGAATGGGTGCTGGGCCATTGGGCTCTGGTGCATTGAAGGATTGCCCCACAGCCATACACTTTGCAGCATGCACATTTTCCACACTGTCTGCATTGCCCAGTGCTCTTTTGCACCCTCCCTTCCTTGCCTCACTGGACAGTGCCACAGCTGCTCTCTCTGCTCATGCAGCAGCATCCTCTTCTCCTCTCGCAATGGTATGATGTTTGATTTCATTGGAGGACATCTGATGAAAGAAGCAGCTCCTGCTGTCCAATGCTTCATGAATCTTATCCAAGCTACCCATGTTGGAAACCTGAGATGGGTTTGCAAGGATGGGCAGTGGCCAACCCTGCAACATGACGTTGTATCAGTCCTCGATGTCCCTTGAAAATATCTTGTATGACATGGTACAGGCAGGGTTGTTCATTATGGCCTCTACAGGAATCATTGAGCAATGTGCATTGAGCCAAGGCAAGTAACTCACACAGCCTCTCATTCAATGTACAATGAATGTACACCTTCAATGCTACCATGCATCATGCAGTATTCTCTGCAAGGCCTTCAATGCACAGTGAGTAGGTGTAGGTGCACTGAACTGTGAACATACCTCATGCCCCACCACTTGTGCAAAACACCTCAAGATTCTGAGCCAACTCAACAGGGTTGGCCTTTACAATTTCTACAAAAAAACAATGGCAAAGCTTGTCTCCATAGAACATTGGTTTTGCTGTATCTTTGATGTTGCCGCACACAATGAAACCACAAGTGTAACTGCCTGTTCAAGAGCTGAAAGCAGTCGCCTGATGTGGATATCAGTACACTGAACTGTGAGGTCAGCAGATGAAGACTCACCTGCTCATGGAAGGAGTCTGTGGTGCGCAAAGTGTCTGTCTCTTACCCCTTGTAGTCCATGCACAGTGCAGTATGCCAATTCCATTGCTTGTCATTCAACATTGCTTTGGCTGCAGTGCATGCTTCCGCACTGCTCTTCAGCTCAGTGAGCTTCTGAGCAGTGTGCTCTGTGCAAAGCAGATCACCATTGTGCCATTGCTCATCTGCAGCAGGGATCAATGCACATGTTGCCCCTGGGCACTGTAAGTGGATGTACTGTGTTCCCTCACCTCTGCTGCTACCAGTGACTGAGCCACATTGGCTAAGTTGACATGCCGAAGCGGCTTATCATACTGTGAGCAGCAGGCTTTCATATTTGCAGTGAGCACATGGAGAGATATGCCAGTCTGGTTGTGGATATTGTGCAACGATTTGCTGAGTGCTGCCTCAGCCTGAGCAAGTAGCTGGTCAGCCAGGTGATGCTTCTCCACATTGCGCTCCTTGACAGCTTTGCGATGAGCCCAATTTGCAGTGGGCATTGTTGATTGAGGGATGAGGGTTGCTAAGAAGCTAGCCAGTCTTGGAGGCATTGCACATTGCCAGAGGCACAATGCTCAAACACATGACAACAACAATTGATTAGAGGCTTCTATTTACATCACCGCCCAATGAGCATTGTAATTAATGAAATGTAAGTAGATGACTTGAAAAAGGAAAGAACCAAGAGGCAGAACACAGCTGCGTTGTACAATGCACAGCGCCCAAAGGTGAACTCAATTTTCACTGTGAAACCAGACAAATCACATAAAGACATGTAACACATAAAGACATGTAAAGACTGTGGAGCCATTGAGCAGTTCCGAACTGACGCTGGCAGCTAGAGCATTGCACAGTGCTGGCCAGGTTAGCTTGAGGAGCACTGCATGTCGAGGCAGTGTTCAAGCAGAGGGGGCAGGGGGCAGAGGGCACTGTGGAGTGCCCCATTGTGTGAGGGCACTGCATGGGCAGCTCTTCGATGTCTTCCTCCTCATCGATGGCCTTGATATGTTCTTTCACGCAATGGGGGAGGGCAGGGGTGACAGGGGGCCATTGCCTGGTGAGCAGAGGTAGAAGTGCACAGAGGGTCAGAGTACCTGGTGCATGGTGTTGGTAAGGGAGGAATAGAGGGGGGTGGGGTGGATGTGAGCAGTGTATGATGTGGATGTCTTGTCAAAGGTGCTGGTTTGAGGGGAAAGGGAAAGTGCTGCAATGTGCAGTGCTGCCTCATTGACCTCATTGTATATATATGTTTGTGCCATGTCCAGACTGCAGAGTGTAGGTGGTGGCCAATGCTCACTGAGAGAAGAGGGGGTGCTGCTGAATGGCCCTATGTTTATGCTTCTAATTGCCCCCACACCATGTGCATTGTCATCGTCATTCATTGTCATTCCTGCTTGTTTGTCATAATACGCAACTCTGCCCAATGCTCCGTCAGGATTGTGGCTCTATCTCCATGACAGTGCACATAAATGGGGGGCAGAGCAATGAGCAGTGTAAGCTGGACAAGCCCCATTGGGCAATCTCATTGAATTATGATTTCTCAGGTGCAATGTTCAGTGCTGATGCATTGTTTCTTTGTTCTCCACCTCCATTTTGTATTGCCCTATGCCTGACTGTTCCTGGAGATGGGCAATACCCTCATTCTCCTTTCTTCTGTATGCTGAGACAGTGCATCTTGCCTTCCTCTCACAGAAGGGATGCGACAAATGCATCACTGTTTGCGCTTCCTTGAGAGGAAGTACACTGTCCCTTTCATGGGCACAATGGACATTGCAACCTTCTTCACATCTGAACTGCCAATTGCATTGAGCATGATGAAAATAGGGTGATGTGCCCTACCCAGTGCTCCTTGAATAAACTAAGAATATCTGGAGTAGAAAGCAGCCAGTCAGTCTGTTGAACAATGTATCAACATATTCACCTGCAATGACAGTGCTCTTTCTGAACAAATGCATCATCACCCATTGTACATTGAACCTTGTCATTCAAATAAATGTATCAAAGTATGCACCTGCAATGACTGTGCTCTTTCCAAACAAATGTGTCATCACCCAATGTACCTCATTGAATTAATCTTTCCAGCTACAATGCATGATGATGAAGGCTTGCATTTAAGATAGCAACAACATGCTAGATTGCTATGATACATTGTTCATTGCAGCATGTGGAACAATGCTCATCAATCAACCTAGTCAGCTCTATTTGTCACAGTACCAGTGTGGGCAATGTTATCCACTGTGCCTTCCATTCTGTGCATTGATAGTTGTACAGTGAGAAGACTGGAATAGTAGCTAAATATATTAGAAGTAGATAAAGATGCAACGGCCAATGTGCAGTGACATTCAAGGCACCAACAACTGTGCAAAAGCCTGCTGCATATGCTCCATCTCATCCACTGCTTCATCGTCCAGCACATCATCCTGCATTGAATCGGGCTCATCCTTCATTGCATCATCACACAATGCAGCCCCAAGCAACAGAGTGAGAGTTTCATCACCACTCAGTGCATCCCAAACGCCCACTGTCAGATTGCCAGTAAAGCCAGGTAATGCAAAAATTTGCTGAAGGTGCTGTCACAAAGCAGCATCAATGGAGTGCTGAGTGCCAAGGTGGCATTGCATCTCCATGGCTAGTAACACTGCACCATTTGCCTTCTCCTGCTCCACCATTTGCTGCCACTTGCCAGGCTCAAGGTGCAATGCAGACCACAGTCATTGGATCTCTACATCGAGTCTGCAGATTTCTTCCTTTGTGCATTGCAGAAGGTGCCATTGCACAGTCATCTCCTGCACAACCTTATCTGCCCATTGCTCAGTCTGTATATTGTGTTGTGAGTATCACAATAATTGAGCAGTGTGCCATGGAAAGGCAATACAACAAAGCACTTGACCTGCTGGAAGGTCTTGTTGTACAGCAACTATTTGAGCTGGAGAAGCTCAATCTGAGGGGAACAGGTATGTCAATGGGCAACTGCTCTGCAATGTACATTGATGAGTTTCCACCAGGATATGCAATGTGCACTGCAATTGCCAGAGCAATGTCTGAGTGCTGTGGCACAATTTGGACTGCCTGTCAGGGCACCAGCTCATTGCTTGGTCAAGAGACATGACTAAGCCTTTATGACATGGAAGTAGCTGGTATACCTTGGCATGTGCTGGAACCTGCTGGAAGGATTGGATGGTCAGGTGACCTGCTGTGCATGGCTGTGCATGACCTCATATGACCTCATCCTTGGTCATATGACCTGATCACCTGACTAGGCTGAGTAAGCAAGATGTTCTAGCAGGTTCCACCACAGAGGTATAAATATAAGGCCTACTCTGCCTGGGGACTCTCTCTTCAGACTTGGTCTCTTAGGATCATCCACAGGTACCTATACTGTAGATAGGTCTTAGTCATCAGGTCTACTCCACTTCCTTGTTGCCTGCTTAGACTCTTGGCACTCTTAGGTGAGCAGACTTAGTCAGCCTGTGTTGCCCTAACACTGCCTTACAGAAGTACAATGAGCTTGCACAGTGCCTCATTCCCCCTTGCCCTTCTTTGACATATGACACTGTCATCAACATGACTTGGCTTTCCAAATTTGTGTGTCTTTCCATTCTGGGCAGTCTGGAGTCCATTGCTCACAGTCCAGTGCATGTTCATACTGGACAGCGAGCGCATTGAGGTGTTCATGGGCACAGAGTACTGAAAGATATTTGTGCTGTACTTGTTATTCTTGTGCCTTTGCAGGTACAGTGTTCCATGTGTCTGGAGTGATGTTGACAAAGGTTTGGAATCCTTGGAGTTTTTCCCTGCAGCATTGTCAATTGGTCTGCATGCATGGAGCACTGTGCAACACACTCATGAGCACTGAGCTCCTGCAAGGTGTCCAAATAATGAAATTGGGTGACATCTTCTTCTGGCTCACTGCACAACTGCTCAAAGTACTTTTGCTCCACTTCAAGGAAGGATCAGAATCATTCATTGCTAATCTGCATTCTTACTTGATAGAGTTGCACAGTGGGACTGAGGTCATCGAGTATAGTCAATGCCTGCTTGTATTTGGTGAAGAGAAAATCAGCTGTATGATCAATGAGCAATGGGGAATGTGCATTGCAGGGAGGCAGGCTCACCAAGCACTGCATGCCTATCACTGTCCCATTATTCCCAAAACAGATGCAAACTCATATGGCAATGAAATTTTGAGCCATACCAGAACAGGTGGGCAGTGCCATTTTGCCAGGAGAAAATCCACTCATTAGTTTTGAAATCCTCAAGCCCAGCAGTGCTCAGAATACAAGGATCAAAGTGGAGCTGGCACTTCTGATTGTGCACATAACCATGTAACATGCCAACATAGAAGTGTAGATTCAAGTCCCAGGATGCTTCAGCAATGCAACTGCAGGAAACGGTCTTCAAAAAGTCACATCCAATGTTGTAGCCCAGTGCAAGATCATTGCCGAAGACATTGAGCAGATGATTGATTCTGGCCAATGGGTACTTAGCACTGCATTGATGTGAATGACCATACACACTGTGCAGTGTTGTGTTGTACTCACAGTTCACCACTTCAAATCATATCAGCAGAGAGTAAAATCATGCCATGCCAACAGGAGAACAGAAAATTTCCTGTTTCTTCCATCCCATCCATCCAATGCATGGCATTGTCCATTGCACGAGAGGTCTTCCACTTGTCTGTACAGAGGGCATTGCATGTTGCCTCATCAGCAGTGTGCTGTGCCTCTGCATCCATGTTCTGCCCTTGACTGGCAGGGCTCTGGGATCTGGTCAATGAACTGCATGCACAATGCTTCCAATCAACTCACATGCTTTGGGTGTTTCCGATGCACATCATCTATGAACTCATCAACTTCCTTCACAGTGAGCATATAATCACTCTGAAAGATGCAATGGTCTTGCCGGCCGGCATGGGCAAAGCACTTGGAGGAATTGTTGCCATCACAGCTGATCAGTTTGCTATGTGGCAGGGCGGGTTTGTTGTGTAGCTGTCAGCAACATCAGTGAACAATGCATGGTGTACAATGAAGTGGCATCATACTCTGTACTCACATGCCGGGCAAGAATTGAGCAACTACCAATGCAGTGTATCTTGCCTAAACACATGCTTCATGAGGCAATCAATGTGCAGGCACATTGCAATCCATGCATTGTAACCATCTGACAGCTGATTATGGAGATATGGGCAGTAGGGGTGCTGTGCATTGTTGAGTGCCGCAAGCCCACACTCATAGAAAAGACACACCCCATGAAGATCACAGAGTAGGCGGGCAAATGCTTCATGTGAAACAAAAGCACAAAGTCGGCAGTGATGGAACACCTCCACAATGGGCAATGCTATTGCCATTTGAGGGACTTCCAGCAAGCAGGGCATGTACCCCTGCTCAATGAGATGTTCAAGGAGGTTATCACCATCCTGACAACAGACAACTGTAATCATCTCAATGCCTGTTAACTCTGTCAATGTACAGTGACACACGAGCAATGAAGACTGACCATCCCAATTGACAGTGCACACTGATGCCCTGGCTGCCACCTCTGGTCTTGACAAATTGGGTGGAATGTTGTTGTGACACCATCGAAGAAATGCCTCAGCCAGTCAAGGAATCACTGATTCCCACTTGAGTGCCTGCACAGCAAGGTGGTGGGCATGGATACCCTCATCATTGTTGATGTCCATTGAGCTGTTGTCCATCATACACATCTCAATATCATCCATGGTGCTGCCATTGCCCAGTGCCTCCGTGAGATAATTGATAGTGGCTTTCTCATCTGGGCACACTGTGGGGGGCAGTCAGCATTGAGCCATATTTGTGATGAGCAACTCACCTAAAAGGCACTGCTTTTGATCTTCAGCATCCTTCTGATGTTGAACTTGGATGGCTTTCATGTTCAGCATGTGTGTGGCTGGTGTGCACTGAGCCTTCTTCAGCACACAGGGGAATTGCACCTTGCCCATGGCTTGCAGCTGCATTGAGGGGTTGTGATGTTGATGTTGGTTTAAAGCCTTGTCAAAGCACTGTGATGCCAGATAGGCCATTGATACTATGCACAATGCATCTTTGTGCATTGCGGAGATCAGTGGAGGGTTTGTAGATAGCCAGGCAAGCACCATGGGAGGTGGCACTGAGCATGTACTTTGAGTGCAGTTGCCCAGTCTGAGTTGTTTGACAAGCATGGGCTGGCACACTGTCCAGTGCAGATGACATCAGGAGCTTTAGGGCTGATCCTCAATGCTTGTTGACATAAAGAGAAGCAGGACAGGAAGAGGTAAACATAGTGCATTATTGACTAAAGAAAGGAGAGCTAACACGATGCAACACAACCTGCTGGAATGCGGAATGGAGAGACGATTGTACTGGAATACAGCTGGAACAGGAAACCACAGCAGATTCACACAACTTAGTGGGCAGTGCGCCTATCGCCACGACAGCTAATTTGTGTCCGTCCAGGGTCGGTAGGGCTGTGGAAGAGAGCGCATGCTTCCAACCTTTCTCTTTTCCTGGTAGATCGGTTTTCACGGGCACGTCCGGGAATCGAGGAGGCTTGCCGGAGGGAAGTAAATCAAACTCCGCGGCGGGTCGGGGGTAACCGTCCGACAGCTGGTCGGGACTAAATCCCGAAGGTTGCCAGACTCCGCATACGGTATCCTCTTTTCCGCCATGTTCCCTTGCCAGCAAGGCGCCTCATTTTCTAATGTAGAATCATCGCCCATGCAACGAATTTACTTAGGCAGGCGACCCATGCTCGTACAACGGATAACGCCAGTTGGAGCATTTTTGTGTTATTATCTTGTTTTCTTCATCGTATATACATATATGCTTTCCGTGCAACGCGGGTGGTGCGGATCACAGCATGGCCGGTCTACAGAGGGCACGCAACCGATCGTCCACATGGTTGTCATAACATTTACACGTGTTCATGTTACTAAGAATATCGATGCATTCGAATGCCTGCAAACTCATATCCTCGGGGTCAACTCACCACGACGACAGTTGACAACCCGGTCGCTCCCTCAACTGCCGAAAGCGCCCAATATATCCCTCATTTGCTCATCACACCGTTGACAAAGTATTGCAAGGCACGTAGATAGTGACTACAATCTACGATCTAATCGAGACGAGCTGAGAAAAGTGCCGTTGTCGACGGTGCCTCGGTCGTCCGATGGAGAGTCCGTTGCTGGAAACGAAAGAGACATTGGACAACCCGCGTGGGACGGCATCTCGGCTTTAGTGGCTGTGTGATAATCTGAACTCTAATCTCGGCCAAGAGTAGGGATCATCTCTGTTGATTGCTCCTTTCTGATTTGGACCATCCAGTTTAATATTGGCAATTCTTCAAGATTTTGCTGTGTTTTTCGTGATTTAGACCATGACTTGACCGTGGGCGCGAGATTTCAACGTTAGAATGGGCTTGAAAACTACCTCGGAGAAGAGAGCGATGGTATCCTGTCGGGATCATCCTCTTGGCAACCATGTTTCTCATTGACAAAACAGGTGTTGCCATGGCTGGCGTGAGAGCGCTTCTATCCTCCTCGATCTCCCTGGTATATAAGGCGCGGTCCTGGCACTTTGGATGCCCCAACCAGCTGCGCTGCTGTCTAACTCCTTCATCGTCTCTGTCTATCAACGCTGAGCCCGGTGCTCTTACTCCACTCTTCAGTTGACCTGAGCCTGTCCTTACCTTCTCACCGAAGCTCAAATATCGAACAGTCATCATGTACTGCCGACCTTCCTTCCTCGCGCTTCTCGCCTTCGTCTCCGTCGCTTTTGCCTTCCCCGTCGCTAGGCCGACAGACTTTGGCTCGTCTCGTGCCGGTGCTGCAGTCCGCCGGGCTGCAGCTATCAACTTCGGGACATGCAGTGATCCCCAAGTCACCGAGGCCAACGGCGTGTTCAGCGTTGCCAACACCGTGCGTCAATGTTGAGAACCGTGGATGTCGTTGTTCACAGTGATTTCCGTATTTAGAAAGACTTCGGTTCCGTAGCATCATCCAAGTTCCTGGACGAAGTCGTGACGGGCATTTGCAATGTTCTTACCAACAATTGCGGGGTCGATGGAATCACAGAGGGTGAGTAGCGCATTCTTTGGTTGGTTGGTCCTAGGTTGATGTTGCGCAAGGCGACTGCTCAACCGCTGCGTCGGATGCTATTGGAGCAGGCAATGTCGGCCTGGGAGCGGACGAGTTCAACTCTGTTCTTGGCTTCACGGTGGGCGCTGGTGTTTCTGCGTGAATGTTGGTTGCTGATGTGGCGCTCTTAGTCCAACTTCGCTGCCACAGCGGCTGCTGGAGCAGGGAACAACGCCGTCGTTTCAGCTACGACCACCGCAGCCGCGACGAAGGCGACCCATACTGTGAGCAATGTGCACTTGTAACCTGATATAGCACTAACGCTTGGCATCTGCAGAACGTTGCTGCTGCCGGTAGCAGTGAGTACCTGATTCAACTTTATCGGCGCTACGACTGACTATTGTCTTCTAGGTCACGGCAACGGTGATCAGGCGGGTCACGGTGGAAGCGCGGCCGAATGCCCCAAGAAGCGAGAGGAATGAGTTGTGTCGTAGGAGGTTTCTTTTCCAGTCATGTTTCGTATATCTTGCTCTTTGGTCTACGTGGAGTACTAGACAAACTTTGAATTCACGGCGTTTTGGCAAAACTAGGAACGTACCCTCTGGGTGAATGTGAGGCCTCTTGTTACTATCGGTGGGGATGCCTACATTGGAGGACGAACAGGAAAGAATTGGAGTGACTTAGGACAAGGGCCGACAAGATATTAGCAAAGATCAACAACTTTCGCATGGTTCTTTCTCTTAGCGATCTCTCAGCTTGAAACATTTTTTTGACCAGAGAGATTATAGGACTTTCCGAATGGGAGACGTGGAGGTAGATTCCGCACGATTGAGGGCACGTATACAAACTGGATACACTACTCGGCTCGAGTGAACTTCGAGAAGGTCCTTGACATCGTGTTGGCTTACGGCACGGGGCAAAAGAGGGGTATACATGAGACTGCTGGAATGACGAAGGACATCGACCATCGGAGTGAACGCAGGCCGCTTTACAACGCACTGTTGTTGTTGAGTGGACGTATGTGATTAGCACGGAGGTCCACATAACGCAGGTCTTTGCCATCAATGAATTTGTATTGGAATTTCCCATCAGATACATCGTGAATCTGCCTAGAAGGGCAAACCGCTCTGGAGCCTTGCCTCCTGTCTCTTGCTCACCCTGTTCTACACATTTCGTCAGCATGAGCCTAAGAACGCGAGACGTCAAAATAACACGTACATCCCGCCAGTCCTTGATCCGTTCGTCCATAGTCTCGATGTTTTTCTTGACGCGCTTCTGCCTCTCCACCTTCTCCCGCTCCCACCTGTGGCCCTTGAACCACTTCTGCCGTGTCTTCGCGCCGTACACCGTCTCATGAGCATATACGGGGTTGGGAATACCGATCCAGAGGAAAGGCGCCTCTGGGTCTGTTATTTGCTGTGGGGTGGTGTTTGTCTTTGACTTGTGTTGTCTCTTCACTGCCTTTTGGGCAACCGCAGCCACAAGGAGGGAAGAGGTAGGTGCATCAGGAGTAGAAGCGCTCGCTACAATTGTGCTCCCTCCCTGATCCCCAATCTCCTCCACACCTCCCTCCTGCACCGATTCGTGCGCTGTCACAGCCGCTGCTGCTGCGTGCGCTGCTCGTTGTCCCTTCCTCCCGCCCCCGACTCGTTCTCCTTCCGCGCAGGGCATCCACTGGGAGAATCCCTCATCCTGTGCTGCTTTCAGAAGCTCTATTTGTCGACGTTTGGAATACTCTGGTGGTGCCCAACATCGTGAATCGGGATTGAACCGTGGAATAAAAGGGTTTGCAGCAGGTATCGGTCGTGGAGGGGTGGTCCGTATGTTGTCCGGCAGCGCTGAAAGTGCCTTCTTGTGGGTGCGGGCAAAGAAGCGAGTGAGGATAGGTGATGCAGGCGTCCTGGGAAGAAGAGCTGCCATTTTGTACCTTCCACGTCGAGAAGAGATTGTTCAGTGCTTTTGCTGGAGGAGCTCATGTGCCCTAAATGGCAAGATGTGGCGGAGCGGAACCATTTTTCTCAGTCTCTGTTGCGCGACGTCGTTCTCTTCATTCGCCTCATCGCACCTCCTCAGCTAGAGCAGCTCCCTGCTATCGAGTCGACATTCCACTCAAAGCGTTAGCTGGATCTATACTCTTCTCTACTGTCCACAGCTTGGACAATCGCATTGCATATTCTGTTTATACCGTCTGGTGCTGGGCAGCTTCGTTGAGATGAACCCCTTGCAATGCGCGAAGCGACCAGTTCAACGACTCCGACATACGAATTCGGCGTTTCAGCGGCGAAACGTATCCAGCGTTCCTGCCACATCGAAGGTACCGCAACCTCCCGATTTACCCCATAAGAAAGCGGCTCCCGCTCACCCTCCACTTCGACGGGATCTTGACCTCTCCGGGCTCACCTCCTTCCCCTCTCTTCTCCACGCAAATCCCTACCTAGACAATACACTCACCTACGATGAACCTCCAAACTGGGCAAACCCACATCCGCTGAAGCTCAAGATCCACAACGCTCTGCGCACCTTCTGGCCAATCGATCCGAAAACTGGACAGTTCGTCGGCTCCGCTCAAACGGCTAAGATGCTGGAACAAATGCAGAAAACCGAGAGAGAACAGGAGAAGGGGTTCGAATCGACTCTCTCGAGTCTACCCCGCTCGTATGTTGCGCCAGACACGAAGAATGGAATTTACGACCTGCACCGCTGGGCCGTATGGTCGCGCCGCGTCGTTCAACAGACCGGCAAGGGCAAGATGCCGTCGACCGCCTCCCTCATCATCGTCGGAAATGGAGATGGTCTTGTCGGATGGGGACAGGGAAAACACGACATCCCCGCATCTGCGAACAACGCCTCCTTCCGCGATGCCATTGTCAGTTTGGACCGTGTAGAGCGGTTCGAGAATCGCACAATCTGGCACGACGTTGAGCTCAAGTTCGGTGCCACGCGTGTCATCCTCCGCCCACGACCATTGGGCTTCGGTGTCAGGGCAGGGCCGATCATGCATCAGGTGTGCAAAGCCGCCGGGATCAAGGATATCTCTGGCAAGATCTATGGTAGCAAGAACCCGATGAATGTATTGAAGGCAACTTGCTTGGCGCTGTGGTCTGGAGGGGCGAGACCAGGGATGGGTGATGGTGTGGGTGGTGGGGGCAGAAGATCGGAGAAAGGACAGGGCTTGCGGAGTAGAGAGGACATTGAACGCGGCAGGGGCAGAAACCTCATTGAGTTATAATGTTTCTCTTACTGTCCTTCGGTATGCAGTTGACCAATGCCAAATGGATTCCTCCACATACATTCCGAACAACTTTGACACACTTGAGCAAGCTACATTCCGATCTCCCACCATTCTCTCGCTCAAGACATCTCTGGAATGTCTTCGGCCATGTCATACTCGCTCCGGAATGATGCTGTAGTTGCACACATCGCTGTCTTGGAGCACGTTCACCCTCCTGATTCAATTATCAACATTGCTCAGCATATGGCAGACGACCGCATATATTCTTTGGAATATATGGAATCAGCAGTCTACGGAGTCGACCAATTGTCGAAACTTTGGATGCTAGCAAAGAGGAAAGGAGCTTGGCTCCTTACCAAGCTCTACCCTCCACCGTCGGCCCAGCAACTCCGTCCACAATACGCCGTTTACATTTTGGTGAGAACACTCGGCACCGTGCTCTCAATTGTTGTCCTAGTGCTGCAGGGCGCATATATGCTCATCCTGACCGACCCCTGGTCATGTCTGATGATGTGTGGTACGCATATATGCCTTTTCTGTCCTATTAGAGTTCTTCTCTGATTGACATCCAGTCAATATCGGTCTCTCCTTACATCAACAACAACGGCTTGACAATACGATTCACAATATCATGTCGAGGATGGAGGAACGGGAGGCCCGGCGGTTGTCTATGACATGAGCTACATATAACATGGTGATCCTCGCAACGGGAGTGGGATGGCACTTGTATGTGTAGAAAGATGGGGCAGGGATCAAACAGTGTTATTTATCCAAGTTACAGTATAAGCACGTAATACACAATATTCCATTCAGTAGATGCCTGTAGTACTCTCCGCTCCTCTTCCGTTTGCTCTGCCTTCGGAGAAAACGGCCGTCAAACCCAGGGCTCGTTCGGGCTGTCAAGGAAGGGTATCGGTGTTGGTCCACACCTTTCAGGCTGGACAACGCATGTCAAGCTGACGTCCGTTAGGAAGCAGGATGATGAGTTGCGGGGCCACGCAGTTGAAGTGCTCTTTGGGGTTGAATAATGAGGCGGAAGGCCAGAGGCCAGCAGCGGAGATGGGGAGCGGAGGGAGGGAGAGAGGGGACGCTTGGACGAGAGCTTGAGTTTCGGTGTTTGGATGAGCGTCCTTCTGTGTGTTTGGGCGGTCTGGGCGGGCGCGCTGGTCATATTCACTGCGCGGGGCTGTCTGGCTCTGCTCTTGAGTTTTGACTTTAGTAGGCGTCAGCTCGCGGGGAGGCCGGTCATGGTGTAAATGTTCTCCTTCTTTGTACTCAGGACAAGTGTGTCGGTACATAGCGGTAGCGCAGTGGAAGGTGGAGATGTAGGAGGGAGTAGGTAGAAGGGAGAGAAGACAGGAAGGCCGAGACGTGGGAAGTGGGAGAGTGGAGGGAGGGAACTCGAGGAGCGTGGTGGTAGTGGGGTCGGGATAGAACTTGAATGACGTTGTAGGAGATAGGGGGGGAGGGGGGGCAGACCAGGGCAGGGCCTGTAGTAGGGTGGATGAGTGAAGCGGTGTCGGGAGTGGTGAACGATCAACCCATTTGTAAGCGCTCACGTCGACTACGCAAGAGAAATCGGTCGTGTTGATGTAGGAAGGGATCAGTGCTACAATCGGATATGCAGAACATATAGTCCTACGACATCCAAAACAACAATCACACACGACACGGTCCTAACACTTGCAAAAAAAAAAACAAGACCACCAGCGAGACAGAAAGGTCACTATCGATGGCAGCTCGCAGGCCTGATGTCTCAGAGGGATTGAGGGACCGGTAGACCTGAGAAGGTCCGTAGCTCGGTAAGGTGGAGGGTCATGTTGTCCTGATTCACAGACTGGAGAAAGTCGACAGTAGGGCGGCGGGAAGCTAAAGAAGTCCACTGTCGCCTCCATTTCTGCGAAACAGATTGAATCAAGTCGATCATACATGCAGTGATGAGCGCGCGACCATTGAACACGCAGCCGAATGTAGTTGAGCTCGCCGGGGTGCTGCCGGTATCGAGCGACGATCTGAGGCCAGTGGGACTTGTTATCCGCAAATCCAGTGGGAATCCTGCCGATGTTTCCGGGTGCGCTCAAGGCGGCGAGGACACAGGTAAGATCTATTGCATAATACGATGGAGGACCGCCTCGTCCCTGCTCATCCCAGAGCTGAGAGGGCCGAAAACCAGGAGGGCCGTTGAAGTACTCGAGGATGGCCTGCAGTTCGCCTAACGTAGCTCTTTCTTCCACGCCAAACATGAAATATTCGTTGTCGGCATCCTGAACGAGCCTATGAAGATAAAAGAGTTCGTCGGAGTTCTTCGGGTAATAATCGATGGCCCGAGCGCATTTGCGAGGATGGTCGGCAAATGCCGTCGGAATTGATGTACAAGGCATGCTGAATTGCAATCATGAGTACGACGGGAGAGAACAGCAAGCGCCACTCACTCTCCCTCTATCCCGCTGTTTTAAACATAAATAAAGGTGAAGAGCTGAGAGAGGCGGAAAGCCTTTCCGCCCGGATCCGCGACACGATGCTACACACATACCGGAGCCGAGGATCCGACCGTCTGCCAAGAGTCGCGACCTGAATGGCAACCCAACAAACTTTGCTCGATGCGGAAGGCGACTTGTGGCCGCGGGGCCGGCTGGATCCGGCACATGATCTGACACATGGAGGCGGTCCTTCCGTCTCACAAACATATAGATTGCTTCGGAACCTTTTGTACAAGTCAAAACAAAATATTGAAGGGTGATAGTAGTCGGCGGTGGGTTACGTACGCAAGTTAGTCCGGCTGAGATCGGTCGGACGTCAGATACCAGCTGTCATGTTGCGACGGGATGTCGAATATCGAATGTCCAACTTGAATGTCGAATGTACAAGTCGAGACTGAAAGTAATCAAGTCGAAAATTGTCATGCGCACAAAGGGCAGCAAGTGGTCGTCAAATGCAGCGCCCGCCTGCGGTCAAATGGAAGGAAATAGGATAGGGTGGAATGAACGACTCGAGAGGGACCAATGTGAATCGAACCGAATCGAATCGGGTCGAGGAAAGGTCGATAAGAAGAAACGCTATGGGAGGTCGCCCCAGATGGGGAGGGATGATGTATCTGGGCCGGTTTGTAGGTGTCCTTCGATTGCAGTTTTGGTTCCAGCCGTGTTTGTAGCTGTGACAGGTGCGGTGTCCGTTCCACAAGTCATATGCTCCCAACTTGATGTCCCACCACCGGCTGTCCCGGTAATGAAGTAACAGCCTTACGGAGGGTCCTCCTCCCCTCCGAACCCTGCGTCTTGGCCGCATGCCCTGCTCTCTCCAGCTCCAGCTCCACCTGCGCACGCTCCGCCTCCGGGACAAACGGCCTCCAAATACGGACCTCTTTTGGCTCACAGGGAGGGGGATCATTGTCGGGTTCATCTCCGCCTGACTTTGGGGATGGACAGCATACGTGAGGCTCACGTCCGCTAGGGGGAGGACGGTGAGCTGCTGTGCAAGACAGTTGAAGAGCTTCTTCTGGTCAAACAGAGGCAGGGAGGACCAGGGTACAGCGTTGGGCGGTTGGGAGCCGAGGAAGGGAGAGTGGGGCACTTGGTTGACGTCTTTGGCTTTCGAGATTTGGATGAGTGCTCTCTTGCGTGTTTAATGGGTCTGCGCTGCCAGTCATCCTCCCTGCTGGGGGATGTTTGGCTCTGCTCCTGATTGTTGTCTTCGGCTGATTTCGGCTCGCAGGGAGAGAGTGGGGTGGGCACCAACGTTCCCTCTCCTTATGTGTGGGGCAGGAGTGTTGGCAGTGGTGGTGGAGTGGGTGGGGACGAATGATGTAGGAGGGAGAAAGGGGAGGAGAGCAAAGAAGAGGGAAGTTTGGGATAGGAGGGAGAGTAGCTGCGTGATGGGTGACTGTTCTGGTAAGGCATCCAGGTAGATCTTGAATGACATCCTTGGACTGACCAAATAGTTGTTATGCTGTAAGGTGTCACTGCTTCGAGTTGCACCAATTGGATATGCAGACACATACAAGCCCTATGACATCCAAAACCACGCTTGCCAAAACCAGGACCACCAGCGAGACAAGAGCGGCGCTATCGTTGGCGGCTCACAGGCCTGATGTCCCAGAGGGATCAAAGAGCCACTAGACCTGAACATGTCCGTGGCTTGATAAGGTGGAGGATAAGGTAGAGGATCCCCTCTTGCTTGTGCTTGTTCACAGACGGGAGAAAGTCGTACGTAGGGCGGTGGGAAGCTAAACAAGTCCACCGTCGCCTCCATTTCTGCGAAAACGGATGATTCAAAACGCTCATACATGTAGTGATAAAAGCGCGACACTTGAACACGGTACCGAATCCAGTTGAGCTCGGCGGGATGTTGCCGGCATCGAGCGACGACCAGATTCCATGTGTGCCGCTTGTCTCCAAATGCAAGCGGCATCCTGCCAGTGATTTCCAGAGTGCTCAAGGCATCGAGAACACAGGTAACATCTATTGCATCATAAGGCGGAGGCCCGCCTCGTCCCTGCTCGTTCCAGAAGGGAGAGGGTCGAAACCCAGGAGGACCGTTGAAGTATTCGAGGGTGGCTTGCAGTTCACCCAGCGTTGCGCTTTCACACCGGCAAAACAGGAAATAACCGTCGTCGGGCTCTGGCTCCTGAACGAGCCTCTGGAGATAAAAGAGTTCGTCGGGATAGGTTCGATACCAGTCGATTGCCCGAGCCCATTTGTTAGGGTCGTGCGCGAATGCTGGGGGAATGTTGGCCAAGCATGGCATGCTGAGGCAGGTTCAGCTTTGAGGTATGAGTGCTACGGCAAAAAAATGGCAAGAGCCACTCACTCACTCACCTTCTATTCCCCTGGTTTAGCTTCGCTGTGGAACAGGTGATTGAACGCAGACGCAGATGGCCTCTCCAGCGGTAGGCAATTGAGTAACCATAGGTAGAGGCGAAGAGCTGAGAGGCGGAAAGCCTTCCTCCGCCCGGATCCGCGACATGATGCTACCTACATACCGGAGCCGAGGACATATCCCACCGTCTGCCAAGAGGCGCGAGCTCACCGGAGGGAATGGTCAGCACCCAACACTGCGGAACATAAGTGAAGGCGACGAGATGTCAGGTGGAAGTCGACTTGTGGCCCCGGGGCCGGCTGGATCCGACACATGATCTAACACGCGGAGGCGGTCTTTCCCCATCTGGACAAACATATAGATTGGTTCAACGCTACCCAAAGGACGAAAAGTGTGCAAATCAAGACAAGATAAGCGTTGTGGGTGTATATATGCTACAAGAAATCGAAGTTGTTCAAGTTGTCGAAGTGTCGAAGTGCCGCGGTCGGTCGAAAGCTGAAGTCGGTCGGATGTCAAATATCGCGTGTCAAGTCGTCTGTTGAGATCGAATGTCGAATGTCGAATGTTAAAGTCGGAAGCTGAGAATAATCGGGTCGGAAATCGTCTTGCGCCCAGAGGGCAGCAAATGGTCGGTCGTCAAAGGGAGCGCCCGCTTGCAGTCAGATGAAAATAGACTAGGATGGGACCAGGGCGCGTCGAGTAGAGATGGGTCGGGTTGACGGAGATCGCAGGTGTGCGCTATGGGAGATCGGCCCAGATGGGGAGGGATGGTGTATCTCCCAGTTCGGAGGTGTTTTTCGATTGCAGTTTTGGTTGCGGTTGGATTTGAAGTTGTGGCAGGTGCGGTGTCCGTTCCGTAGCTCGCACGGTCCCAACTTGATGTCCCACCACCGGCCTGCCCAAGGGTGAAGTGACAGCCCTACGGAGCGTCTTCCTCCCCTCCAAGCGCTGCTTTTTGGCCGGCCTCTCCCCATCCCCTGCTTTCTCCAGCTCCAGATGCACCTCTACCTGCGCAGTCCCCGCCTCCGTGACAAACGGCCTCCAAATGCGGTCCTCTTTCGGACTCTCGGGGAGGGGGATCATCGTCGGGTCCACCTCGGCCTCAAGCTGGGGCTGGACAGCATATGCGAGGCTCACGTCCGCTAGGGGGAGGACGGTGAGCTGCTGTGCAAGACGGTTGAAGTGCTCGGTCTGGTCGAACAGGGGCGGGGAAGGCCACGCAGCTGCAGGGGGCGGTGGGGAACGGAGGGACGGGGAGAGGGGGCGTTTGGCTGCGGGCTTCTGTTTTCGGAGTTGAGGTTTGGAGGAGTCGGCTGTGTGTTTTGGGGGTTTGACCTTGGACTTGGGCTTGTTCGCAGTGGGTGCGGACGCGGGTGCGAGGGGCTGCTTGGATCGGGAGGTGGACTTTGATTTTGACTTTGGAAGTTTGCGGGTTGCGGGTAATCCGGTGAGGGGGTCAACGTTCTCCTTCCCTGTACGAGGTATAGATGTGTCGGTGGTGGTGGTAGGGATGCGAGTGGGGGAAGTGGAGGAGGCAGGAGGGAGGGAAGGGATAAGCGTCGAGAATAATGAAGATGGAGATGGGAGAGTATGTGAGCGCATTATATTAGATGGTTGTTGTGGTGAAGGGTCAATGTAGATCTTGAATGACATCGTTTGCAGAGAGAGAGAGAGATGTGATGAGATGTGTTTCTGAGTTATAAGTTGTGGAATGTGAAGAGTGCATATACAGTGTGACATGGGAAAGGGAATCACACAAGGCGCGTCCACCGAGTAGGTCACGTGGGTGATATCACGCAAGTCAGGGAGTATCGGCACACTTCTATCCCTTACAGCAATGACAAGGATTATCATCACAGGTACGCTCCATCCCTCCCTCCTCTTATCCCACTCACTCTTATAGGCGCATCCGGTGTACTAGGATCAGCAGTCTACGCAGCATTCTCCTCACACTATACACTCCTCGGATTATCCCACTCCTCACCAGACACACGCTATACACCCATAGACCTGCTAGACCCAGTCCAAGTCCAGAAAGTATGGAACGAATTTAACCCTGATTGGGTCATACACTGTGCAGCCGAGAGGAGACCTGATGTCGCGGACAAGGATTCAGAGAAGGCACAACGCGTGCGTCCCCATCTTTCCTGTAGCATACCTCTCCCAACTGACAGCTAACCCCGCCAAACAGCTCAACGCCGGCGTACCCGCCTTCCTAGCGCGCCTCGCTGCCCAAATGGACCATTCCCTCATCTACATCTCGACGGACTACGTCTTCCCCGGAACGTCCCCTCCCTACCTACCTTCCTCCACTCCGGACCCGCTAAACCTGTACGGCCGCACCAAGCTAGCAGGGGAACACGCGCTCCTCTCATTTGAGAACTGCTCTTCTGTCCGGGTGCCGGTGCTATATGGACCGGTGAAGAAGTCTGAAGATAGTGCGATAAACGTACTCGAGAAAGTAGTACGGGACCAGTCTGGGAAACAGTATAAGATGGACGACTGGCAAGTCCGGTATCCTACGAACGTGCTGGACGTCGCTACCTTCTTGCGGAAACTTGTCGGTGCGCCGCTCCACCCTCCCTCCTTCTGTCGTACAGAGAGAACTGACGATTGATTGTTTTAGAACTTGGGAAACCCCTCCCAAAGATAATCCACTTCTCCGCCCCGCACAAACACAGCAAATACACCCTCTGCCTCGCCTTCTCCCAGCTTCTCTCTCTACCTTGCGCGCATATCACCCCGGACACTCCAGACCCCGCCTCCACAGGGCAGGAATCGGTAAAGAGGCCGAAAGACTGTAGACTCGATATGCGGGAGACGGAGGAGCTTTTGGGTGTAGGGGAGGGGGAGGCGTGGGATGGCGTGGAGGTGGTGAGGTGGCTTGAGGGGTGGTTTAATCGGGATAAAGGGGAGGGGGAGGGGGAAGCTTAGGCACGGATGGGATGGGATGGGATGGAGATGGCGGCTAGAGAGGGGTCTGTATAACCGAACTAAAGAGGAAAGAATCCATGCTGTTCCAATTCCCCCAGTTCCCAACTCACGCACTCCGGCCGACACTCAAAACAGGAACTGAATCCATGTTGCTCCCTCACGCGGTCCAGCCGACACAAGTACTAAAAACAGGAACCGAACCGTTCTAACCCTGCAAGTACATTTTAGCACCGCGGTCTTAAGAACATGGGCTTACAAAGCATCAACTTTTTGACCGGGGGGTTCTTGGTGGCGGCGCGTGGGTACTGGAGTGGGGCTGGGATGCCGGAGTGGGATAGGCATAGGGGGAAACGTTCTAAAGCGTAGGGTTGATGACGTGAAGCGCTTGGTTTGCGGTTGTTGGATGTGTGATGAGCCACTGGAGGAGGGAGATAATGCAATGAACATAGAGCACTCGAGTCGTGCTGCTGTTGAACACGGAATTCAGGTGTCTTACCCGAGTTTTGGTACATTTCGGGCACACTTGACATCCGATCAAGATGACAAGGCGTCACATCCCGTCACTCTCACAAATAACATAATATTGTCCAAGGCCGTCATGTTCGACAAGACCTGTATTCTTAAGTACTTTCACTGACAACTGAACGAACGAATGACTCCTTCCTCCTTTGTCTTGAGCCGAGTGGGGTGCCTAGCTGCTGCTGGTCAAGCCGGGGATAGAGCAGTTGTAGGGGGCCATAACGGGCGTCGCCTTTTCCAGGATAAACTCGAGCATCGCATACGGCTGAGGGGAGTTCTCTGGTATCATCATCCTTTCTCAGTTCGGCTCCTGCATGGGCTGGGGAAAACAGGCTTACGAGCAGTGATAAAGATCTCCTGGAAAGCGCCGCAGATGAGGTTCGTATCCCCTCCACTGCCACTCGCTTGCCTCTTCCTGCTCGGGGTGCTGGGCGTATAGCTCTGATTAGCAGGGATCCATACACCATTGACGTTCGCCCCGAAGTCAACAGGGTAGGCGGCGTACAGCGCGTCGATGCCGTTGGTCACGTCGGCGAGGTTCATAGGGATGACCCGGTTGTGCCAGTTCGGGGGAGGACGCTCGCCTACATGCCCCCAAGTACCGTCTTCAAGCTGGACGGCGCCGAAGAAGGAAGAGATCGTCTCAAGGTCCGGGGTGTTGTTCTTCGCCGAGGAGGGGAAGGCTTCGTATAAGAAAGTCGCGGCGCCGTAGTTGTGCAACTGGGTGTGCGGGTCAGCCAGGCAGCGGTGCAGAGGGGGAGTACTTACCACCAGCTGGGGGACGTACAGCCAGGGGTTCTCGACACGCGCACGCTGGTACTGCTGCAAGCGATAGAGTGCCATCGCGTTGAAGTCGAACAGCCTGCTCTAGATGAGCAAGAACAACAGAAGCTAAGGTGTTAGTTGGCTTACGGGTTCTCGGCAGTGGACGTGTTCTTCGCCGTCTCGACCATCAGACCGAACAGAGTGCCGTTCAAGCTGTACGCATCCCCGTTGAGGTAGAAGTCGTTCCGCGTCAGGGAGACGTCACTAAGAGCGCGAGATGAGACAAGACTCAAGCGCTCGAATGTAATAGCGCTTACAGCTCGAATGTGCCGTGCTGGCTCACTCCGCCGTACTCGCCCGTGAAGTTCCCGTGCTGGCCAGTCCTGTCGACGGCCTCACCGCCAATGGAGAGCATCTGAGAAACCGGATCGCCGTCAAAGACAAAGCCCAGCAGGGTGAGCACGACGGCGGTGGCAAAGTCTACGTTGTAGACATTCTGAAGACCTGCCACCATCTCCGTATAGGTGGTGATACCGTCACGAGAGAGGAAGCCATGGTTGGCGAGCGTGTTGAGGCCGGGGCTAGCCAGCTGTTAGCTGAGTGGCAGGCACGCTGAAGATGCGCTTACCAAGGGCCACGGAAAGCACCAGGAGGAGGATCTTGATAGTAATGGTCGGTGTCGCCAGGAGCGGGCACCTGAACTCCGCCTTTGCCGGTGCCCGCCTGTCCGTCGAGCTTGGCTCCAGTGTATGGGTATTGGTCGGAGTACGGTGCCGCTGCACGCCTCAGGATGGGATACTTTCCGCGTTTTTCCGCGTTCAGTGACGCGTAGCGTTTGGCGTACTGAGGGTAAGCGTCGACGGCCAAAGGCACGGCGGCGAGGATAGCGAGAGCTGAAAAGCGCATTGTACTCGGGTGTGAAAATAGGAAAAGACGACTGAAGAAAGTTGAGTACATAATCTTCGCCGTTAAATATCCCGACCTACCTTATTTTGATCTTCTTTCCTTCTCACGAGTTCCTGCACCACGGTGCGTCCCGCCTTGCGTTCCATTGGCAGTGAACCGCAAGGTTCCGTAGCATGTCTTCTTTCCGTTTCAAGAACAGTGTCAGTTTTCAGATGCACAGAGTCAGGGCAGTCGTGATCCTGCATACTGCGCGCAGCGATGCTCGCAGCCAAGAGTCATTCCGAAGTGGGTGCTGGAAACCTGGCCGATGGAAAGGAACGGCCCGTTCAGGCCCACATCAGAGCTGATTATTCATGAATGAAATCAGCCTTCTCGAGTATAGCAGAAGACATTAACCAGAAGCGGCAAGAATATTCTTTCTGTCACAATACATCCTGGGTTTTCTTTGCCGAGAGAACCCCACTAGATGCCGAGTTTAGACTCGAACGAAGATTGAGGTGTACGTGCATACCAGGGGCCCCTCTACTCAAATTCGGAACATGGTCACACGCAGGACGCACTGCCGCCGGAATTGCAGAGTTGAACAGCCAATCATGGTAGCATGACCACAACACGGTGAGACCTGCATCACTGCGCACCTTGTTTTCGTTCATCACGGTGATGAGAATGGCAACTGTCTGGCCCGTGTGTAACGGGAATAGCACCGCCATCTGGCACAGATACGTCCAATCAAGATGGAGGAGATACATAAATTATCCGTCTCGATGAAAGATGACAGCGCAGCCAGATGCTATCCCAGAATGACGATGTTGCGTAGTTTTCCAGGAATGCAGTGTCCACGAGACGACCCGTACATGATCCTGAGAATAATGGACCCCGTTGGTGGAGATGGGCGTTTCTTTTACACACGTGAGTCAGAATAAACAAAAGCTGTGCCTGCCCCATTTCAAAGACAAACATCACATGGGCATTCATAACAACACATGAGCATCCTCCATGGATTGTCCGCCGAAAAACAAGTGACTTCCAGCTCAATGCAAAGTGAACATCGATGTTTGGAGACTCGGACAGAATGGTATTCTACCTCGGATGGTGTTCAGTGCTTACCAATTTTCCTCAGCTTTCGATGTAATGAGTCTAGAGGTGACGTGGGTTGATACGCTCGTTTCATGGCATCTCAGACCGCTGTCCCCCTCCGTCCTTCAGCTGAGAACAGCATTCATGCCAAGTATGTTCGCGCGCCTCCACCCGCCCAGACGCTGAGAAAGATCCTGCCACACGCGTTGAGTCTTTTCCCTTACCTCTCGCATCCCGCATCCCGCATCCCGCCTTGGCTTCCTGCATCCCCACCAGGGTAACACGCACACAACAGGCACGTACACGCCGGCATGACCTGAACAGACTATGCCTTTATCGCCTCAACCCCTATCTTCTTCCCCCCCTTCTAACTCCTTGCCGCTAAACTTGTACGATCGTACTGTCAGCCTTCTTTCAAACGTTCCCCGAAGGCTCCCGTTCTGAGTGTTCGCCGGGTGGGATGGAGCTGCGTGGGCTTGAAGAGCTCGTAGCTCGGTAGATTAGAGAGCCTAGAAGTCGGTGCGGTGGTCATCATGCTCATACGATGATGATGTAAGGGGGCCGTATTACGGGCGCCGGGTCCCGTTGGGTTTCGTAAGCAGAGATGAATTTCCATTGGTTTGTGTTATGTCGGGCTCGTTTGCGATACTGATCGTTCGAAATCGGCCCCAAAGATGGGGAGGCGGAGCAGACAGACTTGCCCGTTTCGACACACAACGTGTAGGGGAGGGAGCAGGGAACTTAGATATACTAGTGCTGTCTGCATTGTCTTGGATATTTTGTGGCCGGGGTTTATTCGTAAGACTTCGACACACGGCATTATGGAAGCTGAAACGCACTCTTCATAGCAGCCAACATGAGATTGAAGCAGGGAGTCATAACAGACGCATGAGATCGTACAAGGAACGAAGTGCAATGAGGAGGTCGCCGGATGCAAGGGAAGGGTGGGCCGGGTGAGGTAATAAGGATGGTGTCGGAGCTCCCAAGTCGCAGGTATCCTTGTGGTTCTTGTTGAATAATAGTTGATGTTCATGATACTGTCGATGTTGCCAGAGTGATTGATATTCTTCATTCTCGAGAATGCAGTCCTTCGGTCGTACGTCGAAGTCGAACCCCTTTAACGAGATAGGAGCTCAGCTCGGTGACTCAAACGCATGTTTCTCCTCCTCCACAGTCTCCACGTCCTCGAATTCCCCTCATATTATCCCTTGCGCTCTCGGTATGGTCTCTCCTCATCTCCTCCTGCCTCAGGAACAAAGGACGCCCAGACGTTTCCTTCCTTCAGGCTGTTTTGTCTACGCGTCTCCCTCGCCGTCGCTCTCCAAGCTCCAAATCGGCACAAAATATGCAGCGCGCAGTCGAAAGTGGAGGAGACGCGATCTAATTCAGAAATCGACGAAAAGGCTGCCTCTGCTGTGTCTGGCGGACGAGGACTAGACCGGCCGAGGGACCGGCGAGGTCGGAGATGGGGGACCGCAAATTTGAAGGACATTTGTTGCCTTGTTTTGTAGCCTGAATGGCTCGGGCAGGAAGTTTGTTGTTTCTGACGTTCTCGTCCATGGTGGTAAAGATTGAGAAACTTGTCCTGACGTTGGGTGTGGAGCGTCGCGCGTTCCATAGGATTTGGGTTTGCCCGAGAAGCTAGAGAAAAGTCCAAGATATATACCCGGTTATTTGGGAGTAAGAGTAGACATCGGCTCTCTAGCGTCAGAAAAAGAGCGGGCGGCGTGAGATGGGAATTCAGTCAGCGATTTGGGGGATAAACCAAAGAGGAGCAATCATGATCAAGTTGATAGGGCCGCATCGTGACTAATGAGGGGCGATGCATACGAAGGCGATAAGAAAGAGTTGTCGACAGCGGTGGTGTCGTCCCACTTTTTCCAAGGTTTGCCCGTGTGGAAAATCAATTTCACGCACATTGCCTCTGCTTTGACACAGCCGCACATCTCCAAAAATAGGGGGGCTGGTTATGTAACAACACCCAAACCAAAAACCCCTAACCTGACCTTAACCCCAAAATGATATAACCCTACATGAAAGAAAACCTTAGCTCTGCAAAAACTTATAAGACTAATAGAAAAATTAATAGTAATGGGAGCAGTCATAGTGAGAGTTATTATTAATGGTGATGCTGTTTTTACTTTTATGAGAAGTATTAATAACACTAATATTGCTACAAGAGTGAAGGAGTGTTGAGTTTCTTAGAAGTTTAACCAGTTTTGTTCCAATAACTGATGCTATTACTATGATATAAGGGTCTGCAGGCTCCCAGGCCCCTATATGACCCATATGCAGAATCTCCTAACCACACAGCTGGCCTCATATTATCTCATTGGCTATGTCTAATCCCAGAGACATGCTTATGTGTCATGTCTTGCTGGCACAAACTGTTAGGGCAACACAGGCTGACTAAGTCTGCTCACCTAAGAGTGCCAAGAGTCTAAGCAGGCAACAAGGAAGTGGAGTAGACCTGATGACTAAGACCTATCTACAGTATAGGTATCTGTGGATGATCCTAAGAGACCAAGTCTGAAGAGACAGT